GGTAAAATTATTTTTCCTACCAGCACAGTTAATGCATCCCCGAACAAAGGTATCCACGATATTTCCTTTGCTATCCTGATATTTACCCACTGCAGCACACAGTGAGAAGTACCGAGTGACCATGAATCAGTGGCGCAAATCTGGGTCCTCCGACTCTTTGAGCGCGAGCAGCTGGCCGCATTAGTTCCCAGACATAAAAAACACTGTTTCGGACCAGAAGCTAAAAGAATGAAAAAACATAGAAAACAAAACGCGACCGTTAACTATTAATCACTAATGAAGAATAAAGGACGAGCGTTGGAAATTGGAGAGAGGGGGGACAGAAAGGGGAGAGAGTTAATTATAGATGGTTTTCACTCGAGGCGTAAGTGACGTCATGACGTCATCAAATTGTAAAGTCAAAATAGCGAGGTTTTACGCATTCTTATCTGCACTAGGTTGAAGATAAACAAAAAACAAATCTTTGTACAAGTTTCTAGTCCTGTAGCATGTTTCATTTCGAAAATACAGCAATTTGAACTTCCGAGTTTTCCCAGTGCGTGACACCAAAATTGGAAAGCTGTCTCATTGACAAAAAGTCTGTTCTCTTGATTTTCAGCAGTATAACCATTTCAAGAATTAGAAGACACGTTTATGTGCACGTATGCTAGTTCTCGAATGAAAAGAAAGAGCTGTTATGGAAAAAGTGAACTCTAGATGTTTTTGTTGATTTCCGGCGGCCATATTGGTGCACCAAAACGGTACACCAGTATATGGCATCTCCATACTAAGCTCTACAAAGGAACGTGAAAACTGAAACTGTGGGCTACAAAGACCCTGAGACTTGGACAAATTGTTTAAATACTAGTCTTTTATAACATTTCATTTTCTTTTCTTCTACTGGACGGTTTACAATTTATTTTTTTGTTGCGTGACAGTGAAAACGATCTATATATGGTAACTCATTCACACTACAGCTATCTTCACGCTATACGGGATAGCATTTCGTGTCGACGCGAAAGGTCTATTCGGTATATTATGAACACCTATCTAATATGTGAGTCAGTCTCTTTTTTCGAGATCGGCGCGGTGCAGCTTCGCTCAGTTAAGAGACATCGCTCCGAAATCATCGTTTTTAACAGAACAGAAGCCATAGCCGGTATGGTTTTCAAGCCGGCAAAAAAGCTCTGCGATATAGTGTGAGCATAGCCTAAGTCTCCTACCAATACATCCAGACTACTTTCTCCCTTTTCTCATGCGCCTTTTCTATCTCTCTTTCCTCTACCAAATTGGACAGATTACATTACTTCAGTTTTTTACGAACTACAATCCTCTTTGCTATGCACTACATAAAGTAAACAGAGCCTTGTGCCTGACTAGCCCTTGGTTGGCTCGCAGGTGAATAGTGTTCATTTATTTTTACTTTTTCTTGTTTTCTTTCTTATTCGTCTCTTTTATTATCATGGTTATGATTATTATTGTTGTTATTCTCGCGAAGCGAGTGGCCATAACTCCGCGAGCGAATTCGAAGCGAGTTTATAAATTTGTAGCGCATGCAGGGCGCGGCAACGCGCACAACAATCTCTAATCGAGGCGTGATCGTGATCTTGCTTTGGTCAAACATTTCTCTCTCTCTCTCTCTATCGGTTTGGGCGAACTTAGGTGCCTAGCAAAAGGGCAGCGTGTAATCAAAACCGCCACAAAACTTGCCCGGTTGCTTTAGCCGCCATTTAAGAAGACAAGAAATGCCTTCAATGATAAATTTCGTACCTTTAACAGAAAATGGATGTCATTTGGACAATTAACTTCAAAATAACTTCGGAAATCAGAAAAAGAAAACATGTTTGCGTCCTACTCCGTAGACAAAATTCATTTTTGACTGTCAATATCTCGGTTATTTTGCTGGAATATATCTTTGAATTCGTGTTTAATACGGCTTGATAAGCTTTAAACTGCCTTTGCTGCTGGCGGAAGTTCCATGGAAAAGGGTTTAAATCAAATACTTTTACTAGTCCTTATATCGTAATCCTCAGTAGAGCAGTGGTAAGGAGAAATCGCGCCAATCTGGAGGCGCGGAGTAACCCGTTCGATTCCTGATCTACTACCTCTCTCCTTCTCAATTTTTTTTTTTCGTTCTTGTTTTGTTTTTTATATATATAAATAAAGTTTCCCTTCCCTATCGGCCTCTTTTCCTTTCTTCTTACTTTAGGCCTTTAGCCTCTGCTTCGCGAGGCTCGGCGAGTCACTTATTTCTAGTTATTATCATTAGTAGTAATAGTCTGTACTAGTAGTGGCATGGTAGGTAGTGAACAACAAACGCACTTGAAAAGTACCCTTCCAAAAAAAAGGCCAAACTCACTTACAATTAAACCGCTTAACCTGCGAAACTCTGTCCTCCATTAACGAGATGGAATGCCTTTGAAAAATTGAATGCGTTTAGTATTCACCTCTAACTCCTTTTTTCTCTAATACGATACTTGAAAAATAGACCATCCTTCGTCTAATTACCTGCTGTTGTAAATACTTTGACTGCATTGGCTGATGGCGATCCGGTCGGTACTTGTGTGTTGCAGTTGTTCCCAGTGCAGCAGTCGATCTCACATTTCAACAAAGTCACTGATGCTGCCATTTTCAAGTAACCACCAAGAGCAAAACAAGCCGCTTTTTTATCTGATTAAGAAATGTCACTTGGTTTTCTTAAGGCAGCGATAAGAATATAGACACTTACCGACGTAAACTGGCGCTCTGAAGTGGAACATTTTAATGCAGCGTGGGCTGCATAACTTCTCTTTGAAAGCAACAATATCAACAATACCAGTTTCATGTAGCTTAATAGGCCATTTCCGAGTCTCCCCGGGCCTCTGTATCAAAACGAGGTTAGGTGCTCAACATTTCTTGAGGAAATGAGTTTTATTTGCATGAGAATGAAAAATCATTTCCGTATCAAAGGTTTCGCACCTAACCTCGTTTTGATACAGAGACCCTGGGGAACTCGGAAATGGCCATTTGAGTAATTTTCCCTTCTTTCATCCGTCTAAAAATTCTTAAGGAGATTCTGTCAGGAATGTTCTTAACTTTGGATGTGATCCTCGCTACCCTGGGTGCCAGAGACTTTTCATGAGCGGTTTCCGGTTTTGGTCGGCCGACACTCGGCGAAAGCTCCTCGTCGCACGCAAGAAAAACCTCTGGTACCCAGGGTAGATCCTCTCAAGTTGCAGAAGCAACCTAACAGGTTGAAAGAGAACCTCGGAAACTGAAATTCTGGCCCCAGTGTGTTGGAAAGGTGTATAGTGCTATCAACTAGATAAATGAATATCCACCGGATAACGCAATCAGTTTTCTTAATAAACTTATCCACTTGACAGCGATTTATCCGTTGGATAGCGCTATCCAACTTTTGAACAACAGGGGCCTGACTTTTAATAAGTCGTTTTTAACTTGTTAAGTCCAATTTATGGGCAAATTCTTGTAAGTGCTTGTCGCTAACAAGAATCACGCATGGGCAAATCGCACAGCTGGTAAAGCGTGGCTTCAAAACCCGGCTCTACACTCTCGCCATTAGGGAAAATAAAAGTTGCTCTAGTTTCCTAAAAATTGGCTCTTCAAAACGCCTTTAGGTGCTCGTTTTTGCAAATGTTGCCCTAAAGTCGGGGTTGGAGAAAACAAGGTGAAAATACACCTGCGTTTAAGTTAACCAGCGAAAGTTCAAGAAAAAAACTAAGTTCTGTGACGTCAAACTGCTTAGTGACTTGATTCGACGACCTCGTTCCCAGGAGAGAGCCTTGGCCCTAAGCCTCAGTGTGGTGAAAACTGGCTGTTAACTTACCGGCGCAGTCAAAACATCCTCGATATGCCAAATCCTTAACATTTCCGGAGCGATCCCGATAACTACCTACTACAGAACCACAGTGAGTCGTCCCAAGTGAACCAAAACTTGGATTTAGGGAACAGGCTTGGGGAGGATCCTTGTTCGAGCAAGTATCCACGCAATAAGTACATGTCGGTAGACCGGCAGCTGTTAAGAAAAAGTTCATATTATCTGACATATCAGCGAAAAGAGGCAAGTAATGAACCTTTCGACGAGCTCAGTTAGCTCAGTTTTTGGCGGTGAGGGATACTCTAGTGTCTTCAAGACCACCTTTTTAAATTTAATTAATTTAGTTGGGAGAGGCCTTTGACTTGACACTGTTAATAAGTGGACCGGAGTACAAGCTGAGTTAAAATGACATTGTCCTTCATTTAACTATATAAGGGTTCGTCATTTTTGAGCATTTTCACAGCCTTAAAATGCATCTTTCAGTCCTTTTGGGCCTTTTTACAGACTGAAATGGCAGATTTCCCTTTCTTTTCTCCTTTTGGGGAGGGGAGATCCTCTCTGCATAGGCTAAAATAGGGGTCCCCCGGATCGAAACGCGTCATACATTACCTGCATCGTTACAGTTGTTACTTGTGCAACATTGGATATCACATGTCAGTAAGAGGCCATTCTTGCGTGATTTAATGTAGCCACTTATAATTGCACAGGCTGCCTTTTTATCTGAAAACAATGAAGTCAGTAATAAATGTATCTTTTGCAAGCTACATCTTCATGAAATGTACCCACTGAATGCAGTTTTAGTAACGTTATTAAGCTTCTTTCTCCGACTAATGTCAAAACCATTTGTGCCAGTTTTTCGATCGCAGCTGTTTGTTTATTACTTTTTACCAAGATATGGTGACAATAGGTTTCTATGGTTTCGAAATGTGGTCATGGGGTCATAATAATTTAACCAAACTTTCTTGGATAGTTTTTTGGCACCCACTAAAGTTGTCACAAAGAAATGAACAGAACGTGCCAAAATGATGTCAGAAACTGTATCGAGTAGTAAAGGCAGTTAGATCATAGGTGTTGATTTAGATTAAGATTTAACTTATTTGTCACGTCAAAGAAATGTTTAAGAAAGTCTGTGTTAAAGCTGAGGCTCTTTATCGCCTTATTTTTCACTTTCCTTGGTACCCTTTGTTCTTTTTAGGGGAATATGTTACATAACCAGATGATGTCTGCTGATGGAGTACAAGGATTTCCTGTCGTCATGGTCTTTAACAAAGTGGAGGAGGGTGTCCTGCGTCTCCTGGAGGTATTTATCAAGACCGATAGTGGTTGACTTGTAGGAAAACTCCAGTTGTATGAGCCCTCTACCTCCTTCAGTTCTGGGCAGGTAAAGCCTGTCCACGTCAGATTTGGGGTGGTGCATCTTGTACATTGTCAGGGACTTTCTAGTCTTTGTATCAAGTTTGGCCAGCTCTTGTAACGTCCAGTTTATGACGTTAAAACTGTAAGTTACCACCGGTACTGCCAAGGTGTTGATGGCTTCCAGTTTGTTTGCGGAGTTCCATCCGCATCCTGCGGTAGTACTTTTTCCGGATCTTCTCTTTCATCTGAGAGTGCTGGACTCCGTTTCCCTCGCTGACTCCTAGGTACTTATAGGTACCTTCCTGATCTAAGTCCTGTATGATGGTGTTGACGTCGAGCTCGATGTTACTGGAGTCGGCTAGTCGCCCTCTCTTGAAGGTGGCATTGGCGCACTTGTCCAATCCGAAATCCCTGATTATGTCGTCACTGAAAGATTTGATGGTTCTCAACATGCCCGTTTGTTCGTCGTCTTTTTTTGCGTGTAGGTCTTCAGGTCATCCATGTAGAAGAGATGGCTGATCTTTCCATGGGGGGTGTTGTACCCATAGCCACTCTTGTTCAGGAGGAAGCTTATTATTATTATTATTATTATTATTATTATTATTATTATTATTATTTTTATCAGTTCGAATTATTATTTTTAAATAGTTTTTTATTTTTTTTATCAACTTTTTGATCCTTTTTATAATTGTTATTAGTAGTCTTTAGATAGTCATTTTACAACAATTCTCTTTCGTAGACAAGAAAAATGTACATAGGGTATATATTTTAATATTTCATATTCTTGAATCTGTAAATAGTCTATTTTTTTTTAAATCTATGAATAAAGTTTTGTTTTTATTAAAAAAAAAAAATTATTATTATTATTATTATTATTATTATTATTATTATTATTATTATTATTATTATTCTAGTTCCTGTAATATTGTATTTTCAAACTTATCCTACTAAACGTACCTGCGCAATTAATACATCCTCTATAAACCCTATCACGTATACCAAATTTGGACGCATACTTTATCTTGGCGTAGCCACAGTGGGTTGTTCCAAGTGAACGCGAATCTCGGCTACAATCCTGTGGGTCTTGTTTCTCAATGCACTCTGCATCAGTATCGTCGAAACACTCCTGGCATTGCGAAGGTCCAGAGGCTGCCCATACGATAGCAAAAGGGGAGAAGTAAAGTCAGACGAGAGAGACTATTAAACCTTTTACTGCCAGAGTGAATGAGGAGTTTTGTAAGGTGGCTCTAACGTTTTAATCTGTGGACGAAATCCTATGGTGTGACCATTCAAATGAAAGCTCTCTGCCTGTAATTTCACATGTACTATTTGCTTTTGAAAATTTTACAAAATGAAATGTGGGAATTTTTGCTCAATTTTGCCTTTAGCCACAATTGGCAGTGAGAGGGTTAAAAACTAGTACCTAAGTCCAACGTTACGAAACAGGGACAAGGGACTAGCGCTGCCATATGTGTACAGCACTGTACCCTTGATTACACGATCGCAAGCGAACTAGCCTCCCACGCAGAGGTTCTTACGGCTTCGTGACGCGCCCTCCTGCAGACGTTCGTGGGCAAGGAACTGGTGACAAAGCCCTACGAACGTCTGCGTGGAAGGCTACAAGCGAACATGTGACAATCGCTAATCCGTTTTGCAGCTGACGGCTGATAGAGACCAAGCGGGTTTGGTCCGAACATGACAAACGTCCACGGTAAACTCGCATAGCTCTGGTTCTGTAAAATACACAATTTGAAAATATTTAATATAATACCTTCCGGTGTAAACACAGTTACCGCGTCCTGTGTCAAAGATGAGTTCTTCGTGTTACATCTACTGCTATTGCAACACTCAATTTCGCACTCAAGCAATGTGTCGCCTTCTTCACGCTTCAGGTAACCTCCAAGAGAATAGCAGGCTGCTTTTTTATCTGAATGAAAAGATTGTGATCATCGTAGCAGTCATTGACGCGTAGATACAATTATCTCTTCTTCCCCTACCCCACCCCTCTTCTATGTTTGATATATTTTTAACATTATATTTTAATTTTTGCTGTTTTGACCTTATTTGGCACTAACAAGAGTTGTTGTTAGTGAGAATTACAAGTTTTAGACCGTTTCTATTTATAATTTATTTTTTCTGGGATAAAACTGTTAAAAGTAATACTTTTACCCACCCGTGCAGTCAAAACATCCTCGAATTATATCAATATTGATGCCATCAAAAAAGCCCCCACGGTACTTCACTGCTGCCGAACCACAATGAGTTGTGCCAAGGGAACGGCGACCCGTCAAACACGTTTGGTTCCTTTGCGTTGAAGAGCTGCAGGGTCTGATTGGGCCACCCTGGAAATCCGTACACGCGATACACTGTCCTGGACCATTATCTGTGTAAACAATTAGGTATGCATTGTATTAAACACGAGAAGAAGTGGTTTTTTTTTTCCGATTTCCACGCACCGAGAAGTAATGTATCAAACACGAGAGAGAGTGTTTCATCCGATATCCAAACACCGAGAAGTGAAATATCAAACACGAAAAGGAGTGTTTCAGTCTGATATCCAAACAACGAGAGGTGATATATCAAACACCAGAAGGAGTGTTTCATCTGATATCTAAACACCGAGAAGGAATATCAAACACAAGAAGTGTTTTTCCGATATCCAAACACCGGGAAATGAGTTTGAAAAACGAGGACAAGTACTTTCAACCAACTATTCGAGGTTTACTTTATATTGAATCGTGCATACCTAATACACGCCTCACTTTATTCTTTCTATATTCCCCTCAGTGTTAACCCGTACTTGAAATAAGCGCCGCTCTCGTACAAGCGCCACACCTATAACAGGGATAATTAAATAAGCGCCGCGGCGCTTAATCGATCATTTACGGTATGGTTCGTAACAAAGAGTTACTCGAGAATTCATTACCTTTAACTTTCTTACACTTAAGTCATGCATGAAAGGGTATTTCAGCTAAGCAAGATAAAAATTTTTTCTAGCTTTCATTTATTACCTCCGTCATTGCAGTTATCACCAGTGCAGCACTCGATATCACATTCCAAAAAAGTGTACGATGTACGATATGATTTCAGATAGCCACCAAGTGCGGCACAAGCTGCTCTTTTATCTGTAAACAGATCAATTAAAAATCAAGGTAATATACTCGAGACAGTGACTTCTACCGGCTTTATTTGACCCCACCTAAAAGAGACCGACTATACTCGAACACAGTATATGACAGAGGTTTTTTCCTTCTTGCAACCCTTAGTAAGTGAAAATGAATTCGTCCTCTCTTGTGGATAAAATTATCAGCTTTACGTCGTTAACACCTTAAGTGAGACCAAAATTCGCAATTTTTCAGTACCCTTAAGTGAGGGAATAAGTATCCCGTCAATTCAATATGGGAAAGTTTGGCTTAACTGAAGAGATGGTGAACTTGAGATTTTAAAGAAAAGATCAGGGGCAAGGTTCGGTAGTGTTATTATTTAAGAGACATTCGATTTAGCGATTTTAGGATGCCAGATTCAGGAAATGTTGTCGTAGAGAAGTGGTTTCCGATAAGAAAAGTGAAAAATCATTTCATTTGGACTTGACACAAATTGCCCACATTTTTCTCGACCCTGTGACGAGTCTACTGTAGCCGCACCACTTTTTTTAGCCCACTGTCAATTTGACAGAAATTCAAGGCTTTGCAAGGCACTTAAAAATTAATACGAATGTGAGAGATCGGGATTAGCCGATAAAAGCCGTGTAGAGTAACAGGATTGAGGGAAGATTTTAGTCAAGATCACAGAACTGGAGAGACCTGTTCTCCCGACCCTCAAAATATAAAATTCTACTAACCCGCACAGTTAATACATCCTCGTAAAGTGCGATTATAGACACCACGATCGTCACGATATTTAACTGTCGCAGAGCCACAATGAGTTGTTCCGAGTGAACGAGAACTCGTCGCGCACATTTGGGGTTTGTGGCTATAACTGCAGGTGTACGGATCACTTTCCTCGCAACTCTGACATTGTGTTGGACCAGGGGCTGTCACAAAAAAACAAATTATTCGCAGATTACAACTGAGACCTTAAGATCGAGGTTTGGCCATCTTACCGCAAACGGCAATCCCGGTTTGCGGTTTGTTATCCGTTAGCATATTTAGGAATTAAGATTCACGTTATCCGTTTGTTCTACATTCATATTTAAGGAATTAAGATTCACGGCCGGGTAGTTTTGCGGCTGCCATGTTTGTCTTTTATTCATTCATTTACTTCTTATTTTAACTGGGAAATCGTCTTCAAAGTTACGTTTTTCTATATAAAAATAGTTCAATAATTAATTTGATAAAGAGTTCTAAAAATTATTATTTTCTCTCAAACGTAAAATTGGGATTGTGATGATTTTTTAGAATGCTTTAAAAAAACCGAATTATGTTTGAACGTTGCGGTAAATCGGTAAACTCGGATTAAAACCTCTGGAGCGTGATCTAAAGCCGTAGCAAACGTGAACCTCAAACCGCAAACATGACGGCAAGACACTAGTCACGTGACTTCTTGGCGTTTGCGGTTCGCGGAAATGCCGTAAAACCTCGATCTTAACCCTTTAAGCCCCAATATACACATACAAATTCTCCAAACTGATCTCTGTACATTTTATTAAAGAATGTGTTGAGAGAATTTGATAAAAGATCAAGACGTTTTCTCTTTGGTGATAATTTTAATAATTCTCATAACCTTATCTCTTGACAATGTATGGATATCGTTAGGAGAAAATTGATGTTGGTCGCCATTGGGACTTGAAGGGTTAAGGTCTCTATTAAGCTTTTCTTGACGCCAAGCAAGCAAAGTCTATACACCTTAAATTGGAGGTTGATTTGATAAAAGCATGAACTTTGCTGCTACATGGCAAATGGATGAACCTTTTTTGCCCTAAGCGATGAATCGGTGCTATTTCTTTGTTGGTAAAAGATAGGTAAAAAAATGGCGAGCAGTTGATGTGACCATATATTATTTTTTTAGTTATGGTAGCATAGTATATAGCCTCACTTTCGAGTCTTCAAGTCGTGCACAGAGACAGGCTGTGAACTTGACAAGTTTTTTTCTAAAAGTTTCTGAGTGTCTCTGTTCGTCGCAAGCTAGCACGTTAATTTTTGAACAGGAAACTCGTAAAGGAAAAGGCCCGTCTACTGCAGCAAATTAAAGCAAAAAACAAAATTGTTGGTAAGAGACAAATTATTCGCGTAGGTGGGGCTTTGATCGACCACATTGAACACGCTTCTCTTCGTCCACTCTTTTTTAAGTACCACTTAACATAAAATAATAGTTATCGAATCAACAATTAAACGGATTTAACTATAAAAATTAACGTTAAAAATGTAAGACGTTTCAACCGTCCAAGGTTCATTTTAAGTTCAAGATAAGAATTAAAAATTAAGCATGTAAACGTTGTTCATTTTTAAAGTTAATTTCTATAGTTAAGTACTTATTGATAAATGCATTGAGTCATTGGATGCCAATTAAGTTTCTTCCTTTTTTGAAAGAGAAGTTAAAAAAACCCACAAAGTTGGAAAAGAGAAGGGGACATGGGTCCTGGTGGAGGGTCCTGAACAACTTGGTTCTTCAATCCGGTAATCTCGACCAAAAATTTCGTACAATCCCGTAATCTAACTCGCGCGCATACTTTCAATCCCGAATCTAGCCCGATTTTGCTCTTAAATCCCTAATCCCAAGCTTCAAATAAGGGAAATTCCGGATCCCGAAAAACCTGTTGGGGACCCTCCTGGTGGTGTGCTCTATCTTTCGTGGAAGTAAGGCGTTGCATAGTTTACTTTTTATGTGTGAAGTCATACGTTGAGTAAAAGTGCCGTTACCGTTTGGGGAAAACACAGTAACTACATCTTGTGACAGGGTAGGGATCTGAGTGTTGCAGTTGTCGACGGAGCAGCATTCAATCTTACACTGTAGCAGGATTTGACCTCTGTTCCTTAAATAGCCTCCAAGAAAAAAGCACGCTGCGGTCTTATCTGTAACGAAAATTCTATTTAGCACCAAGTTAGCAAGTTTTTTCTTCATCACGAATAAAGCAATGTACAAGACTCGTTTAAACGTGAACTTGCCAAACATCAACAGAAAATTTAACGAAATATTATAAATTTAAAGGAGCTGTGCCACGACATTAATCAAAATTTAAACAGTGATACCACCACCAAACTGAGTGAAACATAGAAATAGAGCGATTTTCGTACGACCTTGAAATGAAACCGCGCAAACAAAACAGAAACAACAAACAGAAATAAAGCGATTTGATTGGTTTATCGAACGAATACAAACGCGTTTGGCTTTTGGTTGGTTAAGCGAACGCTCGGGTGAAAAAACTTCATGCCCGAGAACGCTACCACTGGTTTCCCCGCCAAATGACGTCTGAGAAACGAGCGCAGACATTCCATACTGATGACGCGTCACTAGCCAGATCTGGGTAGTGCTTCTGATTGGTTGAATCAAATTTCCCATGCGGCACGCTAATCTAAGTAAAGATGACATAATTTCTGACTATATGCATGACTAGTACATTTCATTGTGAGTATTGTCAATGTTTTACCTTCAAAAGATGCGATAAATTCAAACTAAAATGTGCTAGTCATGGAGGTACGTATAGTGCGCATTATTTTGGAAAAATTAGCATAACATCAAAACAGTGAATGTGGACGCAGATTTTTGACAAGTTCGTAGGATAGGTTTGTCTTGAAATTTTAAGATGTTGCAGTGAATCAATCTCAATGAAAGTTTTAGACCTTCAGTTATATACATTATGAAGATTATGTGAAGAGTCGTTTCAGAGATATAAAAAAAAGCGCTAAGAATCCAAATTTTGAATGAAGTTGCACTTAAACAGGTAGTGAGAATACGGGTTAGTTTTCAAGATCGCATGAAAGGAAATACAGCAAAATTTCCCAGCGTCGAAATATGATATTAAGCAGCATTCTGACGCTACTTTAGAATATTAAAATTTGAGCCATTTATAACGTTTTTATTGAATAGTCTGTCACGTATTTCCCCACGTTCTGATTAAATAATCTATCACGTTTGAAATATATTTTCGTTTTAGTCGAATTCAAACATACAGACCCTTTTACTTCTTACGGAGATTGTTTGCTAAACACCAAACTTTAAGTTCCTAGTGCTTGATTTTCAGTAGCTGGTCTAGATCACACAAAATTCGGCTTTTATCAATTTGTCATAGTAACATCGGTTTACTTAAAACTACATTTCACACGTTTCAATCCATAGCCAATTACTGGTGAAAATTTTTTTAGCGATCGGACAAGGAAGAAGCCACTTTTAAGGCGATTGAAAAATATCGGTTTGGCCTCTGAAAAACTGTATCGAAACGCCTTAAAACCAACCTACCTGCGCAATCGAAGCATCCTCCGAATATTTCAACCCGGGTATCGTTTGGTCCGAATGAATTTACATACTTTATGGCAGCGGTACCGCAGTGAGTTCACCGTAATTTTTAGGGAGTTATTATAACTCCAAAAATGGAGTAAAAATTTTAGGTACAGGATAACCCCTTTTTTGGGGTTATTTTAACTCCTAATTTAACTCCGAATTTGGGGTCATTTTTACTCCTGAAAAAGAGTTCTTTTTACTCCCAGTCTTGGAGTTAAAATTACTCCGAAATGGGGTTACTTGTACTCCTTACAGGGGTTGTTTTCACTCTTTTTGGAGTTAATTTAACTCTGAAAGTGGAGTAAAAATTTTAGGTACAGGATAACTCCTTTTTTGGGGTTATTTTAACTCCTCAAAATCTGTGGTCACTTTTACTCCTGAAAAAGAGTTCTTTAAACTCCTTTTTGGAGTTAAAATAACTCCACGAAAAATAACTCCACTGTAAGGAGTTAAATTAGCCCCACTAGAGGAGTTATTATAACTCCCTGAAAATTACAGTGTTGTACCAAGGGATTCTCCATCTGTTGCACAAACTTGGTTTCTTGGAGAAGTGGTGCATTGGGCTGCATCACTGGACTGACAAGAGTTGCACTGGGTTGGGCCAGCCACTGTTGAGACAAAAATTCAAAAGTTGAGTCGAAAATATACGATGTTGAGTTTGAAATTTGACGCGGTGACTGGCGAAATGAGGCGAGTGAGTATCGAATGCAAAATTGGCATCTCAGTCAAATCTAGAGCACTAGTTCAGGTATCAAAACTAATAAAAAGAAGCAGTATATAAAAATTTGTTTGTCGAGTTGAATATTGCATGGTTTGACTGTGTAATTTGACAAAGCGAGTGGAAAATGTACAGCTAGCAAGGTTAAATAAAACAGTTGAGTTCAAAAGCTAAAAGACAAGTGTAAAAACGTTTTCCAAAGACGTGAACTCTAAAAGAAGAGTGTAAAATATTGAATTCAGATGTAAAATTCAAGTTTTGAATTTGAAAATTTAAATGAGCAAATAGCCTGCGAGCAAGCTCTCCTATTTGGGCGAATGAAACGAGTCTCGCGAGAACGCGCGAGCGAGCGGCGAAGCCCTTCCTCGGCCCTCGCTCGCGCGTTCTCGCGAGACTCGCTTCGCTTGCCCAAATAGGAGAGCTTGCTCGCAGGCTATCTGCTCATTTAAATTTTCAACTCTTGATTTGCGCCGATTTCGTTGAAAAATCGACGAGTTGATGGAAAACACGCGACGAAAACGACGTCCCGGTGCAGCGCAGGTACCCATAAAGAGGCTCAAACGAGATGCAAAGTCAATTGATAGCAAGCTTTTCAATCCCTCCGATCAGCATTACGTTGTAGCTTACATTCCTTATTTGTTGCACGAAAGATTTTGGACTCAGCTTTTTCAGCGAAATTTTTTTTTAATTTGTTGCTCAGGAGTCAACATTTAAATGATAGGTCACTCACCACTCGTGTCTGTAGCAACGAGAAAAACGAGCACGGGAAACAACCTCATATTTCGAATCTAGAAAACAGTCCCTTATAAGATCCGTTTCCTCTTTAACTGAAAATAGAGACCTCTTCCGAAAAATGTGTGAAAGTAATATTACTTACTCTAACCGGCTATGATTGGTTCAAAGTTGACAGTGTCTTTAATATTAATAGACCTATTCGGCTAACTCAATGTTGTACCCAATTCAAATCTCCCGGGGATAAGATTCTTTGTGCATTGTATTTGCGTTACAATGTGGCATTCACATTTAAATGATATGGAAATTCCTGAAACAAAATGTTTTATTCCCAAAGGGTTTGAATTGGGTACAACATTGAGTTAGCCGAATAGGTCTATTTCGAATCGGAACCCAACAGGAAGTCAAATGCCGAATTGAAAATGCAACTTCATGTTTATCTAGTTGAGTGTCCAATTGTCCTTATTAATTACCTTTGTTTTTGGGAAGAGTGCTCTCAAAAATTTGAAATGAATAAAACCTTTCAAGTTTATTCTTTTCTCTTCTTCGAATTGATAGATAGTTGTACTAACTCATAAGTGTTGTTAATTCGAGTCTTACATTCTAGTTAAAGCATTTCACAAACAAACGTAACAAAACAAAACAATCGTGCAAAATATAAGTACGCGGTACGCATTGATTCGCCTGGATGCATAGCCAAAAACATTCCGTAGTTTTACTTTATCACCATCACCAGGCAGGTAACTTGATCACCAGGTAACTAAATAGTCCTATTTATCTCGTCCGTAAAAAAACCACATACACACATAAGGTAATTCTGTCACGATTTCACCGTCCTTTCGTAACATCCTGTCTACAGTCTCTTCTCTAGAACCATCTATAAATATCACAAGATTTGTTTTCTACAGCAGAACTGAAATACAAGGACACATACACTAACTCCACGTTTTTCTCGATCCGGGACATGGCAGACTGTTAGGAACAGCTCAGCAGCTCAATAAAGAAAAGCAACATAAGCTGCGAAATGCTTCGATGGAATTGCAAATAAATATAACCAGTGTTTTTTGGAAAATTGTAGTAGGGACCTTACGAGCCGACAATTTGTTTTTTCAGTCAATATAATAAACATTTTTTCGTTTAAGGTATCTAATATTTAAATGACGCCTCCATGAGCAGTCAAGTGTTAAACACGTCCGCCTAATAACCGATTAAGTTCCTAGATTCCTTCATTCTTTTGCTCTTCCAAGGGTGGATAACCTCCGAAAAAATTAAAAACTTTGAAATGATTAAAGAACGAAATGCTTCAAAAGACATAAGGAAGTTAAATCTTGAATCGAAAGCAATTTATGTTCAAAAGGGGATATTATTTTCCGCTTTCTACTGGGTGTGGCTCGGGCTTTATTTGACCTCTAAAAGAGAACATTCTCCAACCGAGCAACACAGGATTATTTTGATTCTTTCTATATTATATAGACATAAATTTACGCACAAACCTAAGGGATACCTTTACGATTCTCGCGTGGTTGACACGAACGAAGGTGCTCTCGAATGAAGCTCCTGTTCTAGATCGTTTATATTTCGTTGATATTTCCGCAAGGTAAGTTAATAAAATTGCTTGACCATGATAGTTAGTAAGCGTTCGGGTTTTTTTCGACGACAGAACTTAATGATGATTAGATTTATTTATTTATTTATTTATTTTTATTATTTTTTTTAATTTTACTTTTTTTTGTCCCTGTGCGTACCCAAAGAATGCAGTTTACAGTCTTCATATTAAAAATCGATCACTTACCTATCGCTTCTGCGGCAAAGAGCAAGACAAGCACGGGAAAAAACTTCATTCTTCTTTAAGTTGCAACTGCAAGATAGAGATCCCTTTCGCAGGGCACGTATTAAAAGCGCAAATATGTTAAACGTCGTAAGATTACTTGCTCAAACGTCAAAGGTCGAAAATGCAACATAATAACATCAAACGCATTAGCAGGTATTTGAGTTATGATGACAGGAAGTCTATAGTTCAAGCAGTCATAATGTCAAGTATAGATTATTGTAATAGCCTCTTGGTTGGTGTTACATCCACCCAGCTAAGTAAATTACAGCGTTTACAAAATGCAGCGGCTCGCCTTGTTATAACGTCGCAAAGTATGATCACATTACTCCTACACCTGTTAATTTACATTGGCTTCCAGTAACGTATAGGGTAAATTTTAAGATAGCAATGCTTGCTCATAAGTGTATCTATGGCAACGCATCCGAATACCTTAAGGATCTAATAAAAGTTAAGAGTACCACCAGATATAATCTTAGATCGGACGGGGAGATGTTACTCGAGGATTATAGTGCACGATCAAAGAAGACACTTGGAGACAGGACTTTCGAAGTAGCCGCCCCTAGAATCTGGAACTTTTTACCGAAGGACATTAGGAAACAGGACAACTATTATACTTTTAAGAAACAGCTAAAGACTTATTATTTTAAACTTGCATACAATTTTTAATTACACATAGGTGTATATTAATTTTACTCTCTTTTTTATCAATTTTGTACAAAAAAATTAAGTTAGGTCTCATTTACAGATATATTCATGTTTACTTCGATAATTAATATATATCTGGTTATCTTTAATAGTTTGTAATGCGTATTTGATCATTTGATATATGTTAATTTGCGCAATACCAAATAATAAATATTATTATTATTATTATTATTATTATTATTATTATTGCAAAAGTAGGTTGAGTTTGATCTTCCGGGTGAACGTAGTCCGGAATAGGACTGTTGTTGTTGACAGTGACCGACGTTTCGACAACCTGTGCGGTAGTCATCTTCAGAGTCAAAATGAGTTGTATCACATCAGTTGATGGTATTATACTCTGGTTATTGATTTGATTGGTCAATTACGTCGTGATGTTATTAGTTGTCTGTCAGTTAAGGCGTGAGGTTATTTGCTATGAAGACTCGTAATCAGTAATTGGTGCGTTTCGATCCGTCTATTGTCACAGTTAAACAGTCGTCTATTGTTAGTCAAATTGTCATTCTCTCGTGGTTAGTTTTGCTTGATCTCGTCAATAAGTCGTTTGTACGGCGCTGGTAACTGTTGGCTACGATTCAGTGGCGTTTGTTCTAAGTTAGTAAACCAGCTTTCTAAAGTAAGACGTTGACAGTAGTCTGTAGAATACGTTATACATGTCGCAGAGTCCCAGTCAATTTGATGTTTCGTCTTTAAATGGTGCTCAGCAATGTGATTGTTGAGGTCACCATTCTTCGTAGCTCGTTTGTGTTCGGTCAGTTGCATGCTCAGGTTTCTGCCAGTTTCACCAATGTAAGAAGTCTGGCAGTCGCAGCATTTGATCTTGTATACTGCTCCCTGTCTGTCCTCCGGTTTGTCTTTGTCTTTGACATTAGTAAGCAGTCAATAGTTTCAGAGGTGCCTCTGATGTATGGTATAGTCGCTGTCGTAACAGGGCCAGAGTTGGTCTGAGTGTTGGAATCAGTAGTGTTACTGTGAATTTTCCGTCTAACAAAGTCCGTGTTGTAATTGTTCTTACTAAAAACGTTGTTAAGATTATCAGTCTCGTCTTGTAGGCTGTCAGGTGAGTCACAAACTAGTTGCGCTCGTCTCGTCAGAGTCCGGATAGTAGTAGAGGTCGGGTTGTACGAAGACTGGTCTAGTAATCGGTCGGTATGAGTCAATTTTCTGTAAAAAGTCGGTTTTAGTTTGTTGTTGTCGCGAGTGACCAAGAAGTCTAGAAAAGGTATCTTACCATTTTCTTCGATCTCCTTGGTGAACTGTATGTCCGCGTTCTGCCCGGGGGGGTACTCGATATATCCTTGGGTGGGGAGGTGCGGCTCAGCCCCTCATACCCTGACCCTGTTTAAGACAAAAATCGCTGATTTTCCTACCCTGTTTAAGACAGAATTCCGATTTTTGATACCCAGTTTAAGACATTCGTAGAAGGCTGTTTATCGTCTAAGAACAGGGTTATGGATTCCTGTCTAAGAAAAGATACCCTGTTTAAGACAAAAATTGATAAAATCGATACCCTGTTTAAGACAAAAATCCCGAAACACATACCGTGGCTGGCCGCACGTCCCCGTTAAGCCCTTATAAAGGGACCCCCCCCGGGGCGTTCTGTCTGTTAAACGGCAAAAAATATAACTGACTACCGACAAAAGGAGAAAAAACATTACCGACTACCGAAAGAAATATTAACCGACAACCGACATGGTCCAACATTGTAAGGATGTTTTTACTCAGAAAAAAAATTGTATTTTCAATTTTATCAAAACTATGCGTGAAGGTTGATCACTTTAAATCCCAATTTCGTTACTTATAGAATTTCCTGTCATCAACTTACTCGTGTCAAATTGTTATAAAATCGCGTAGGTTCGATTTTCGCTTTTTTCCTGGCATGCTTGATTGAGGACTGCCTATTTCGTGCCAGCAGCTCAAGCTCATTTGATACTTCAAATGGTGCGCCTTTGTTCCTCTTCATTTTCGGGGGAAAATCTGGGAAAGCGCGCGCTCATTTCCCGGGAAACAGACTTTAGTCACTAAAACTAACTTAACTATTGCTATTGATTACTTTGCAGACAGTCCGTAAACTGGGAGGAACTGGTTAAAGACTGCTAAAAGTGGAGCAAACGATGGCGCAACTTAAGCAAACCAGACTTTAGATAAGGTTCCATTGTAATTAAATGATTATCTACGCGGAATGAAGAAGAAGTGTTACCCTTGTATAACGTTTAAACTGTGTGAATGAAGTAACGAATATTAAAAATTAACTTGTTTTTTAATCATTAACCTAGATTTACAGACAATCAACAAACGTCGAAAATTTTAACCGACAACCGACATGTGGACCCTCCCATTCAGACCCTCCTTACAGCTCTCTTTTTCGCCGTGTAATTTATTTACAGATTCACCAAATGTATCATGACTGAATAATGGCCAGAGACTAAGTTCGCAGGATGTATAACAACCTGAGATATTTTAGCATTTTTGTATTAATATGGAATTTCTGAGAAATTCAATATTGATACAAAAATTATGGCAAAATTAGTATAAAAAAATGCCGATGTGCGTTTCTCTTGTGAACACCTGCTTACTGTCTAAATAGGTACAGTGGAAGCTGGTTAATACGGACATCAAGCGGACATGCCATAGTGTCCGTATTAACCGGGTGTCCGTATTAAGCGAGCTCTCCGAAAATATGTCACTGGGGACACATAGTTTACTTATATAAAGATTAATTGAAAGCAGACAACGAGAAGAAGGGTAGGAACAATGACTGCCGCAAAAAGCCAAGGAAGTGAAACTTGTGAACTTAGTAGACACAAGACTTTATTTAAGGGCAGGCCCGAGGCAGGCCCGAGGTTTAAACATGGGAAGAAGGACGGACTCAAGAAAATCAAATAGTCGTCCCGAGGGCTTTTCCTCTTGAAAAATGGTAGGGGCGTCCCGCCCATTTTCTATAATGGACAATCCCAGGGGACGAGGTTGGCAACGCCATTTTGTTTCCTCTTTCTTTTAAGTATAAAATCGTATTAACCTGCATAGAAATATGTCATAATTTGAACAGGGTACAATGTCTACAACTAGCACATATATGATCGTGACATGAACATAGACAGTGCGCAGGTAACCAGTGTCCTTAACGCAGGGTTGAGGATATATGAGTATTCGTGACTGGGTGCACAGAAAATTGTCCGTTGTCCATATATGCCGGTGTTTTTAATAAGCGGGTTAATTTCACGAATATGAACTTTTTGTCGGGACAAACGAAACTGTCCGTTATATGCGGGTGTCCGTAGAGCGTGGTTCCACTGACAGGGCTAACGGCTGATTGGTCAAGAGGTTGTGACATGAAAAAGTGATCTCGTAGTTACTGCGCATGCGGAAAGTTAAGAATGAATGATCTTGTTGTCAATATGGCGGACGTTCGATGGCCGATTGGGAGCTGCATTTTTCCAATTTCTTACCATATCACCAGAGGTTCCACTGTATTACCATTAGTAGCATTAGTATTCTTGCACGAGAGATTTTGGACTCAGCTTTTTCAGCTCAAATTTTCTTTAATTTGTTGCTTAGGAGACAACATTAAAATGATACATCTAAGTCACTCACTACTCGTGTCTGCAGCAACGAGAAAAACGAGCACGGGAAACAACTTCATATTTGGAACAGTCCCTTGTAAGATGCGTTTCCTCTTTGCACTGAAGATAGAGACCTCTTCCCAGGCCAGGATGGATATAAGTAATATCACTTACTCTAACCGGCTATGATTGGTTCAAAGTTGAGAACGCCTTTAATCAAAATTTCTAATCGGAACCCAACAGGAATTCAAAGGCCGAATTGTCCGTATTAAGCGGGGGGGTGTCCGTAGGGCGTAATTCCACTGTATCACCATTAGTAGCATTCGTCATTTATTTTATAAATTACATACCAAGGATAGTACAATGACCTGAAACTGATATTGAAGTGTCTGGCTTCTAGAAAACTTTATCGAAACACTTTTAAAACCGTGAAAGGTTTGAACCCAGGAGTCATTTCAAAATTAGGTTGAGTTATTGACGAGATCAAGCAAAACTAACAACGAAAGAACGACTGGAGAACTGACAATTTGACTAACAATAGACGACTGTTTAACTGTGACAATAGACGGATCGAAACGCACCAATTACTGATTACGAGTCTTCATAGCCAATAACATCACGGCTTAACGGACAGACAGCCAATAAAATCGCGACGTAATTGACCAATCAAATCAATAACCAGAGTATAATACCATCAACTGACGTGATACAACTCACTTTGACTCTGAAGATGACTACCGCACAGGTTGTCGAAACGTCAGTCACTGTCAATAACAACAGTCCTATTCAGGACGATCAAACTCAACCTACTTTTGAAACACTTTCATTTGATAGTTTTGACATTTTTATATCTTATCATCACTGCTGAAAATAAAAGACAACGAAATGAACAATGCACAAAAAATGCAAAAACAGCTGAACCATTCTGATTAGTAATTTTTAATAACTAATAATTATAATTGAAATGAGTATAAGGTTTCGACATGTTTTGTGGTATCTGGTTTAGATGTTACAATATATTTCACGAGCCGTAATAGAGCAAAGAAATTCGAGACAACTTTGAAACATAGATGGCAATTAAAAAATCGTGCAACTGTCAATTTTCGTCGTTGACTTGGCTCCATGTGTATAAAATCTCTTCTCTTGGTATTTTCCACAACACTTCCAGATTCTTCCAGCCATTTCGGATCGTCAAGTCCATCTTATCGTCAGGATTAACGGGCGTGTTCAAGTAGGTTCTGTAGACAAGCGACTGGCAAAATCTGGAAACTACCAAGACAGGAAGCAAAGAAATTTCTTCATTGGATAATGGGTTGACAGAATTATAACCATTCAAAAAGTATTTTGCCATTCGGATTCTTCCGCCGCTCAACTCGAAGCCGACTTCAACGTTTAAAATGTGCATAAGAGCCACTGCTACATCAAAAATCCGGCAGCTGTAGTTAAGAAAACCAAAATCAATGAAGCCAATCCCGGGTGCAGTTTTTCCGTTTTCGTCAGAAAGAATAAGAATATTGCCTTGATTCAAATCGCCGTGGATTAATTGCTTGGGCAGAAGGTGCAGCTTTGGCAAAACCTCCTTTCGAAAATTGTGACAAATTTTTCGAACCATTTCGATGTAATGATTTTCACTGACGGCTTCAAGATATTCCTCAACCGCGTCTCCAGCGCGGGACATGTCCCAGAGGAAATCTGGACGACTCAGCGTTGAACATTCAAATTCCTGCCAAACAAAATTTACCATATGATAAATAAAAGTGCATCAAGGGAACCAAAAGGCCACAATGCATGCTGGATGTGTTCCATTCAAGCAAAACTTTCAGACGAGATCTCCAAAAGCGTTATGGTCACGAACGGTTCGTAAGTTAGAGGTGGTGGATGTTGGGTCATTTAGACCCCAGGGTACTCCCTATTACGGCCTATACGGAGAGCCCCCCCCCCCCAAGAAAGGGGTACCTTTTCTGTCAAAAATGGTATATAAAAGGGTAGGGGGTTGGATTTTGCCGGGGGTAGCCTGCCTGTCTATAATTTTGTTGCGTCTCCACCAGACTTTAGATAAACAAAGGGTGAGAAAGCGATGCATTGTTAAGCTTACGCGAAAGATCAACTTCCTGTCATCATTGTTGACCTACAGGACGTCAACTTGATTGTTGCCTCGGAAAAAGGCTTAAAGCTGCACTTAAACTTTTATTCTGCAATATGGTATTTATTTTAAAACCAAAACATCAAGGACATGGGAGCCTGCAAATTTTCAGTGGCCTTTGATTAACAGAGAGCATGCGTCATTGGGATACACCGCTGGTCCGATGGCGCAGTTCAAAGGTACATTCCGTTGGAAATGAAAACTATCAAGTTAAATAATTTTTTTACCTTCAATTCTCTATTCATCTTCCCCACAGCCTTTCCAACTTCAAAGAGCACTTTGTTGCTGAGTGAAGTTTGCTTCAGCACTTTACCCGGTACATAGTTAAGCAACCGTACAGCGCAGACAATGAATACATCCTCAGAATATGCTTCGCCATTGTAAATCTTGGCAGCGTTGTTCTCTCCGTTAGTTTCCAGGGCAATAACACCAGGATAGTCACGTCTTGGGATTTTACACATCACGTAGGACGTGCCCAAGACGGAGGGAACAGGGGTACTGCACTTAAAGCCGCGTGCGTTGAGGAACGTCAACACACCGAGCTGTGTGGCAATAAAACACTCGTCGCTTGAATCAACCTCATTTGCTATTTTGAGGATAAACTCTTTGTTGCTAGACAGAACATTCCGCTCTTCTTGTGCCCTCAATGTTCCTCGCAGATAGAAGTTTTTGTCATCGAAGCTGCTGAGATCTTCAACTGCTGTCACCTGCAGGTCGAATAGACGAGTTGCCATAACTACGGCTTGATGGGTAGTCACGTGAGGAAGAGGCGATTTCGGAACGTTATCCCTGTCCATTCTCCTGGAAACAGACGAGAAAAGTAAACGTAATATTAATACCGTAATCTGCCGCTTATAAGCTCTGGGCTAACACTTCTTAGTGAGGGGTTTTAAGAGGGCTCATATCCCCGGGGGGGTTATACTTGGGTTTTGTTTTTTTGGTGTTTACGGGTAGATGGACCGACAACCGGCAGTTTACCGTATTCGGTTAAAGTAAAGTGATCAATGAAATACCAGTCCATAATTTGCAATTTGCAGTTCGAAAGTTGTGCGGAGTATCCACCATCATTTTCTTCTGTTTGATCTTTGAAGATACTTACCTCAAGAGACAGGAAAGAAAAACATATACTGATTGGCCTAGATTATGATAAATTAGACATGGCTGTCATTACAACCCCTCCCATCACCTTCATCAGCATCGTACAATCGTCCTATTTGCTGGTAGTCCACGTGTTACAATCGTAGCTTGGCGTAGCCGGAAGGGGAAGACAGTGGGCCACTATTCATTTCTTTAGGTTTGGTCTCAACGGCATGCCGATACAAAAGAAATCTTTTAAATTTCCCTAACTCCGCTACTCGATCGACTTCTTCGATGTCATCAGCGGACTTCGTTACTCTTCCAGTGTCCAGTGGTATTTGTGAACGACAACCTCCTATCATCTGGACAAAGTAAATCTTCCAGTCCTCGGCTTAGAGCGTATGTAAAAAGCATCGTTCTGTAATATAGACCAACATCTCTCATGATTGTACCAATGTATACATTGTATACATTGCCTGCGTAAGTCCTCAAAATTTAGTTTTACTTTATACTTCCATATACCATCCCAACCCCTAAATAGAGAGGAGAAGTCGCTACATTACGTTGCCATGGTAGCACAATTTCTGAATGACAACAAACGAAAACGTCACTTAAAAAGTGGATTCGCATTGTTTTAGACGTCATCGATCTTATTCAATTTCATTTAATATGTCAAATGTTGGCGAAATTTTCTGTGTTTGAATCGGAAAGCACCATTTAAGTTAAGATTTTCAGCAGTATAACCATTTTAAGTATTAGAAGATATGTTTATGCGCTTGTATGCTAATACTCGAGTGAAAAGAAAAAGTGAACTCCAGATGTTTTTGTTGATTTCCTAAGGCCATATTGGTGCACCAAAACTGTACACCACTATGGCGTCTCCATACAAAGCTCTACAAAGGTGCGTGAAACGTTTCGGCAAATAACTCAGAAACTGTGGGCCACAAAGACCTGAAACTTGGACAAATTGTTTATATATTAGTATTTTATAACTTTCATTTTCTTGGCTTCTTCCACTGGACGGTTTCCAATTTATTTTTTGTTGCGTGACAGTGAAAACGATCTATTGCTTTTTCGCCGTTTTCGATGGCGTCACCGTCCTCGTTGCTTGCTTCCTATTGTTGTAATCCAAAAATTTTGCTGCCATGGTAACGTGACGTCTCTAATTCGCAGGAACAGTAAAGGGCTAAGTAGCTCAGCTGCTTTGTAGCTTTGGCAGAGTTGGAGAACTGATAGCGGAGATTACACACATACTGAGAAGACGAAATCTGAGCCGAACTGCTGCAATTAACTCAGCGGATGAGCAAGTTCATCCATTCCTGCAAACTTTCTCAACATAAAAAAACCCTTTTTGCCGTTAGTGCAGATCTATTCGGAAAGGAAAGTCCTTTTCATTTCAAGATCGTTAGTCAGTATTTAGGACGTTTAAACACTTTCCTAACTGTTTCAAAATTATTCTGCGGCAGCACTTCCTTGTGACAGCGCCCAGTTATAAGTGTTTAATGCGTGCATATACATTTTAATATCACGCTTAAAAGCGCTCCTAACAAAATAGTAGTAATCCGTATTTCCCTGGTCCAGTCCAGCCATCCAGTGCAAGAAGCCAAACCCTCTTAAATATAATGCTTTTGATTGCTCTCCAATCAAGTATTGTCGGTTTATTTTGTTTGAATGCACCGAACTACAAAGTAGGTTTAAAGCGTGTCGAGCAGTTATTCAGCTTCAATGCCTTTGAACTGGGAAGTAGGTTAATTTTTGCCCGCTAGTGTGCAAAACGTTTCACTCGTGATCACAGACTGGAAACTGTTACCGTGATTGCAGGATCAGGATTAGTTTGTCACGATCTTATAACTAGTTCAAATCTGTTAGCTTGCCACTTAAATTTAGACGCTTTTAGAACTCAAATACAGTATTTGTATTTGCTGATAGTCACGCTTCCCTCTTTTGTTTACTGATTCTTATCTGCATACGTAGTAAGCACCTGCGTATACATAGTGATTAAAGCACACGTGCGCTATTGGGCAATTTTGAACTACAAGAAAATAAGATTCGATATCATTCACTGATTTCCCTTACAAACAGACAAGGGTAGTTTGGAAGTTTGTCGCACCGTGATTTTTCATTTCTTTGTTTAATTATTTCCTTATTAAAGATTCTATATACTCAGTTAATTATAATGTGTCACTGATGTGTCCAACCACGGAAAGTGCAAGCAGTCACGCTCGGCTCTGACTCTGCGTTGATGCTGATTTTCACTACATTATGTACAAAGCTGGACTATCTGAGAGCTTTCAGCGTAATTCGAGTTATGCAGTGTGGATCACAATACATTAGGTAAGTCAAAGGAACACTTTAATTTTACCGTGAAAGGGAAAAATGCAAATTTGTAATCGCGACCTGATTATTATTTAACAACTTCTGTCTTGCCACTATGATCACTACCTCAAAAGTCGTAACGTTTGAATTTCGTCTTAAATAAATGTAAGAGGATATTTCAGATTTAGGTAACTGCTGAAAAACTTCTTCAAAAAGTGAAAACGAAAAAAATAACATCTGAACCTTTTATGCGCGGTTCCTTACATCCGTAATGATAGTTCATTGGCGGTTGGGGATCACTGAGATTTTCAGTTCCGCATTCAGATATTACATATTTTTGAGAAAACGTATCTGTTCAAATTCCTATTCTATATTGAAAGCCTATGTTAGGGACCCCACTTTTGACAGTATTTCAAAATGCTTATGTTTTCGTTGATTCAGTTACAATTACAGCTCTGTCGTTTTCTACTTTAATCGGTTTCCACTTGAAGCAAAATGATAAAAAAGCAACGTTTAAAACTGGAAGAAATTTATCGCTTGGTCTTAATCTACATCTTGGAGGAAAACAATTCGTGATTCAACTGAGTGCTAAGAAACATTGGTCCAAAACAAAGCAACGGAAAATCCAAACTCTAACTGACAGCAACAGAGTCATGAAATTAAGTCTAACTTGCCTTAGATTGTCGATTGATCGAGGAATCGTATCACACGTTATAGTATGAGGAGCAAACTGTTTGATCGAGGAGTTTTCTTGAGTGAAAACAACACAGACGCGTAATAGATAAAAACAACGGGAAAACAACAAGCTACTGAAACTACGCAATTCAGCCAAGTGCAAACTAACACGATTGGTTTGCACGATCGACCAACCGGTTTTCCATTGATAAAACCTGTTTTATAGTTCCTGTAATGGCCAGTTTTACCAGACTGACCTCCTCTCCGACTGACAGACATCTCCGATTCGCCTATATCAACCACCTATTATTCCATGTAATACTCCATGAATTGTCCCCATTCCTTTGTCGTCAGGGGCACCAAACGACAATTTTCGGAAAATTATCTGTTCGGAAGACGATTTCAGGTCTAGAATTTTCGGATCATTTTCTGACAAATTTCTTGCTTGCTTGCCTCTCCTAGGATTTTCGAACTTCAAAAAATCGTATAATGGCCCATTTTTAACGGATTTTTACCCTAAAAAGGTCACCTAGAATTTTCGGGAGCCTTTTTTCTGGCTGAAATTTTCGAAAAGGTAAATTTTGATCCCTATAATTTTCGGATCATTATACTTTCAGCTAGGAAATCCGAACAGATGAAAATTTTTTAGGGGATAAAAATAAGCCTTTATCTACCGTTTAAATACTAAAGTACGTTCAACTATGCTATGTTTATGTGGTTTTGAACTATACTCTCGTTGGGTACCCCTGTGTCGTGCAATGTTTCAGTACTAGGTATATATAATAATGAGCCCTTATTATACTACTGACTTGCATGTTTTTTTTTAAATGATATAATTATACAAGCCGCACAACAAATTATGTCAGGACCTTTCTCATAAACTATCAATCAATCGATCAATTTATTTATGTGATGGGTGGGGTTGCCCCGATCATCCAAGCCAGAGGCTCATGTATGAAACGTATGACAATAAAAATAGCTAACAATAATACAATACATTTACAATAATACAATACAATGTATAAAAATGATATATCCGTGAATACTTACAGCAAGACCCGCCCGCATCCCACTGAATTAATTAAAAATTAAAAACCCTAAGAATAAGTTAAAAACCTTAAGATAAAAAAAATAAATAAATACATCTAAGATAGAGTAAAAACCTAAAGACATACAAAAACTGCATTTACAACTGACTCTTAAGTTTATAAGATCAAAAGATATTAACTGCTTAAGAAACTCACTCAACTCAGTCGATCTCTTAATGTAAGAAGGAAGCTGATTCCACAAATGCGAAGCCTTGTAAGTGAAAGAATTGTGATAATATCGATTATTATAGAATGGTTGAGTGAGATTGTGTTCTCTGTTCGTTACATTGTAACGTAATATACGAGGTTCAAATAGACTAGAAATGTAGTCAGGCCCATTTCCTTTTATACATTTAAGGTCATTCCCCTGAAATAGAACTTCTCGTCTTCCCTTTTCTTTTAGACGTACAAAAAAACCTTTTTTATCTCTCGACTTGGTGCCGACCCCGACGGTAGCCATCTTGAAAGATTGCGTGACCAGTGTTGCAATATTATGCGCAGTAGAGATGCGCAATGCAATTCAGGGGATTGACCTTAAAAAGGAGAGTTAAGGAGGAGCAAGGGTGGGGCAGTGGTGAGAGCACTCGCCTCCCACCAATGTGGCCCGGGTTCGAATCCTGGCGTCGACGCCATATGTGGGTTGAGTTTGTTGTTGGTTCTCTCCCTTGTTCCGAGAGGTTTTTCTCCGGGTACTCCGGTTTTCCGCTCTCCTTAAAAACCAACACTTTCAAATTCCAATTCGATCTGGAACGCACGGACATGTTTCAACGAGTTCTTATGAACTCGTTAATGCTCCGTGGGTAAACAAATTACAAATTACAATTTTAGACTTGACAAAACACAAATAACAAATTAACTTTACTGAAGAAGTTTAAATAATGCATGTACATCAGTTCATTTTCACATTCACTTAGCCCTTCGCTTTCAATTACAACCGTCAATAATCGAAAACTATTGGATTAACTTACAAAGTTTATTGAGTTCGAATTGTCATACTCGGGAAATACCGATAGTTTTGTTATTGCTTGTGATAAACTTTCCTCGTTACTTGAGCAATTGCCTCTCTATGATACTAAAGCATTACATGCGCGCTCATTTACGGTTGCTGCTACACGAGTGAAGAAATTTCAGGCAAAGGCTTTTGTTTTTTTCGTCCCTATAAACGGCTTCAAAGTTTGTGTAGTCTTTACAAAGAACACAATCAGAATCGATAACTAGCGGACCTCGCCATGGATAAAATCCAAAGTTCACGGAAACACTTCATGATAATTGTCAAACACTTGATTGTCTCCCCAAAACAAGAAAGTTTTTCCAATTTTTTTATTGATTTTGTTGTTATTACTGTCCATTCGGTAATAATTTCTCACAAACGGGTATCTGATATAACTTCGCGAACACCATTTCCTTTCGAGTAGTTGCGGGATCCAAATTTTGCGGGTAGGGACGCCCGAGAGCGTTTTGAGCCACACGACGACACCAAAGAACGGGATTTGCCTCGCTGAGTGCGTGTGCTCTTCTTACGGGCCGCCTCGTCAACGGTGGGAAAAACAAATGGATCGTCTGATTCCAAGCCGAAGTCAATACTGACGCAAAAACTCTCAGTGTCCCCATCTACAACGGTGTAACCATCTTTCTCATCATAAGGCACCGTGAACGTTTCCAAGAGGTCTGTTTCCATTCCAGATGAGCACAGGGAGCGTTGGTTCAGCAGTGAGCTGGCCATCTCTGTCATAGTAGAGCAGTGATCAAGATACAAGCTATCTTGATCCGTGGGATATTTTGTGAAGCGCACTGTTTCGCGATCATCTGAAGAGGAGCTGTCTTCTGTCCTTTTTGTGTTTCTTCTTATGGACCTGGGAAAAAATGACAAAGACAGTAATTGTAACTGAGATTTTCTGTTATTTTTTCACCACAAAGCACTTGGGAGTTCTCAAGAACTCGTTAAAACGTGTCCGTGCTTTCCTGATCGAACTGGAATTTGGAGGTATTTGTTTTTGAAAAGGGGGGGAAACCGCGGACACAGAAAAACCTCTCCGAACAAAGGAGAGAACTTACAACTAATTCAACCCACATATGGCATCTACGCCTTACCATGAACCCGGGCGACACTGGTGGGTGGCGAGAGCCCTCACCACTGCCCCCCCCCCCCTTGTTCCAAAGCTGATACCCAGCCGTTTTATAAGTTCAACTTAACTAAATTTGTAATAACTTACCGTCTCACTATTACTTTTCTCTTACGCATGTAGCGCCTAAAAAGACGAAAAAAAATAAATTCTTTCATTGCTCTAGTTCTTGTAACGTATGGTTTCCCTTCTTGTCCAAAAACGGCTTGTTTTGTAATGGCAGCATTCTTCAAGGAATTTACGCAGAAAAGATGAAAAAACAGGGGAGAAAAATAAGGACAAGAACAAAAACGAAGGAAAAAGGACGACACGTCCTCACTTTGGATTGTTTTGGTGTTTCTTGGAGTTGCGCAAACTTTGTTGTTTCGCTTTTGTTATGTGTGTCAGTTTCAAACTTTTGTTATAAGTCATTTTGCGTTGGCACCCATCCGAAACGCCAAGAAACTACCGACATTGTTTATTTAATGCTCAGCGGGGACCCAAAATTTCCGAAGAAAGATCCGTCCGCTCTGTTTGTTATACCCAGGCTTCTCCATGCAGGGTTTCTGCAGTCTGTTTCTTAATCTTTTCTATTCCTTAAAGACCGCACGGTTTGGCAACCTCTCTCCGAGGGCCTCACTGCAGACCTTTCAACACGTTCGAAACACTCAGTGATCTTGGTGATTTAAGCAATCTGATCGGTGAAAAGTGGCTTTAGGAATATTTACCTCGCTGCCTCCCAGCCTGTTCGCAGGCTACCCGACTCAGATATATTTCAGCCGCTATTCACCTCGATTTGAAAGAATAATTGTTATATGTTGGTATTATACTTGGGACTTAATCTCTCTTTTTATCCGATACCCATAGCAATCTACTATAATATTGGAAGTTAAAAAGATAGCTTAACTTACATTCCCTCTCTCCATATCACCAAAGCAATAATAACTGCGATGATCAAAACAAACACGCACACAATAACGATGACTTTGGTCTGATCTGTAGAGGGAAAATAAATTAAAACTAATGAGTGATTGATACGCTCAGGACTAAGCTTTGTTTATTTTGCAAACACTAATAGAATAGCATGGAAGAAAAGCTGGAAGCAGGAAAAAATCCGTAAATGGATTTACAAAGCGAAAGTAGTGCAGCCAATCATCAATAGAGCTACCACGTTGGCGGCCAATCATCAATAGAGCTACAACGTTAGTGGCCCTTCTTGCCTAGTCCCTAGGTTTGATTATTCCACCTGGCCTATGTGTTTCGGGTCACGTGGTCCAAGCACCGTTCATTTCGTATACGTCACTGAAATGTGTCGACCAAGAAGGCCTGGGAATAGCCAAGTGGCTTCTATGATCTGTGTCTGTAGGCGATGCTTTTAAAACTGAAGACAGATACTTCATTATTAGACTTGCTACAATTCGACCTCTTCGCGAGTGGAGCGAGCCTTTTTAGGCCGCGAAGCGGCCGAACGAGCGACGTGTACTTCATTATAGGAAATTAATGTTCTATGTCCGCGACTTGAAGCAACACGAATTTAATGGAAAACGAATTTCGAATAAAGAAAATTAACGCAAAAGACGGGGTAACATTTCAAAATGAAGAAAATTAACGAGGCTTCACAAGGAACAAACCTTGTTAATAACATAGGGGCAAATTTAAACGTATGATCCGAAATGGGAACTTCCTTTGTGGTGCTTTCCCTAAACGTACGAGGCGGATTAAGCGAAGAAAGCTGGCCACTTCGAGGGGTCTTCACAGTTTCACTGTTGCTGGCGAATCTCCACTCTGATGAAAATGCTCTTCTCTCTTATGTGTCAAGAATGCCAAAGGTGTATCGAAAATTTGGGGCCGAAATAATGGAAATTATGGTCGCGGAAATTAACACGAATTTTTGAAATTCGCGTTAATTTCCTGTAAATAAGATGAGAATATATCTACACGAACCTTCTTTTGATATAACTGAAATGGTAGTGGGTGCCCTGAGTTCACCGGTATCTCTTCTTCCAGTTTCAATCTGTACAGAAATAACACTAGATAGTGGAGGGATCCCATGATCCATTGCGCGAACTGTTACGTTATAGAGACAACGCGCTGCCAACGATCTAGCGACTCTCAAGGTTCCAGTATAATGATCTATCTTAAAAGTACCGTTTAAGTTGCCGGTACAGTGCAGCGCTTCATCATGCTCGGATAAAATAGAGCCAACGATATCCAGCACAGCGTATGCGACTTTCCCTCTGAGCCCACTATCCTTGTCAACAGCGGTCATCGTTATAACGGCTGAGTTGACTGCAGCATCCGCTGCAAGTTGTATCGTAGACTGGAAAATGTAAAAGTACAAAGCTGCATTATGTAATAGAAGTTGTTAACCTATTCACCTTTAGACTGAGTTACTAAAGTGAGATGATACGTCATTCTAACTTTTGACTTTTGAATCTGTGGGTGAAATCCTATTTTGCATTACCATTCAAGTGAAACCTCCTCCTTACACTTACTGTTTCCATTTTACAAAAGAAAATTGGATTTTTTCGTTAATTTTTACTTTCGACACTTTAAGGACTGAGAGGGTTATGGAAGAGATTGGTGGGAAAAGCTACTATTTTAAATCAAATAATATAAATCTGACATAATTATCTACAGGATCAAGGAATATTCCAAATAGTAAACTAAAAATGTATGTTAGATATTTTCTACTGAAATACGTATCAATAAATCGTCTACTCTTCGAAATGAGATAGGCTATCGTTTTTGGTCTTAATGTTCTCAATGATATTGAGGAGGATTTATTTGAAAACCGACGGTACAGTAATACATCTCAACAGCTTTTGATGTACCAAATAAACTGTCATGCTTTTGTTACTGAATTTCTGTGTTTATTGTAAAGACTTTTGTTCTTGGGCGATCGTGGTTTAATCAGAAATAAAACACAAACCGCGGTGATAAACATTGTGAGCTTTCGCATTTTATGTTAAACTTGACATATGTTGACTAGCATTCGAAAGTTCACAATGTTTATCAGCGCTGTTTGTGTTTTATGTCTGTGTTTCTTGCAAGCTCGATCATTAGTGTTCTTCTGCATTAGCACGTAGTACATTAATACAGTTAAATACCTGATAATCTCCTTGCTTAAAAACAGGGGCATTGTCATTTACGTCAATCAAGGTTACAATCACTTTTGCGTGGCCTTCAAAGGGCACCTTTCCGCCATCCCTTGCGACAACCGTAAACTCATAAACCTTTAAAATGAGAAGTGGTCATTTAGGATGGTTTTTGGTGCTGTATGAATTATCATCATCATCATAATCATTATTATTATTATTATTATTATTATTATTATTATTACTATTATTTTTATTATTAATATTATTAGAAGTCATTTAATGCTGGTCATTTTTATCACTTAAGGGTTATGGAAACTTGATGGTGTGATATGAAAAATATATAAGCTAGTATCAACCGTGTTGATCAGATAATCTGAAAAACAATCTTACCAAATTAATCTTATCCCTGAATTCACCGATTGGTAGACTTTATGTAGCCATTTAAAGGGTGTAGAACCTTATTGTTCTTTCACTTACTCCTCAAACTTCCCTGATGCCCAATTTTCAGAATCAACCTGGTCTAGTTACAAGTGTGAAAAAAAGGTTTGCTAAGTTATTTCTACATCTGCAACTACACGTACAACGCACCTGTTGTTCCTCTCTATCGAGATCTCCCGTCGTTAATATTTCTCCAGTTTTTCTATTCACATCAAATTTTCCCTTGGTGTTTGGTTCGCTATAACTGGCCATGGCATACGTCACCTCGTGATTCCAAAGAGAGTCCTTGTCGTGCGCATGCACTGTACATATGTAGGTCCCGGATGTAATGTTCTCGTAGACTGACACAGAGTAAGTCTCGTAATCAAACCGAGGTGCGTTGTCGTTCTCATCGTAGACTTCAATATCCACCGTGGCAGGCAGCTGAGCTTTACGCGGTGGTTTTCCTTTATCGGTCACGTTAATTATTAAGCGATAGCTTGACACATTCTCATGGTCGAGTTTCCTGGTTAGGGAGAGAAATCCCTTGGACTCGTCTAAGAAAAAATGAGACTTTTCGTCTCCCGATTCTATGAAGTAACAAAGTGCTGCGTTCGTGGTGCTGTCCTTATCACTTGCGTGAAGTCGAAGGAGTTCTGTTGTACCGGGCGTAGCTTCTGAGACTGAAATGTTATAGTACGTAGGATGAAAAAATGGTGAGTTGTCATTTTCGTCGGAAATTGAGATAGCAACGGTGGTAAAATCGGTAGGAGATTCCATCATCTCTTCTCTCACCGCAACTTGAAATCGATAAAGTTTTGTTCTTTCGAAATCCAGGGATTTCGCCACATAAATTACTCCTGACGACGAATTCACCTTTAAATCTGATTCTAAATTTTCCTGTACGATCCAGAAAACCATTCCGTTGTTAGTTCGATCGACATCTGAAGCACGTACGCGTAGAACTGACGTCCCAGGTGGCGTGCTCTCTGATAAGGTTTCTTCGTATAATGAGACTTCAAATGCTGGCGAATTGTCGCTTAAATCACTTATAAAAATAAAGACATTTGCTGGTTGCTCCGCAAATAATGGATTTTGCCCTTTATCGCGAGCTGTTATTGTTATGTTGTGTGTTGATTCCTTCTCATGATCAAGATTTCTCGCAACTGTGATGACTCCATCATTGTCTACAGCAAATAATGAAAGAGAATCGCCACTCACAATGGAGTACACGAGCTCACTGTTCGTTCCAGCGTCTTTGTCTGTTGCAGTGAGCTTAAGCACTGAGGTGCCCTTCCCTACTGCTTCGGAAACTGTCACGTTGTACTTTGAGGGCGTAAAAACCGGTTTGTGGTCATTTACATCAAGCACTGTTATGATAACTTCGGCGTACGCAGAAAAGTCAGGATCGCGGGCGGCAATAAAAAGTGAGTAGCTTGGTTGAGTTTCGCGGTCAAGTGGTTTCTTCAGAGTTATTTCACCTAATAGGGAATGAGAGGAAATGTGTGCCATATTGATATAGTTTGATTTAAAAGCTCTCTTGTAATTTTTAATATCTTAGCTTACATAACATATCATCCCATATTATTATTATTATTATTATTATTATTATTATTATTATTATTATTATTATTATTATTATTGTTATTATTATCCCATATTATTATATTATCCCAGTGACAGATGGAGTGAAAAATACTGCCAACTTTCTGTCTTGTCAAGAGATGGTTGGCATGGAAACGTAGTATGTCTGTTCACACTGAGGCACAGTAAGGGTTTTAAAAAAGCCTTAATCGTTAATATCTTAATCAACAAATATTACTGTGATATAAACAGTCCTTAAGAGAAAAACGCGCGCACCTATTAAATTTAAACACCTTTTGAACGTAAAGAAGGAATTTGTAAGTGAGTTATTGATCACTAAGTTTGATTGCTAAGCGCCACAGTAGCTCTCTTCGAATTCCCCTCAGAGGCTTCCTCTGGTATTTCCAAAGAGAATGTCGTAAAATCAGTAATAGTGAGGGCGCGGGGCAAGATGGAAAGAGGTTAAAGTTCTTTTTCTTTCTTTTTCTCCTTCTCAACGTGACACGAGCGCTTTCTTTTAACCTTCAGCCTGCCAGTGGTCTGTTCGTAGAAGAAAATAACGGTCATGTTCTTTTAAAAAGAGCAGAAGTTAACGAAAATTCTGCTATGGTGGCGCTTGTTTGAGTTGATAAAGGAGCTCTCGCGCGGGTGAAGCAAGCGCAGCGGAGAACCATGAGTAATAAACTTTGCCAAGAGAATGATAATCTCTTGAATTTGGTTATCTATGCATTCAAGAAATTTTGGTAGTGACAGAATCGTCCAACCGTACGTTCGTCCGCCCCTTCGTGTTAGCGGATGTGAGATTTCATACTTTCTAGCCTGCACTGTTCGCTGACCAGTGCCACATAACTGTACTGCAGGCTCAGGTGTAAAAACCATATAGAGGTCACGTGTCTTTTAAAGTTCTCCGTTGGTCAGTTATTGGTTTTCAATGTATCGCATGCTCAGGCCTATTTTTTGGGGGGAATTCAGTTTGCTTCTTGCTTAAGGCAAATGTTGAATTACTGCAAAAAGACGATTCTTAAAAGATCTCACGAGAGCTTCACTATTGGCCTTGCCTAAATATATTTATATAACCAATGCATCACATACCCGATGTCTTGTTTAAGCTAAATGTATCCACCCCAGACCCTAAATGTACCGAGTAACTAATGTCAGCATTCCGCCCCACGTCTCCATCCTGGGCACTGAGTATCAACACCACGTGACCCAACGTTGCATTCTCCAGGATGCTGGCCTCAAAGATTTTCTTGTCAAAGTGCGGATGGTTGTCGTTTAGATCTTCGACGAAGATGTTGACATTGGTCACAGAGCTAAGCGCAGCCTCTTCTATGTTTGTTGCTGTTATCAGTAAATGATATTCAGAGATGTCTTCTCTATCCAATGGACGAGTAGTGAAAATCCCGAAAGAACGTAAGGAGATGTTGGGTTGCACGACAAAGGAGTTGTTGATGTTCCCTGCAATCATATCAGTTGTTATCAGTACATAATTCTGGGAATCACCTCCCCATCAACACTTTGCCGTTAAGGAGAAGTAGGGGAGGGATCCCAAGCAAATTCTTTATATTCCCGGATTGAGGATTGCACAATATGATACCACACCTATTAAAGATTAAACTCCCTACCATACTGAGCTTGGACTGCTTGTGGTACAGCATGCATGTTTCGATCCTTTGATCGAACTAGATTTCCTTCTTTAAGGTCACATGGAATCTGACAGCTGATAAAACAAACCTGAAATAATCTTTAAAACCATATCTGCATGAGTTTTCCCCTTGCTCTCCGCTTTTACTGACACGTTAAGAATCAGTTGTGGAGCAGGACCGTTCTCTTTTACAGCCACTGTGTAGTGAAGAGATTCAAACGCAGGTCGAGGATCTGAAAATGAATAAAACATAGCCGACCATAAATATCTTTAGATGTCACATTATGACAATGCTATTATACGGCTTCAATAGTTCGCGCGCTCTGATTGGCTGCTAAGCGGATATAATTTTCTTTCATTATATGGCTACAATATAGCACGCGCTCTGATTGGCTGTTTTGTTGTAATGACCAAGCATTACTAGCTAGGTGTCCAAGGCATATACAATTTCAACCTCGTTCCCAGGTTCTCTCTCCTACCTCTCTCGCTCCGTAGGGACGGGTAGGAGACAACCCTAGGAACGAGTTTTTGATACAATTTGTGTTTAACTTGATAGTGGACATCCTTATGGTCATCCATGTTACGGTCAATTGACCACTAGAGAAAGTACCATAAAATACCGTAATGTTCCTTGTTTGTCACCCCAAAATTTTGCATAACCATTGTTTTCAGTTTCTCTTGAGAACAAACAAAGAGCATTATGGTATGTAAAGGTATTTTCTGACAGCTGTCAAAAAGGATATCCGCTGACCATTGTCACCTGATTGAAACGCAGGTTCAAGTATACAACTCATTGAGGTGACCTGTTTTTTTTAAGTCATCAGCTTACCAGTTGATGGTTTTTATTGATCCTAGGATCAGGTCCATGGTGAAAAGGCCATATAATAAATAACTTATCAACCTCGCCCGTTCGTTCATACCAGGGAAATCTCAGGCCTCTGCCTTGATGTATTGATCGAGCGATAGCGAGGTCAATACATAGAGGCCGAGGTCTAAGATTTCCCTGGTATGAACGAACGGGCGAGGTTAATAAGTAGTATATGTACGATGTAACCCTTAACTAACAGGTTCCATTTTGCACCGTGTATGCTCAATTACAGGTAAATGATCTGAGGTACGTGTCCGTTTTCATCTCGGCATTCCTGTATATACCCACCATACACAGTAAGGCGCGCAACATTTGAACTCACAGACACTCCAGATATCTCTGCGACGCATGCGTAGTTACCACTGTCTTCCACCGTCGCGTTGATGATGGACAGGGAGTTGATAGTTACATTGGACAAAATCTGCTGGAAAAAGAAAAGACATCAGAAAACGGAAAAACCATTAATTTAATCATGAAAAATATATCAGCAAGTCCGGGCTTTGCTCTTACAAATCTACAAAATTTCCCGAATGGCTCCCGAGGATCATCCGCGAAAAAATTCTCACTCACTTTGAAGTTTTTTAACCAGCGGTATTCCGGTGGAGTTTGACCGACAGCTTCACATGACCACGTGAGTGAATTACCAACTCTTGTACGTAGAAAATCGGGTAAAAGGCCCGAGACGAGCACTGGTCCATTATTTGTGCACAGAAATGGACCCCCAACAGAAGCTAAAGAAAAGCAAAGGACACAGTGATTCAATACGCTACAAGCAATGTGTACTAGAAACTGGATAACACGCAATATTAAGGTTACTGTAGGTGTCCAAGGTATATACAATCTGTCTTTAACTTGATAGTGGACATCCTTATGGACGTCCTTGTTATTTTCAATTGACGGCTGTCAAAAAGTGTACCCGCTGACCAGTGTCACATCAATGTATCGCGTGCTCAAGAGTAGAATTTATTGTGGTGACGTGTTTTTTTAATTATCCGCTGACCAGTTACTGGTTGTAAATGATCGCACGCTCAGGTTCATAATGAAAATGCCATATCATAAATAACTTATCAACCTCGTCTGTTCGGTCATTACAGCCTTGATGTATTGACCTCGCTATCGCTCGTGTACCAGAAAGGTAACATGCAAAATTAAGGTTACTGTAGCGATCACAAAACAGTACTTTTGTTGCCAATGAAAACCCGGGGATACTTTGGAAACTCTTGTTGAGTGTGTGTCATTCTCCACAACCGTTTTCAGACCTGGCTTGTAGGGTTTGTATGGCAGGGGTTCACAGACGCGACATTCATGTTTACATAGACAAAAGTTATGTCATCATTACTTAGATAGCAACGCCAACGAAACGATTTCTTATAATACACGTTGAATTGGTATATCACATTTTGTTGCTTATTCATTCGGAATTGAAACAACAAGTACGTTCATACACTCCAGAAGTTCCCTCGAAAACCATTCCCCGGATTCCAAAGGGGCGGCACATACCTATATGGCTTTTATAAGAAAGTACACCCTCCCCCTCGGGAATAAAACGTTTTAGATGAATTTTTTCCCTTGAAGCGGTAAACCTACCATGCATTATAACAGAGAATGTGCTGTCCTCCAGAACTTGAAAGGGATTATCTGACCGAACAGCCACTGCGAGGGTATCCCATTTGTACAAGTGTACAACGCTCATTACGTTTAGTGTGTCAATACTCAGCGGAAGAACAGTCTGACGTGAATACAACCCAGAACTTGGTGATAGTCTCCCATTAAACATAACTAACAGCTCAAAGTCACTACGGAAGCAACAATATGTTACAATGCTTAGTTCAGAAAAGATAAGATTCGCGTTTTTTCCGCCCATTTCTCCACACTAATGCGTTTTCGTTCGAAAACGCGTACGTTTCGATGCGTTTAGGCCTTCTGTCCACACTGATACGCTGAGCGCTTTCGTGAAAACCGAATCGAACTAAAAACGCTCATGAAAGTGAATCAAAACGAAAACTTATACATATCGAATTAGTGTGGACAGTTGCAGCTTATCAAAATGAAAACAATGACCGAAAATGTCGCGGGCGCGTGTCTTAGTAGCATGCCCATAGAGTTAAACCTACGTCACAACGTGCAATTCTATCGGTTTGACCGTTTTAGTGTTTTCTTTTATGTTTATGGAACAGCTGAGCTCAAAGTTGTTACTTTTGCGGTCATATGGATCTGAAAAAGTACCATATAAACTTTGGTACAAGCTTTCTGCGCCGTTTCTTAATTATGATTGGTTAATGGTTGCGTTAAATACCATCGATCAATCATAACTAACGCTTGGCCACCCAAAGATCCCAGAAATCACTGCGCCCATTGCTTGTATCGATTCTTCCTAGGGTTTCTGAAGTAAGGAATTGAATAGAGGAAATAACGATTAAGCAATTTCCCACTCACCACTCAGTGCTCTTAACTGTACATTGTAAAAGCAAATTCACCGCTATAATGTAAACGCCAGTGATGCTAACTACGAAAATGTCATCAGAAAATCCAGGAATTGTCTTGAAATAACCAGGATGATTGGTTGTTGTCCAGTTCTTGACTCGAAACCAATGCGATGTTTGTCGGTCACCGACGGAAGTGTGAAAAGAAATACCGGCAAGAAATCCTTGAACAACGGAGGTTGAGGGGACTGGGTTCAAATACAAATTGGAGTTGCTAGATTGGCTTGATATCGTCCAGCTGTCTTCATCATTTGAGTATGCGTAAACGGACACATAAGTGCCCGCCGCTAATTTAACAGGTGCGGCAATATTGATAACGCACAATTCACTTTCAACGCATGATTTCTTGGCTACAACTGCTGTATCATTTCCGCTGTTGATTATAATGGCAATTGCAACCAACCCATTGGTTTCAAGGAATTTAATGTTAGCAGTAACAAAGTACACACCCTTCTTTGAGACACGAAAGCGATCTGTGGTTTGGTGAACAGAGCCTAGTTGATACTGCCCACTGACGCCAGTGGTTTTCCAACTGACCAGCTCCTTCCATCCTTTTGAGTTGAAAATAACATCACTGTGACGGTCTGCCATGTTACCCTCTGTTTTTTCCCTTTCAGAAATGTAACGCATTGTAAAATAGCTACCATTTATTGTCCACGAAGAGGAATTATCCGCTTTGACCATCACGCTAATCTTCATAGTGTGCCTCAGTTCCATGCTCCCACTGGTTATCACAACCGCATGAGAATCTCGGCGAGTGAACAAACGGCTAGATTCCAACCCACTGTCGGCGGAATTGTCGCCATTCACGGAAATTTTCACAGAGACAATTGTGGCGTGCGAGACTTCTGCAAATGATACACTTGCTGAAGCTAAATAAATCCCTGACAACGGCGCGATGAAATCACCACTCATTGAGTTAAACCCATGACCATCAATGTGAAGTCCGCTCTCCCCCGACGTTTCCCATCCTGTTATTTTCCACCAATTCGATTCTCCAGGTACTTGGAGAGTACCATCTGCATGGGAATAAAATCCGGGCTCTTCGATTGGATAAATGAGCCTTGCAACAGAGAAACCACTGCCTTCCCATACAGTGAAAGCCTTAGCACTGCTCGAGCGTACAGCTACATGGATCTTTCTGTTCTTTTTTAAAAACAGAGCACCACACAACTGTAAAGTTTGTCTGCCGGTTGACTTTGGTTTTTGTTCCATAGCTGAAAAGCCGGTCACAAGTTCTTCGGGGCTACCTCCATTGCTGTCAGATACAAGAATACTCACTTCACAAGACTCAGGAACACTGGATACAATTACATTGGCTGATATGAAATAAATTCCCGCATGATTTATTAACAAATCTCCACTAAGCGCTTCATATTCAAAGCTACCATCCGTCTGAAGAAATAAGCCATTTGTGAGGTCGGATTGCGTCGCCCATCCTTCAATCTTCGACCAACTTCCAGAGCCTATGCTTTTTATCCTGGTATCGCTTTTTCGGGACAGAAATCCAACATTTCCATATGGTATATCTAAAGGACTCACTAAAAATATGGAGAATCCACTTGTGTGTTCAACTTTCCAGTCAGAGTCCATACTTGTGCGGGCACGAATCACAGCGTAATCTCCACGCCTTAATCGCACCATCCCGGAAACTGTGATGGCCATGACCTCATTTTCGCTTGGCGGGTTCGTACCTTGGATGTAACGAGTATTCTGTAAACCATTAGTAAGGGAAGCTTGCCGGTTCACCCCGATATACATCTCAATGTAAGAACCGGAAACGCTAACATCGATATCTTTAGTGACAAGGGTGCATGACACGAAGTAAATCCCGCTTATCGGAGCTGTGTAAATACCGCGGACGCTGTCGAAACCACCACCATTTTGAAATGTTTCTATGTCTTTATTTCCAGGATCTTCCCATTCATCGACTTCAACCCAGTTAGTTGTAGCTATGACCGACTGACTGCCTTTCACAGCATGAAAGCCAGGAACGGCAAATGTTTTACCGATAAACACCACAGAAAACCCGCTACTGTTTAGTATTTCAAATGAAGCACTGCTCTCCGATCTGACAAAAACTGATATACTTTGTTCCTGTTGAAGATTCAGTGCGCCTGCGATGTTAAGGGTCAGATTGTCTGGAGGGTACTCATGAGTTGTAAACAAACCGTTGCCGACCTTGACTTTGCCATCAACAGCTATAACAGCCGAAATACAATTACCTTTAGCCCGAAGGAGAAGATTAGTAGAAACAAAATAAATCCCAGGGGATGAGACAGTAAACCTTTTGCTACTTGGTCGGAAGTTTGTTCCGAACGAGAAGGCGCCTTCTTTGGCTGATAGTCTCCAATTTGGAATCTCCTGCCACATATTACCTTTGAACGCATGCTTAGAGCTGATATAGCTATTTGCCGCTGGCCAATAATGTCGTGTCTTCATGACCGACAGTCCGCTGCCCGGCTCGATAAACCACTTGTTAGGAAAAGTGGAGTGAACAAACACTGATACATGCTGACCTTTACTGAGCTCCAAGAGACCAGAGACTGATAAGGGAAATACTCCCGATGATTCAGGATTGTACTGCGTTGCGAAGAGCCCCGCGTTTCCATTTAACTGGGAAGTACCACTGGATTTCACCAGTACGTCAAACGTTCCTTTACCGCCCCGAATCCTGAGGGAAACCTAAACATAGGAAATATTGTTTGAAAAAATGAACATTTTCAGCTTGCATGTTTTGTTTTCCCATTAGAGAACATGTGATGTTCCACCAGAGAACTTTTTCTTGTAAAAATGGCGTTACCCGCCTGCCTGTATGTTCCTAATTAATGACAAGACAGAAGGCAAATTGGCTTAAGAACATCACCTTGTCGAATTTGCAAAATAAAGCATGCAAGCTAAAAAGGTCTATTTTGAAATATCAATCATAATTAACTTTTAACGACAGATTGTCCCACAGGCAAACCACCATCTGTTTGGGATGGTCTGTCTGTGCTTGTTTAAGGCGTTCAGTGGCAGCTGAATCGAGCCCATAAGATGATATCCATAGAGAGAAAGAAGACATACCCCACACAGGACAAGAAAATCTTTGATGACCAGTAAAGAAACAACTGATCTGCGTCATACAAACTGGTTTTTAGTCATTTTATATTCCATTGATCTGAATTAGTCAATATTTTTTGACGAATTGATCACTCGGTCCTTGTTCCATTAGGGTTTAAACATTGTTCAAGCGTTAACATATTTCAAATTATTAATGAGAAAGAAAGGGTACCGATGGGTAAGGAGAAGGAAAAACTAGGCAATCCAGATTTTTGGGGTCGTTTTGCCGATAAACTGTTATTGAGACCCGGGCTATAGATAAGGACCATTGACCAATCACATAGCACAGACAGTCCCAAAAATCGTATCGCCGAAAACTAAGGCCCAGTCACCAGACTGCCAATGCAATATACTTACAGCTACGAAGTATGTACCTCCGTCACTACATCGGAACCTTCCGTTCTTAAACACGTCTGGATTGTAAAACTGCACGTGCGATATCGAAGGCGTGGACCACGTGGTTAATTCCATCCAACCAGTTCCTGGAATTTCAGTGGCTGTTTGGGTAATTGTTGATAAACCTTGAAGGGAGCTCCCATTATAGGCGTCAATATAACTTACAGAGAAACCACTGTTCTGGTGAATTGTTGATGAGTTGATACTAAGAGCAATTTTGTCTCCTCTTTTAAAGTAAAACGAACCACAGTAGCTCATAGAGAAAATATCATTTGGAGTTGTTACGCTTATTTCGATGACCGGACCATGAGTTTTGCCGTTTACAAGTAAAGACAGTCTGTAGATACCAAGACTTGCCTCAACGCGGATATTCGCAGCCAAGAAATAAATCCCGTCGCAGATAGGAATGAATTCTCCGGTGGATGGAGAAAACCCGGACAGACTGATGAATACACCTGGAGTACCACTTGTTTCCCAGTTACGAACAATGTGCGACGAAGAAGAAGAAGATGATGAAGAAGAAGCAGAAGAAGAATATAAAACCGTCTCTGCGCTTTTTATGGCAGAAAATGCTGGAAAAGTTCCAATCGCTCCTGTATAACGTAAACAGAACTGGCTTCCGTCTTCAACACTCCACTCTGTATCCCTTTCCGCGAAAACAAACACGGAGACCAGATCACTTGACCTCAAGTCCACAAATCCGCTGACCACTAAACTGAAGTCGGCACCTTGGTAACCTTGCCTGGTTACACTCATTGCCCTGTTATACTTCACAGGCTGCCCATTTATGACCAAAGCCGCTTGAAACACTCCGATATCTGCTTGAAATAAATGAATGCTGAACGAAACGAAATAAATTCCTGACTTTGGTATCTTGAACCGTGATGCCTTCGTTCCCAGTGGGGCTCCGAACAAAAAGCGACCACTATCTGACGGCTGTAATTCTGTCCACCCACTCACTTCCGTCCACCCACTCGTTGATTTGGGCTGACGACCAACTAAGGCCAAACTGGCACCAATCTCAGGGAAAGCTGTGGAGAATGCACCTAAAGTGTTAACAATGCGCATGCGTACCGGTACATGGAAGTCATATGCAATTCTTATAGAGCGTTTTCACATGACGTCACGTCCACCATATTGGTTTCCCAAAACAATAAAACAGCGTCCATGTTGGTGTCCCAAACCAGTCCTGTGGGAATTAAAATACTGGTTTATTGCTTTTTACACACTTGCTGGCCACGTGAGTGAAAACGCTTTATTGTTGTCTCATCATCAGCGTATTTAATTTGAGATTAGGTAGCTTAAGAAAAGCCGTTTTCTGATTGGCGTACGTCAACCGGTGAAGTGAAGTGAATTGAAATCTTTTTACCTATTATATGCCTTGGTGCTACCAAATTTGTACTGTTAAGTTTGTTTATTCTTGTAGAGATTATTTTACCGCAAATTTGGGCGAACCACTGTCCAAGAATCATAAAAGTTCACTACCGGTCGACGTACGTCGCTCAAAAACGTCTTTGCTAAAGAAAATCGCTTGACTTGACTTGTGATAAATCTGATGATGATGATGATGATGACACTAACCCCTGAAAAAGCTCATAATAGAGCTGCTTTTAGATTCGAAGTTAAGTCAGTATTTCTAACATTATGTGCCAGAAATCATCTGGTTGTGCTACTACCGAATAAAACCCCGGAGAAAGTACAGTACACACTGGAAATTCAAGGGGAATAAACCAAACATCTTTAAGCGATGGATCAACCCTTTTCATGAATTATATACTGGCATGACTTTTGGAGGCCTCTGTCTCTGTTATCGCCCTTACTTGCGGTTTCCATTGCTGCAATTCAGAATCACTGAAGATGCTTTGGAGAGACTTTTGAGACTGCGCAAAGACGCTAAGTGGTGTATCAACTTTCTTCATGAACTTTTACTGGCATGCCCTATGGAGACCACTGTCTCTATGATCGCTTTTACTCTGGCTTTCTATTTCTGCAGTTCTTCACCGTTACAGATGCAGTTTGGAGAGACTTTGAATACTGCGCACCAGCTTTTAGCTTGCTGATATTTCTAGGATCTTTTGAGTAACTAATAGTATGTGTGACTGTTTAGTAGTTGGTAGAAAAGTGATGCTGAATTTTAAGTCTGGTGAATAGATTAGAAAAGTGTTTGTATTTCTTCAGTCAGTGACACAGGTGACTCAGAAGTAAAAATCCGAGGTACTTCCTAACTAGGACTTTCTAGGTGCTCTACCAATGAGCTACAGGAGACTAGAGGGAGCTAAGGTCCCTAAACCAGGCATATGTGACAAATTATTAACATTTTAAATACTGCTAGGACTAGGATGTCAATATATGTTTATGCGCAATGATAGAAATGAGTGGTGAAAGTTCAAGGCTGGTTAATGCTTAGTGATTGCCTATGGAAACCATATCCACTAATCAAAACTCACTCTGGTTGCTGAAACGCCCCCCACAAAATAAGGCCAAATGATGGTCACAATTAGTCTCTGCAAAGTTTCTCGAAAAATAAATAAGCCGCAAGTACAACGATATGATGAAGAACTTGCTTTTTCTTGTCAAGGAAAAATAGTCGTTTTTCTGTGTCACGGTGCAAACAGCGTCGAATTTGACTAGAGTGTTACCGAAAAGTAACTTACAAAGTCGTTACAAATGTCCCACCCCCCATATGATTCGGTATGATACCTTGTTTGAGTGACTGATTACACAAACCTCATTCTTGGTTATTTTCCCCTCCATTCTTTTGTTCGACCAGTACATTCACCTGTTTATACACTGGCTTATTAAGAATAAGTAACAATTTATCAAAGTTATCTTTTCTGTAGATTGTTCTAAATATTTAACATTGCGTTCTTCTATCCAGGGTTAAGCATATACTTTATTTAGCAGACTGATAACTAGTTTTTTCCTTTTTTTACAAAAAAAGGAAAATGTCGAGCGGTATTAGGTAAACGCATTAACTTGTTCCAATCGATTAGTTAGAAGTACTGTACGAAATAACAATACATGGTACCCTAGTTAACTGAGTAATGAGTTGGAGAAAAAAATTAAAAATCTTCTACTGTCTTATAAAAAGCATGAAATTATTTGTATTTAGAGACATCTGAATCTACCCACCTGCAACTGGCAGTAGCAAAGAATTGGCCGTCATAATTATTAAATATGTGAGAAATACAGAAGATATTTTTTTCATATTCAACATTGTTCGTTTTTCACAACAACTACGAATTTCTTCGCATATTTTCGACGTCGATGACAATTCGAAGTCTGTTAACGTAAAACATAACTATTCTGTTAGATCTTGAAGAAATTCAACTTCTAACTTCTGTGCCAGTCCTCGATGTACGTATTTTGCATAAAACGTTGCTGTATTTCATATTGTAAAAATGGACCCCTTGGGGTTAAGTCGTTAGCTTTTATTCATCAAATGCCAAAACATTTAGTGCTTGGAAGCTAATACTTTCACGTACTCAAAACTAGGTTATCAACACAAGAAAAATGGGTGGTGAAAAACGCAAAAAAGGGAAGAAAAACACGTGCAGTAATTGAAGTTCGACGAAGAAAACTTGTAGGTATTTAATAAAAAGCATCATTTTCGTGAAAGTACATTCATCGTCCAAATAAGGGTTGAATGTTATGACTTATTATCTTCACTTTTTTTCTGCATTCCATAACTGTTCAACTATGATTTGGCATGAAGCGCGAGTGTTTGTGAGAATTATATTACATTTTTGTTTTCTACACATACAGGTTCTACCAATCGATTGATAGGACCACTGTCACAGTTTGTTTTTCCTCTGATTGTAGGAGCTGGGCTTCAAAGTTCGCCAATATTAAAACACATGATCAACTGCTGAGAGTGAAATGATGCATACAATACTTTATTAACCACGGCCACCCGAGAGTTGTGTCTTGAAACAAAAGTGGTCTCTTTGAGGATAAATGATAAGTGTCGATAGAGTGAAAATCTTATCTATCCCCTTGGCTCCCACTAGCAAAGTTCGGGGAAACGCCTATAGCATACTAGCTACACATATTTCAATGGCAGAAATTTTTAGGCAAAGGATAATAGTCATCAACTTTTATTTATTTTTTTTAAGAGTATCTGGTTGTGTTAGTATAACACATTGTTTGGCGTGAATTGAGAACTTCAGGCGAGTGTCGCTTAATCACCTTTGGCCAATCACAGTACGAGCAAAACATTTAAATGAACCAATCACATCTAGAAGCAAAAAAACGTGGTCAGTTCATGCAAACACGGAAAACTAAGCGTTCTTTGGCCTTAGTACTGCTTCTGGGTAGTTTAGAAATAGTGTAATGAGATTTTCCAGCTAATGTCCACAAAACGTAAACGCGTAATGACATAAATTTCATCGACAGCCCTGCAAATCTTGTTAAGGTTATATGTCAAGTGTATCGTTCGGGTTTTTGCATTAGGAAAAGAGTCTTCCTGTCGGCAAACAGTCAGGTTATAATACACAGTCATCATTTCCATTGGCTTTCGATGGTTCAAGCTTCGATTCAAGCTAGTGATTTGTGCTTTTTTAAATGAACATTGCTGATAAGATTTAGTGATCGGCTTGGACTAAATTGCAAAAATGTCAACATCATAAAATGTCGGTTTGTAATCCACGCGCGAATTCTCAGGGGCACCCAACGTCAATTTTCGAAAAATATCTGTTCGGAAGACGATTTGAGATCTAGAATTTTCGGAACATTTGTTGTAAGATTTCTTGCTTGACTCTTGCTTGCCTGCCTCTCCTAGGATTTTCAAACATCTAAAAAATGGTATAATTGCACATTTTTTAGCCTAAAAAGGTCACCTAAAATTTTCGGGAGCCTTTTTTCTGGCTGAAATTTTCGAAAACATAAGTTTTGATCCCTATAATTTTCGGATCACTAGACTTTCAGCTAGGAAATCCGAACAGATAAAAAAATTTTAGGGGATAAAAATATTCCTATGTGGTTTGAACTATATTCTCGTTGGGTGCCCCTGAATTCTGCAAAACTTGTTACCTCACCCCGTGTCCGTGGCATCATCCAACAGTTCAATTTGCGCCTTTGCAAGAAAAGTAAAGAAACTAAGAAATCAATCAACACAGATAAACGGATTATATCACAGCTTGAAAACAGATCCAAACTGCGTTTAAATAATTTCTTTTCACCTGCGTATAATTATCTGAGTGTATATTATACGTGATTTTCACCTGTCTTATCTTTTTTATTATTTCTGGGTGTGGCATTCGCAATATTTTCCCTAAAATGACTAGTAATATATATATATATATATATATATGATATATATATAGATCGAAATCGAGCATTCACATAAAGCTAAAACAATGTAATAATATGTAAAGATAAAACTTCGTGAATGTGATTAAAACATTGACCTGACAGAATGTGCAAGCTATCACTATGCTCTTTAACTGTCACAAATCTTAGCTATGATATGAGCTCAATTAATTGTTTTAGCTCCGGCAAATGTCGTCTAATCTTTGCGCACAAGATTCACCATTTTTAGTCAGATCAGTACTATCTTCTTCTTGTTTCTTATCCTCACATGTGAGGGTTAGCTACCACATCTTCTACTGACCAAGACTCTCTTTCTGATCTTTCTAATTGAGGTTTTGCCATTCCAAGTCCATACTTTTCCATCGAAATTATGATTTTCTACCGATTTCCACGGTACAAATTTCGCTGGCGGCCAGTGCATTCAGACCAGAAAATAAGTAAGTTGACAAAGTAGTTTTTGATAAATGAGAGAAAATATATACCGTATGGGTGGTCTATGGGTGAATCTTTTTTTGTTTTTCTTTCTTTTTCCGCTTTTCACTTCAGCTTCAGAGCTTGACGGATGAATATAAAGCAATTTCTGACGTTAATCTCTATTATTTGCTTCTTACTTGATAATTAACTCCTTTTGATATAAAAGTTTGCTAACTCTGATTAAGGGATTTCCCGAATTTACAATGTCTTTTACGGAACTATACCTCGATAGTAATCTGCCAAGAGCGGTGATCCACTTGCTCCAGAAAACAACTTCAAAACAAATGGAAAAAATAAAAGAATCCTGAGACAAGATGGGTTTCTATAGGAGCACATCTCTCCCACTCCAGAAATTAAGGATGAAAGATGTGGTACTTTTCAGCCAATAGGCCTCATCAAGATCTTGTTCTCTTCCTTTTAAAAAGTCAAAAAGCTTAAATGAAAAAAATTCACAGCGCTATACTTTTGAATCAGAAATTCCATTTCAGTGCACTGAGGACGAAACAATGGTTTTGTGTTTTTCACTCACTACCTACGAACACTTTATAATTAACTCAAGTAGTTGATTAAACTTTTATTCTGTCTGCTGAAACGTTTTACTATTGAGACAGACGAAGTTAATATCACGTTTTGTCTCTCAAATGAAAAGGTCGATGCTTTTGAAATCACGAATACTTCATGGCAGGGATTTTTTTTTTTCAAACAATCTAATTAATTCCGTAAAAGAAGTTCTTAAAGAATGTGCGTTCTGACACAAGTGTTTCGGAGGTTGGCCGCATGAAGGTTAAACCTTTCTTAGGTTAAATCAGTACTTAACTTCTTAGGTTAGGTTGCACTCGCAAGAATTACAATTACATCATCTTTTAGTTCGACTTTTTATTTCTTTTATTTACACCTGACAACATTAACTTCGTTTTTGTCATCTTATTATTACATAAAAAAGATATATATAAATAATGCATATCTGTAGATAATATGTTACGTATAAAAAAAAAACATTCAATGCACCAAACTTGGTCAAAGCATTATGTCACTTTGCCTGATTATATACAAGCCTTTTTCAGATCGTACTTATTAATAATGTTTCTCTCGATTTGAAGTTGATAATCATTACACCTACTTCCTCCCTGGGTTAAAACCAGCGTTCTTTGACTTCCTTGTGCTAAGACCAGATCGTTTGTCACTAAAGGCAAGAGTTTCTCAGCTGACATTGTGGTGGATGAGCTGAAAGAGACGGGACTCCCGCGGTGAACCCCGGCAGATGAAAGACGAGGTGGACCCGAAGACACACGAGGATTCAAAGAAGACCTAAGAGAAGTTCCCGACGACGCGTGAGTCGTTCCGGAAAACCTTCGATTTGTTCCTGAAGACCCACGGGACTTCCTGAATGGTGGAGCAGAACATGTTCTTGGTGTTGCAATGTTTTGTTTGGCTGGTGAGCCATTCGAATGATCCCTTTTAGTGGCAGAACTTGCTCGTGAGGTTCCGGCTGAAAAATTGAAAACGGTAGATATTTCGAGTTGAACAAAGAGAAGAGTAAATGATTTTTGTACAACCTTACTAGCTGTAGTCTAGTGCCAAGATCTCCCATGGGCCAAGGGAAATGGAGATCTCACTTTTCAGCGTAAGAGAGAGTGAAGTTTGGGTACGAGATCAGCCAGCTGAAATTTAATTTAGCAGTATCATAACCTTTTTATTAAACGGTGGGCAGATTTAGCAAAAATATGAGACGGCGGTGACGACGGCGCGCGCAGATCAAGTCGCGTTTAGTCCTTTCCGCGCGCTTTCCCGTCGTCAGCTGACGTAGCCGTTCTGTTGCTAATTCAATCCAATATGTGAGTTTCAACTGAAAATATTTCGTTTTGGCTTGGTGGATAATATATTGCGTTTTTGGAAAATTCGCTCCTTGGCCTGGTTTGATCATACGTTAACTCTTGTATTCTTTAAAGTTTACCATTCCCTCTTATAATTGAAGCAACCTTAGTTCGTTCATAGTACGTCTCAATCAACCCAACCCCCACAGTCTCAGTTTCCCTTCCTTTATTTTTTCCTGTTAGCATTTGCACAGTCCTCCCACCCTCAATACACTTTGAACTAGGCTTTGGGCCTGTGAACTTAGGAAAATGTAGAATATGATGCTTACCCTCAACCACTGGTCGTGTCACGTGACCCATTACCCATCCTGTATCTGGAAAATACTCCCATTCGGATTTCACCGAGGGCCACATCTTCATCGAGCACAGCGGCGAGGGAACAGGGGAGGATCTAACGTTATGCGACCGAGCCGATCCTTTGGCCGTCTCTAAGCGCGCTATGTGTCTAATGACAACATTATCTACGATTTCCTCTCTGTAAGTTCGCCAGTCGCTCTGTTGTAGATAGGATCTACAGAGGGTACTATCGCGAGGATATGTAGTTGTTAGTTTTCTCATCTTTTCAACAGTTGCCTCGTCGGAATACTTCTGAAAAACGTCTTTTGCTACTTTGATGACCTCGCAGCCTCCGCTGACCAGGATAAATCGTCTTTCTTTCGGTTTTTTCTTTTTGTTGAGTAGCTTGTTGCTGCTGTCATTTTTAAGCTGATAAGGGTTACCTCTGACGTGTTGTAACGGAGGAATAGGAATAATACATGCATCATCTTGATCTAATAAACACCACGAACCCTACAAGAGAAACAAGGAAAACGTAAGACGTAATCTTTAATGGATTGCTTTATAAGGTAATGTTACACGAGACGATTCGCAACAACGATTTTTCGGGCGACAAAACTGAAACAATGTCGTGACAGTTCAAGCCAATGTCACAACAATGTTGCACAACGCTAGGCAGTACTTACAAACACCTGTCCAGGCCTGAGTCGGTCTACCATCATATATACTCCAACACCAACATTACCATCCACTCGCTCTTCAACAAGTCCTTTATCCACTCCCATCTCTTTCTCCTTATCCGTGAAATCAGGAACTCGAAGAGGTTCTGAAGACGCACTCTGCTCCTTTTTGTTATTAAAGTCCTGTTGACCTTCAACACGGAAGCTCACATGCCCTTTCCTTAACTTTCCCTTCGATTTTTCCGAGTGTAAGATTCCTTTGACCGAGGCTTTTTCCGCCGACTTCTCCGCTGAGTTTACTTGCCGAGATTCGGCTTGTGCGTCTACACACGAAGCGGACTTCTTTTCAGTCGAAGCTGTTGCCAGGTGATATTCAAGGCTCGTACTTCCGGGCGTAAATCTTTGTAATACAATTGAGCTTAATGATATATCGTTTGCTTTGGGTCTGTAAGTTGCTGGAGTGTCATCTTTTATTTTATCCATCCTGTATTTTGCGGCGTGTTCTATGTAATCCTTGCAATTACCAAGGTCTAACAGCCTCAAGACATCGCATTGACCCTTCACAAGCAAAAAAAATAAGAACTCATTTTTGTTAAAAAAAGACCATAATCATTGAATAAAAATTATGCACAAGCAAAAGCACCGTTACGGAGCAATGCATCTTTTTTTCGATTAAATGGAAACTAATAAACACTTAATTGGCCCCTCCGGAAACATTGAATTTTTTTCCCGGGAAACATTGAGATTTGAGAAAAACACAATTAACTGTTTCCCGAGGGACCAGTCTTCAAGTGATTTGTTACATAGCAGGGAATTTTGAAGCTGGAAATTCATTAAACCTCGCTGTAACGGCGATCGTCGGTTAACATTCGCGGGTAACAGTGCACTGCTACCCTATGACGTCATATATTTTGCAATGCTGCCTGCTGAGAGATTTTGGCGGGAAACAGTTTCATTGTTATATGTCATGTGACCTCGAAGTAACCGATGAGAGCGTGCGCTGTTGGGAAAAATTTCCAACTATATAACAATAACAATTATGCAATGGTACAAACTTTGGTTAAAACCTGGCAGTAGTATTAAGTTGAAATGCTCCTACTAAGTCTGCTCTGTTTGTGGGGCGGAAATAACCTCATTTGTTCTTCACCTTTTTATGAGCCGCTTGAGATGACGTTCTCCTACATTGTTCCGATTTTTGAAAGCAAATGCAAACGTAAGCACTTTAAGGAGTAAAATTTACCTTCGTAATAAAAATAATCCAGTGTAGATCCGAAGAATCGCGAACAATGACTTCATCGCTGTTGTAGTCCTGCAATCTGCTCTCCTCGGCAACTTTCCTCACCACGTCATCAGGCCATGTGCTAAACACCTGATGTTCTCTGGCGGAAAGAAGGGTTTTTTAAAGTCGATCTAGCTATAAACTGCTAATAAAAAGAAAAGTCTGCAACGTTTTCCTCAGAAATAAGGATAGGAAGCTTGGATGACAGACAAAAATCTCAGATCGTGATGAAACTTCGCGCGTCAAGAAAGTATACTGAGAGGAATTTTTTATTTTCTTCAAAGTTCCTCAGGTAGCATGCGGAAGGGACAAGCGGCGAAGCCGTGAGCCAAGAGAAACGAGGGCTTTTTTTGGCCCCACGCGCTCACTGTTCAAGACCTCGACGGATCTAGGAGAAAAGTCGAATTGCAAGCAGTCTACCAAGAATTTAATACATCGAACTCAGTTTTTTCTTACTTGAGATACTCCACCCGTCTTTGCATGTCAGCGTTAAAACATTGATCAATCTTGGCGGAGAAGAAGTCTTGTTTTTCCACCGATAGCAACTCAGTTCTTTCTAAACAAACCACAGTTGCGGACCTTTCTATGCCTCTTATAAACGCTAGTTCCTGAAACGCAAAAGTAGATTTTATTCAGTGTCAGCTATATAGCGTTAATGATTCGGGAAAACAATAATCAGATATAGCATTGTCCTCTGAGCTGGCTGAGGGTACAGAAGACAGGCCATTTGTAGACTAAGTTGAGCCAGTGCATACATAGTCTGCTACACAGCTGTTTTTAGTTTCGTCACGCAACGCTCCTCCCCACTAACGGCGTTAGTGGGGAGGAGCGTTGCGTGACGACACTAAGAACGGCTGTGTAGCAGACTAGTGCATACAGAGCGATCCAATGGAAGACAAGAGAAGCGTTTCAAATCACTCTAAAAATATCTTTTAGCGCATTAAACGTCAGCGATAAAAACACCGCGGAGAAGAAATTGCCATTGACCGGGACAGATTGCGCTTTAATACTAACAATGGTACTAAAACATACGTGCCTGTGGCTGACTTGCCCTAAAAACTCGAGGAGCAAGCAATCTAGACTGCGAGCAGTCTCTTATTGTTTTCTTGAGTCAAAGTAGATCGAGAGCACGCGTGAGAGGAAAGCGGCGAAGCGGCGAGATTTCAAGGCGGAAGACTGAGCGACGAAAAAATATCTCGATCTCCCCTCCTTTTTACCATTAAATCGCATAATTCTACTTTTTCAGTCGACACGCGAGGGCTTGAGGAAAGAAGGAAGACCACTTGTGGTCTATAACGTCAATCCATCCTGAGAAGTTTTCCCTTGTCCTATGAAGCTGTGAAGCAAGGATCGGTCTTTGCACCTACGAGCATTCCCCCTCCCTTTCCTCACCCCTTCCCCCCAACAACGCCTTTATGTTCAGAATGAGCTTCATTGATCACACACATACCCCAAAATAGTCCCCTCTCTTGAGCACAGCATTGTCCGTAGGTTTGGCAAAGGCACTGTGTTGGTCATCATCCGCAGTAACACAAACTGAACCACTGAAAATGAAGTAAAAACGCTGGGCCACGTGACCTTTTCGAATAACCACTCTCCGTCTACCAAAACTGTAAAGAAAAAATCAAACCAATCAAAGAGGTGAAACACCATCTGTTATGTCGAACTGCACTATGGGAATGTTTGGTGGACACTATCGCCTCTTCTATCAACCTCGTTCCCAGAGGCCGCGATCCTTTTGTACAGTGACGGGGATCACTCACCTCTGGAAGAATGCAAATTAGGCCGCCTCTGATTGGCTTGTAAAAAACAAGAGCGTCCGCTACCCCATCCGCTGGACAAAAGTAACGTAGGCTCTGGGGACAAGATTTCTCTTCTATTGGCTATTACGAGGTTGCGCGCCAAAATGGGGCCCGTTTCTGGAAAGTCCCGGTAATTTACGGGTCTGTTCTGTTGTCTCGAGTTTTCAGCCGGGGCCTGCTCTCTTTTTCTTTAGATTTTGATTCGAATATTTGATTTCGGCCCCGTAAATTAGTCCGGGACGTTCGAGAAAAGGGCCCCTGGGTCGAGTTCCTTCCCCCAAAACAGTTCCATAGTGCCATTCGAGACAACACCGACTCAATCCATCGCGTAACCGCAGAATGGCTAAGCAGGGACGGGAGGGGTTTTTCGGTGATCCGGGATTTGACCACAATATAGTGCCGGATTCGGGTAAATTAACGGCATTTGACAGTTACGGTAAGGAAGGATTTGCCAAAATTTGGCCACGGATGCGGGATTGGGAAAGAAAATGATGTTCGGGATAGCGATGACAGAAGTACGGAATCGTCACGGGATTCTCGTGCAAATTGAGAGGGACTGCGAGATCAGGACACGCTCTCCAGACCCTAGTTGATATTCTGTGAGTCCTACCAGTCATATTTAAGCGCTTTACAAACTGCTTCCTGTATTTTAGAACTGTATCGGCGAAATCCTTTCAGCTGCTTCATGAGTTGCATAATTGAGTGACTTTCTTGCGGTGTTCTGGACGAGGGTTCCTTGCTGGCAATTTCTTTGGCCCATAGTGGCATCACAAACTATAGTTCAAAAGGAGGTCAAATGGAAAGGATAAAAATGAAAAGGAGTATATTGTTACTGAAAAAACCTACGCGCTAGCTAAAGCTATTTAGTAAAATCCAACTAGTGGTTTATTATCAATGCTGCGTTCTGATTGGTTGAGCTACTACTAGGCTATTTGTTATAGCCCACTAAAAGCGAAAAGCGCGGGCTTTTTGGCGGCAAAAAAAGATTAAATAGCTAAAAGTATTTTATTCTCGATATTTTTGACCAAATAGTTGGATTTTACTAGAACAATTATTCCTCTCGCCCTCAAGGCCTCTGAGTCAATAGCCCATTCGGACTTCGGCCTCATGGGCTATTGACTCAGAGCCCATTCGGGCTCGAGGAATAATTGTTAATTAACATCAATTGAAGAAAAGTAACTCCTCAAAGCCTCTCTATTATTTCCAAAGCAAGAGAATAATTCCCTATTGTTCCAAAGTTGATAATTAAGACGCAAAGTGTGGTTCTAACTTTTGAGTCTGACGATAAAATGCTTAAGTGTGACCATTCAAATGAAAGCTACAGAGCAGAACTTCCCTATTTCGATTGACGTTACCCTGTTCAAAGGCCCCTTTTTTCTCTTCAAAGTCCGTCGAGCGCGCGTAATAAAAAACAAATCCGCGGGGTAGGGGTAGGGGAGGAAGAAAATAGACGTTATATATTTTTCATTCTCGCGTTCCGAGCTTGCTCTCGCGCGCTCACCGATCTTTTCGAAAAAACCGAAAGAAAAATAAAAAAAGTCTGTGTAGAGACTAGATCGATGTTTAAGGCGATTTTAACTTCAGAATCTCATAACAAAATTCTATGGTGTAACCATTCGAATAAAACCTCTTGGACAATATATTTTGCACAGGGCATCATGCCATTAATTTCCAGGTAGCGGTTGTTCAAAAGGTGGATAACGTTATCCACCGGATAAATCTTTATCCAGTGAATAGCGCAATTGGTTTCCCAAATACTTATCCACTGGATAGCGATTTATCTGATGGATAGCGCTATCCGTCTTTTGAACAACCCGGGCCAGGACAAGAAACAACAAAATTGTAATCGCTTTTCTTAAATTTCACATTTTTCCCACTATACTGAGCTCCTGGAACTGATTATATTTGTTTTACTTTTGCGCAGAGTAATAAGCCAGAGTAATAATGTTGCAAGCAAGGCTATCTAACAAGAAAGCCCAAGTAAGTAATACCTCATGGTGGCATTTGTAACGTTCCGGATCAAACATTAAATTCTCCACAGCACCCTTTGCAGTAGCGGTCTTTAGACTCACAGTGACGTCAGATTGGACTTGCTCATGTTGACCTTTCTCCTTTGCGTAATGCACAATGCATCGAAAGGCTTTGTTGCAAGTCTGTATCTGAAATATAATTATACGAGTCATAAGATTTAACCCTCTAAGTCCCAAGAGTGACCAACATTAATTTTCTCCCAACAGCATCAGCAGATCATCAAGAGTAAAGGTTATGAGAATTACTAAATTGATTATCAAAGGGACATCGCTTCGATCTTAAACCAAATTTTTTCCACTATTCGTAAAAGAAATGTATGGAGATCAGGAGAATTGGTATGTGGATCTTGAGGCTTAAAGGTTGATAAGTTCATGATCGGGAATCTAGGTCATGTTGAATAAGTTAGAAAACGCGAAAAGCCTTACGCGCTGATTGATTAGAAATTTGTGTTGCTGTAACACGTTAAGACACGCAGCTAATATCAAGGATATTTATTCCATTTTTGGCCATTTACATTCTTCGTCAGCGAGGTCGGACGAAGCCGTAGGTCTACGATTCTTGACCAATGTTTATAAAACTGTTGGCCAAATTGTTAACAGGAAAAACTACAGATTAAGTAGTATTGTTGTCATGGAAAAATCATTGAATAGTCATGGTCCTGGTAGCTTCTTCTGGGCTCCAAGATTGTGTTGGGGCAATGCGCGCACATTACACATGGTTTGCAAAGTCTTATAGGTTGTATCCTTCGCACGATGCACTACAGGTCCCAACACTGATAGGAGTTCTTGCATCCGTTTGCAAACCATCGCCAACACAGACGCAACAACTCCCAACATTGTTTCTCACGCGTCCGTTTGTATGTAGCTTAATATAAGAACCGACATGGGCTCACGGAACTGATAATATTTGTTTTACTTTTGCGCAAAAAGTAAAAAGCCAAAGTAATAATTTTGCTTTTCATTTTCATTTCGATTTCGCTCGCTGTCTTTTTCCTCCTTCCCTGGCTTCACTACACGCAGGGCACAGATATATTTGCTTTGCTTTCTGGTTGGTAGTCTTGTACGCAGCCTTTATTCGAGTCGCCACGCTTCACGCGATGTTCGGCCTCCTTGTGCGGACAGTTGGGTAACAACCCAAATAACTGCCTCTTAACAGGCTCTCTGATTGGTTCATTGAGTTGTATGGATCCATAATGGTGAATTGTGATTGGTCAGTGAGCAATTGTTCTGTTTTTCGTGACAACACACAGGTAAATGATACTCAGTTGCAAGAAGGAAATATATTTGTACTTACTAGCTTTACAGCGCGCCTAAATCGATCCAGAGGCTAAGAAAATAATAGTAAATAAATAAGAAGAAAGCTCACTCTAATTATAAAGATTACCAACTCAATTATGGTGATGTCGTTGATAAACTCTTCCCTAATGTTTTCTAACATCATACATCATTGTTACATGGTGATGGTCTTGCACTTAAAATGTAGCTTAAGAAGCCGCCAGCTGCTTAACCTTTAGCGTAAGAGTGTCCTATGAGACAGCTCCTCTCCTGAAAGACAAGTTTCTTTTAAGGGGGGAGACTGGTTAAAATGTGGGGGAAATGATGTTGATTGGGAAGGAATATATCACGGAGTGGAATAGGTATACACATAAACCAGTTCGTCCACTAATGGGATCGGAGGCACCTTGCTGTGGTGGTGAACTATCTGGCAATTTTCTACTAATTATTCACTTCATATCTCAATTTTTAACAACCCCTTTTCCAATATTTTCCATTTTTCCCCAAATTTCAAACATCTCCCCCACTAAATTTTACCCATCAAAAACATTCCAAAAACCATCCAAAAATTCACAAATAATTATTGAACTAAAGACTGTTTCTTAATTGAGTCATTTTTTCATTGATTGAAATCTTGGCTACATATTTAAGAAAAAGGGTGGAAATCAAGGAAAAATAATGCTTTTAACCAGACTTCCCACTTAAAGCAAAAGATCTCTGCACCTTGCATTGCGATTTAAGGAAATGTTTTCCCATTTCTCTTTTTGAACTTGGATGTTGCCTATTAATTCGACCCTAGGAAAATTTACTTGCCGTGATTTGGCAAATTAAACGGGTTTGAACTGAATCGTGGTGTCTCTCTTGTGGTGACTTTTAACGGTTATTTCGCGTGCGGGCACCTTGAGAACGTTCTCAATGGCAACCAGTTTAAGCCTTACCGAACAACTCCTTGAAATCCCGATTAACAGACCTATGCACTGTTTAAGTAATTCCCGGTTCCTTTTCTGTGCGTCCAGGACTGTACTGTACCACTGTTACGTAAAAATTAAGTTACAAACCTTAAGTTTCTTTTGTCTTTCCTTACGACGGTCTGCCTATGGTCAGAAAAAGAGCCAAAAACACAAATCAGTTGATCAAGCTTAAGGAGGTACTGAGAGTACATTAATGACCAAGTTTGGGATTAAAATGGTTGAAACCACAATCTTCTAGATATCAAAAGAAAAGTAGTCAAGTTAGAAATGGCCATTACTAGCCGAGAGAAGAAACAGACTCAGTAAGGTCAGTTAAGAGTAAAGTGTACAAAATTTATAACTTCATGATACTGCCAATTGAACCTAAGAATTCGAGAAAGACGATATTTGTCGTTTGCATAGTCACGTCAGAGGATTTCGTAGAGAAAAATCAAAAGTTAGATGGTTTCCTAATACCCGCTAATACTCTGTGAATGAAAAGTTTCATCTTTGAACCGGAACACCTCGCACTAAGTCAGCGCGGGAAAATCGTGCGAGCAAGAGTCAGAATTGGCACTCAGTTCTGATTGGTCGGAAAAGTGTCACAGATTTGTCAGCCAATCGCAAGCCGTAATACTGAGAAATAAATTTCCCTCTTCGACCTTCACTTTTTTATTCTAAAATGTTTAAATTTCAAAAGGAACCAGCAGAAAATTTTTTCCGGCCGGGCTTGCATTAAAACAAATCGCTATGTCAATATGTGCGGGCGGCTTCCGTGGCGCCAAGAATTAAGGATTTTACCGCCAGTGTCAACATTGATTGGCTCAATATGTTTACACTCTCTTTCTTCCACTCTTAAACTCGTTAAAAGATTTGTAATGATGATTTAATACTCAACTTTTCTTTGTTGATTTTATATAAAGATCGTACTATAAATAAAGAACCACGACCCCATAAACCCCAGCTCTCGTGGAACGTCAAAGCGGGCTCTCTTTAACTTATATTATACAGACGAGTTTCTCATTTTTTACGAGCAATAAACGATGACCTCTTTTCAACTAGATTGCTAACTAGTCATATATGCTTTGCTAAAAAAAGAAGGTCGTGTGACGTTATTAAATGACCTTAAATAAGGGGAGACAGTGACCCGAGACTCCATTGAATTTTGTGTTGAGAATATAAAAATTATATCTTCTCTCACTCGTTTTACCAAAGATCAAAATTTAACGGAAAAAGTATCGGGATTGACGATGGGTTTTAAATCCTCCACGGTGTACTTTTTTCATCCTTTGCACTTCTTTTTTTTTCCCATCATTTAAATCATACAACCATGCGAAACAATTATTTCAAGAATCTTACAAATCCATCCCTTTTGCTCGCAACCTGACCGCAAAAAAAATTTATTCAAATCAGGTACATTTAGATCACGACTAAAACGTGCCAGATTGCTGATCGTTGTCGACTATATCGGCTGATTATCATCGCGCAAACACCGCCACACTGTAACTCTTTTAAGGGGTTTTAAGAAACAGTTAACTCTCTACACTAGTGCAAATATTACTCAGATACCCATGAAGAATATTAGGTAAAAACACCAGTTAGTCACGCGAACTTAATTGACAGAAATTCAAGAGAATCATTACTTATTAAGCGAATGCGATTAAAGAACATAGGCTTAAAATGTTAGGCTATGTTAGCTTTGGCCTGTAAAAGGTGTTCATTATATCTTCTAGCTGTTAATGGCGTTTTCGTTTGCCAGTAAATAACCTTTGCATTGTAGTCAACGGAGAAAACTTTTAAAAAACTTTTGTACTTCTTCATTAAATGTGTATGAACATGGAGTCCTGTGGTGTGATCATTTACATGAAATCTTTCATATTTTTTTTTATAAAATAATAACATAAGGAATTCAAAATTCTTATTACACCCAGCAAATATGGACACTTTTGGGACTGTTGCAATAAAAATGAACGCATATCACTGTCTATATTGTAATAATGTTGCCCGGGCTTCCTACTGAGTTCTGCATTATCTTGTTGTTAGATACCGTTACACTGGATACCTCGAAACGCGAAGTCTTTCGGTCCAATCACCTTTCTTTTTGAGGAAAACCTACCTGTTTTCTCTCATATTCTTTCAGCCATCTCTTCGGCACACTAGCTTTCACATCCCATTGGCCAACTTTGCGACTGTCAAGTTGATATCCGTTATATCTGGGACTTAGTGACGAGCAACGATCGCGAATTTCCCTCGAGAAAACAGCTCTCTTGTCATCAGCGTTTGGAGAGCTCTTTCGGTTCGAGTCAGCCGCGCAGGACTTTCGACGAAGCCTCTTCAAAAGCTTAGAAAGTTCCTCACCAGACACACCTGGACGAGTTAAACTTTGCATTTCGGAATTCAAACTTAGTTTGCGACTAAACAGGAATGCCGCATCAATGCTTTGACCTCGCGATCTTGGTTGCGCTCCAACGCTTTTTGGACACGCCATATTAATCAATGTTTCCTTCGCTACCGGATAATAATTTGGCTACCTCATAAGCCTATTATATCCGTCTATTTTCCTTTATCCGGTTTTAAACAAAAAACTGCGTGCACGCGAGGGCTCCGCTGATGTTTCAGTTTCGTAACAAGCATTTTAAAACTTCAAGTTGTTTCTACGCAACCGTTATCTGATAAGCGCGTGCATCATGAGGGCATCGCCAAGTAGCTCTTTGCGCTCTCGATCTTTTCACCAGTTACAATACAACCAGCTTTCTTTTGAGGAACAATGTGTAATACTTATAATTTTTTCTAAAAAAAAAATTTTTGAGAAGTCGCCACCCATAGCACTCAAGCATAGGATATGATTGGCCCTCATAGTATGCTTTTGCCCTCTATGGATATGTCAATGTTGACAGCAACATTATATACTATGGTGTTGTAAAAATCGATTTTTCTTAAAGGTAGCAATAGAGGTTAACAGCCGCGTTCCCATGGTTCTCTCCTACCCGTCCCTACCTCTCGATCTCGTTCCGTAGGGACGGATAGGAGAGAACCCCCGGGGGCGAGGTTGGGCAGTAAATTGGAAATCGCAGCAACGTATAATCCGTCAGGCTCCTTTGACAATACAACCACACCAGCTAGCGAAGTAAAGAACCCTGGTGCTTGGTTTGATCGACAATTAAAGATGGACACACATTAGGGACTTTAAGATGCACCGTTTCCCACCGTTTCTGTCTACGGGTACCGGTAGACGAACAAGTTTGCCACGCAGTTTTACAAAAGGCGACCATGATTTCCCAGATATGATAATGTTATCACCATTCTACCCGGTAGCCTACCCGTTTCTCGCGTTTCTATCCGTATTTACAGCTACGAGTACGGATAATTTACCCGTACCCGTACACGGAAACGGTATATCTTAACGTCGCTAGTAATAACATTTGTAACCGCTTTTTTCCCCTTATATAACATCAGAAGAATTAGGAAGTTCCTCAGTCTTGATTCAGCACCGGCATATTTTGGTCAATGCGTTTGTAACGAGTCGTCTGGATTGTTGCAACAGCCTCTTGTATGGCTGCCAGGCTGATCTACAAAGTTGAACGCTTCGATCACGTCACGCCCACCATATATAGCCCAGCTCTACTGGCTGCCAATCAGATACAGAATTCAGTTTAACATTTTGCTTTTTACCTATAAAGCGTTAAATGGACTCGCTCCTGCATATATTACAGAACTGTTAAAACTTAAAATTATTCCTCGAAACAATCTAAGGTCTTCTGATAACAAACTGTTACTTCAGCATCCCAATATAAGAACTCTCGCTACTCTTGGTGAGCTTTGGTGTCGTGGCGTTAAATGAACGGTATGGAACGTTTAGCAGCCATTCCATGAAAAACCTATCTTTTTAGGAAGGCGTATAGCTGCTAGTAGTTTATTCCCATTTCATTGCTTAGAGGAATCTGATACCCAATTCTTCGTTTCCATATTTTTACCGTAAACTTTTATATGCAAATTCATGTACATGTAATATTCATCTCTTTATACATTTGACATAAATACTGTTTAAACAAACAAGCAGGAGCTGGCAGAGGTGTATTCAAAAACACGAGGCGAAGCCGTTTTTGTTCTGACAATACACGGCTGCGAGTTTGAACGGCTTCTAAATCTCTGATATAGATCAATTCACTCTTACACGTAAAGTTTAGCCCTGTCTTTATCAGATATAACTGAGACACTCATTTAAAATTCACTTGATTTCTTTTGTTTTTTTCTCAATGAATTGTTAGTGAGTCTTTTAAGGTATTTGCAGCATTCGAGAATTTTAAAGCCGAATTTGTTCGCAACGGGTAAGTTTTATGTGTGTTTTATTCGAGCTTATTAATTATTTCCATTATTCAGTGAATAATGGAAAAGCATCAGTGAGTAAGGTGGCACAAGTTAGTGGAGAGGAAAACAACTGACCTGCAGTGCAGGCGTATTTTGTGTAGGCGAAAACTTTTTCATGATCGTATTGTTGTAGCCGCCATCTTTGATTTTCAACATTCGCGCGACCATTCGCGCCCGAAGAAAACGCCTGCACTGCAGGCTAGAAGACAACCAGTTCCACCGAAAAACCTGCTTTCGCATTTAAAAATTGAAATATGTAATTTGTCCACCTAAGGAAATTTTCGACAACTTCACGGCTCATCCAGGAAGTCTTTCGCTCGAATTCCTCGAAGGATGTGGGCTCATTTCGCGCTAGCGCGGGAAGAAGTTCTTTACAGTCCTCGAAATGATCAAAAACCCCGAATTCGAAATGATCAACCTCGTCCCCAGAGCGGGAAAAGCACCCTGGGGACAAGGTTGCGTAATCGATCGCCATTTTAAAATTTAACACCATTTTTAGTACGTGTACCATTCTTCATCTTAACTGAATATACATCATAATTAAAGTCCGCCGAAAGTCGTCTAGCCTGTACACAGACGTTGTTTTATTTACCTTTTCGTTCTTTTGGAAAACATCGGCGTGCTCGAGAAGCTATGGCGTACATTTGCGGACAAAAATAATTGAAAATAAAAGACAATTTGAAGTTCAAAAATTAGACTATCCATGTCGAAATCTCGTCATATGAATTTGAAATCGCAATGAACGCAGTCGAAATAGAATCGTTCGAACTTGAAGTTACTTTGAACAAGTTGAAATTATAAAGGGAAAACTCGACATCGCGGATGTTGAAGTTCAAATCACCATTCCAACTAAAATGCAAATTACATGATTTGAACTTCAATTCACCTTCTCCACTCTAATAAGCCACTTAACAAATGAAACCTTCAATTTGAACTTAAAGTCACGTCACATATTCGAATTCGAAAAACCAAAATTTCAATTCGAAAGGAAGCGGAAGTAAAAATACACAGGAACAGAGTAACGACTACGTACGAGTCTACAGATGGGAGACTTCGAACCTGAGCTTTCCTCATCTTTGTTAATGATGTGATCATCGTCATGGCTGCTCGATGGCTACCGAACAACGAAGAGTTTTTCGTTGGACTGGTTAGACTGTTAGAGGCATCAGAAAGTAATCTAAACTCAGCATCATATGATAATTCTGAATTTTTATTTCGTCGACTTGATGCTCACGAGAAAACTTTGTCAACTCTGCTAACAGTGTTGACCAAGCCTACACTATATCCTGCAGTTCGCGGATGAATAAAAGCCTTCATAGCTTAGCTTTAACTAGGATGTCCTTTAGGCATTTTCTCTTACGATATGAGATGATGGGGTGCTCCTTAAAGATTTCTCTCAGTTGCGGTTGAGTTTCTATAATTGCCATTTCCCCATGAGTGTGTCCTTTAGGTTAGGCAAAGCCGGATGGTATTGTGTTACAAAGGGCAGTATTTTCTTAGGTGCGGTTTTGTTTTTCTGAGCTAGCGACATTTCTCTATCAGAGAATTTAATCTCTGAAAGGTGTTTTTCTACAATTCTAGCTGGGTAATCTCTATTCTGTACGCGTGTTTTGAAATTACTCATGTTTTCCTCAAAAGTAAATTGAGAGGAATTTGTTCTCAGAAGCCTTAACGCTTCTCCTTTTATAAAGTTTAAGTTTGCCACTACAGCCTTCACAATCTGTTGGATTGTCCTAGAGTCACCCTAATCATTCACATTGTCCGCCATATTGACCAGAGAGTTCGAGTGAAGGGAAATCTTTTCGCGCCAAAATGCAGTTATGCAAACATCCCGTATGTACAGTGTAGCGAAACTCTTATCATTTCCGGTTCCTGTGTATTTTTACTTCCGCTTCCTTTCGAATTGAAATTTTGGTTTTTCGAATTCGAATATGTGACGTGACTTTAAGTTCAAATTGAAGGTTTCATTTGGAATTTTGTGGAAGATTATGGTTGCATTGTTGACGATTAAGTGGCTTATTAGAGTGGAGAAGGTGAATTGAAGTTCAAATCATGTAATTTGCATTTTAGTTGGAATGGTGATTTGAACTTCAACATCCGCGATGTCGAGTTTTCCCTTTATAATTTCAACTTGTTCAAAGTAACTTCAACTTCGAACGATTCTATTTCGACTGCGTTCATTGCGATTTCAAATTCATATGACGAGATTTCGACATGGATAGTCTAATTTTTGAACTTCAAATTGTCTTTTATTTTCAATTATTTTTGTCCCCAAATGTACGCCATAGAGAGCGAGCGAGAGCGAGCGCGGAACGCGAGAAAGAAAAACACCCTACCCCGTTGCGCTGGCGGTCAATAAATCCTCATTCGCGCTCGACGGCGAACACATTTACCCTATTTAAGAGTGCATAATTCATTGCGTGACAACTATAAAAAACAATCGAAAACCAGCACCTCCACGCCATCTTGGGTAACCGATCTAGTTATGCGCAAGCGTTCAGTTCAGACCCCCCACCCCCCTCCCCTCAGAAAAAAAGAGTCCAAGGTGGAGGTCACTTCGGCCTGTACGAGGAACCTAAGGGCCAAGGTTCCATGAATGTAACAATAATCAGACAAAAAAAATGATCTCATGATGCCTAACACTGAACTTGAGCAAGAAAAAAAATTGGTTGCATGATCAATAAATGACAATTTTGTGCTGGAAAACTAGCCAAAAGTGCAAATGATGCAAGCAGAGTTTTTTTTCGGAAAATAGATGAAAATTATGCTCGTAATGACAAATTATCATTTTGGGTGTCAATTTACGGATCATTTCGGGGTGGGGATCATTTTGGGGGATGCACTCTGACTGATCTTTCTTAACTTGGTTTACTGGTATGTCTTTAGCCTCCCATCCCCTCCTCCCTTAGTGATGACGTTTTGAAATGATGGCCGCCATGTTGGACGATTTTCATTGGTTGAAATCATCTTGGTTAGACAATTTGCATAAGAGCCACGACTTAGTGAGAAGACTTTGCAGCGCAAAGAGTTACCGGTTCTGGAAATGCTATTCAGTATGCCGAGGCAGTGGGTCTTCGGTTTCCTTCTTTTGCAGTTTATTCTCTGCTATTTTTATTATTACATTTTTTCCCGTAATGCAGCCGATTTCGGCAAGGTAGACAAAGACATGCAGTGGTTTGATGGAATCCGTGAAACTACTATAAAATTTCCTGAAGAATCCTTGTTGAACTGGCGATCACTACTGGAGGGAAAACAACTGACGGCCGATGTCGACTGGACAAAAATTGAACTAAAACCATCGCCTAAAGCCGAGGACATGAATGATAAGTGGATTGTGCTCACTTCTATAAATGCCCCAACAAAGGATGTGAAGAGGTTAGCTGCTATCACGGGTTGGAAAGTTGTTATAGTCGGAGATAAAAAGACTCCACAGGATTGGAGGTAAGTAGATGTGTCGTTACCTATGAGCTGTTTCTCGACGGTCTCATTCTGTAAATATTTTCTGTGCGAAGAAGCCCCAGCTTTCATTTTCAACCGACTTTACGCACATGATAGCCTGAGAAAACAGCCGACATTACTTTGGCGACGCTACCACGGGTGAAATAAAGAGTTTGAAACTTAGGCACGGTTCAAACGTCGAACTTAACATGTTCGGCACATGTAAAGTTCGACGTATGAATCAATTAGGAACAGCACTTTTGTATTTGGGTCGACTCTGCCATTCTATTCGACTGAGCTTGTCGAATAGAACGGCAAAAGATCTACTTCGATTCATACGTCGTACTTCACATGTGCCGAACCTAATGGAATTGCATAAATTATGGTAACATATTTAACAATAATTAATGAATGAGGCTGAGTATCTTATGAAGAATTATGGAGATCGAGGAGGGTGTTATCAGCCGAGGCAGATAACACCCTCCGAGATCTCCATAATGCTTCATATCATATGAAAGCCGAATTCAATAATTGTTTTATTATTCATTCAAAATAATGGCTAAGACATGCTTACCTCCATCGATCCATCGATGTTAAGTTCATCTTCGATAGTGCACCTTTAGGTTTGTCCAGGTCCGCAAATATTCTCCAAATAGCAGATGTCGCCGTTCAAGTTGTCTTGTTGCTGTTCTTGCCATGTTTTTAACTATTTGTTTGCCCAGTTCTTACTCTTGAAACGAGTGAAATGTCCGCCATTTTTTGTTTTCACGACCAAAACAACTCAACCTTGTCCCTAGGTCTTCTCGGTTAACGGTGCCTTAACCTGCACGAACGCTGCATTTTTGATGTTATTTCCTTGTTAAACACAAAATTCTTCCAAATTTGGTCATCAGTAACTGGTTATGGTGAATTATGCTTGTGCTTTTAGCCAATCAGAATTGGGGAAATATTTTGAATAAATAATAATTTTCAATAACCGCGCTTCTGATTGGCTAATTAGTGGGTTTTGGCGCCTGTGCTGACAGAACTCACAGATGCGTAACAACGGTTATGGTCTGGTTACCAGCATTCATGTTGTAGATTTTTAGACCGAAACTGGGCAGCTCAAAATGGTCTTCTAATGAGTCGCTTTTCTTTGTATCCATAAAGAAATCATAATGTAATTTAAAATTTATTGTGTTACTTTATTTTGTTCAAAATAAATATCCCGATCACGATCTCCTCAGCTATCTCTTCCCATCACAGAGCACAAATCACACTAAAATCAAAACAAGAATTTACAGGTTTGGTGAATTTTACTTTTTTCAGTTTATTTCCCTATTTTAAGCAGTAAGGATGATATTTCTTTTCGCCACGTATTAGGTTCGGCACATGTAAAGTTCGACCATCTGAATCAACAGTCGAACTGAATAGTTTGGGTCGACCTAAATAGGTATTAGGTTTGGCACATGTAAAGTTCAACGTTTAAACCGGGCCTTAGATGAAATAAATGAAGTAAAAGTGATAAAAGTTACCAATAAAGTGTAAATATTGTTACCTGGAGTCATTGTCTTTGTTTTTACGAAGTTTCAGTGCGATCTGAGTTCTTTTACATCATCTCACCTGACAGTGTCACTGTCTGAAAGAGGAATACAGAAATTCAATACTGATGACAGGTCACTACCCAGATCTGGGTAGTACTTGTGATTAGTCTGCAGTGTGGGAAATTTGATTCAACCAATCACAAGCACTACCCAGATCTGGGTAGTGATGGGTCGTCAGTATGGAATTTCTGTGCTCGCTTCTCAGACGTCTTTTGGCGGGGAAACCAGTGGTAGCATTGCCAAATGTTGGCTGTTTTCTCAGGCTACACGCATGATAGGTTATGCTTACTTTTGTCGACCAATCATTATTTGCTGATGATGCTGTAATGTATCGTGATAAAAAATTATTCCTAGGATGAAGTCATATTTCAAAATTACTTTGACTCTATTACTTACTGGGCCAATACCTGGCAAATGAGCCTTAAGGTCGTTCCTAAACTTTCCCTATGGGAAATTTAGTACATGTGGACTGTGGCAATGAAATAGAATATGGGGGTCCCCTTGCTAACTATTGAGATACGATGGGTGCAAATACCCCCCTCTTAGAGCATTTGTTGTCAATTTATGCTCATTCTTAAGACTATAGTTTCTTTATTTGTAAAGCCAAAAAAAAATTTACAGATACAAAGAACACCAAGCATTCAAGTTGGATTTTGAGGAACTCTTATTGTGCTTGCTACTACAAAAGTTCATTACAATTGTGTACTTTTTTGTTAAAATTGTGGCCATGGTTACCAAACCTAAAGTAAAACTTATGATTTCAGATGACATTGTTCCCTATTTTTTCACATATTTCCATCGCTGAAAGTTTGCTTATTCTTTGTCTATGTAAAGTTTGGTGCCAAAAGGATTAACTGAAATGAAAAAAAGGGGGGGTCACCATGCTTGCCTTAGGATTAGGGTAATATTTTGATACTCAGGTGCCTCTCACAAATTTTATTGAATTTTCTGTCAGAAACTATTTAGGAGTCTACAACGATGAAATAAAATCACTCCAGTAAATACTCTGCAAGAACTTAGTTCATCGTTAAGTAAATAAGTTGGTTGGTATCAGGGTTCTCGACAGGTTTTTTAAAGTAGTGGACATATTTCTTAAAGCACCTAATGCAAAATTTTTGGGTGGCACAAGGCACCTTGCAAGCACAGAAGGCGCAAGCTTCCTTAGGGGGGGGGTCTGGGGGGATGCTGCCCCAGGAAATTTTTAAAATAGAACACTCAGAAACACCGTTTTCAGCGTTTCTGGAACCCGAGATTCAGTTTCCCAGGAAAGGCTGGAGTTCACTCAAATTCTGAGAAATGGTGAGTCAAACAGTTGTTATAAGTTGGCAAATCAGCATGTAAATGTAATATTTATTGTACCACAACAATTCATAAAATCCATAATTCTGTGAGGTGCATTTTGCTGATGTCTTATGAGTTGAAGAACTCCAAATTCAAAAGATCAGTTGATCGCTTTCAGTATCACATGTGTTAATTTTTTTCCTTGAAATGCTGTGTATCATTTGTTTCTATTTCAAACTCCGAAAGGTTTAAAAGTCATATTTTGATTGTTGATGAGGGAAAGATAAGCTAAACCTTGTACAACAGTGACTGCATTAGTAAAGAACCACCGTGAGACATTGTTTTGGGTTTTTTTCAGTAAGGAAGGTATTACCCTTTCCACTGCTCACCCTGAGATGAAAGACTGAGTCAGACTCATCATGCCTGTAGATTTAACCTTACAGCAGTACATCATTTTCTCTTGGCCTTCGAGGAAAAAAATTGTTTATTCTCTTTAGTTTCGACCAACACATTTAGCGTGTTTTGCCTGGGGATTTCCCTTAAGACCAAACATGAATGATAACAAAATGGTCACTCCAATTTCATTTAAAGGGAACCTCCACTCTTACTACAGAATAAGTTTAAATCGAATAAAATTCTGTTGATAAACAAATTTGTTCGAAATTTGTCCTTAAAAAAAGTGTTTATATCAGGAAAAGTGAATTTTAAAATCGCTTATTTTCACTTTCAAATTTCACGGGCACCGCCATCTTGAATAATTGTGACGTGTTACGGTTGCTCTATTCTTCTGACACAAAGAGCTTTTGTTTAATAACAATAGGGCAACTGTAACACTTCACAATTATTCAAGATGGCGACGCCCGCAAAATTTGAAAACAAAAATAGGCGAACCTAAAAGTTATTTCTTTCGGACACAAACGCTTTCTTTAAAAATATTTTACATTGACTTGACTGTAATATTTATGTAATATTTGACATAGGACCAATAATATCCAGTTATCCTGTTTTTGGTCGTTTGAGCCCTACATTGTATAAAATACTAGTATCAATTTGTGGTGATTTTCAAAGACCAGCAACAGAACGTACCTTCTATGTACACCGAAAACTACAATAAGGTCTCCCAAGGAAAACTACCAGCTTGATGAGTCTTCATTTTGCCACATTCACTGTTTGGACAAGTTAGATGTAGGAATTTTACAAGCTGAGATTTGTATACTTGAAGTACATCACAATTCAAGCCAAAATAATTATACATTTCTTTTTTCACACAGACACAGCGACTTCCATGTGTTTGGTGAACTAATTAGTTTATTGTTCCTCACAACTCACACTTCTTGGCACACTTTCAGCTACTTAAACCTGCATTATCACGCCGTCCTGATTAATTGCCTTTTTACAGTGTATTTCTAAATCATAAATCATACTGTATTAAATTCGAATAAAGGAGGGCTATGTCAGTAAGAAAATACAAGAGTGTCAACAAAGAAATGAAAAACAATGATAAGCGACTGCTGGATAAGCTGTGCGTGTAGTTGTTCGTGTTGTGTATTCCAGCTGTAGGCTAAATGACATACCGTAAAATTCCGAAAACAAGCCCCGGGGCTTATATTTTTCAAAGTCCCTTTTGGAGGGGCTTATGTACAGAGGGGCTTATCTACTGAGGGAAATTTGCATTTCAAAGTCGATTGTGCTAGCTTTATATTTGGAATAAATTTACCGTTTTTGCTTTGTTTTCCTTTGTATTTGAAGACAATTTTCCAAGTACAAGCCCCCGTGGGGCTTATATTTGGAGGGGCGATTTAACGGAGGGTTTTTTGCATCACCGGTTTGAGAGGCTTATATTTGGAGGGGCTTATTTTCAGAATTTTACGGTAATTGACAACAAACTTTTGAAAGAGCAAAGCAATTAAAAAAAGCGACTGAATCAATCTCATACAGCAAAAAGGGCAAACAGAACTGCAAACAGAGCAAAAATGTCAAAAGTGCAGTGCATAGATGTGAAAGCAAGATTGTGCTACTTACAGCAACGCTATGAGTCAACTGTTTTGCATTATTTTAGCGGTTTACCCAGCTGATTTGCTTCATTCTCCCTTCAGATATTTTGTCTGAGCATTTATTTTTTATAAATTGCAATTGCAATAACGTTATCAAAATACAAAAATATGGAACAAGATACTTCTACAAAAAAAAAAGTATGAGAGAGAGAAAAAAAAACAAGTATTAACACCATGCTACTTCCACTAATCTTGTCTGAATAATAAAAATTAATTCACTTTAAAGAACACTCTTTAAAGCGGCTAGTCTTGCTTGCTGGGAGATTATAAAAGAAATGAGGAGGCATTAAATTCTATGTGAAACAGGATATCCTCGCTAAAAATTTTTCATGTCTTATTTAATTTTTATATTGTATTCAATGATTTTTGTTCCTGAATTAATCAATTGTCCTGGTTGAGGCCAGTGATGTTTTAGATTAATTTTTACTTTTTCTACTGAAATGTTTGTTTGTTGTTGTTATTGTTGTTGTTGTTATTCCCCCCCCCCCCCAAAAAAAGTTATAGTTTTACTCAGAGAATACTCTTTTCAAAAGCTTAGCATGTAAAAGATGTTGCATAAAAAAAGTACATCATTATGGTGCCTTAACTACTTCCGGCTCCGAATATACATGTATCATTCTAACATTTTTATTAGACATACATAAATCACAGTAAGAGGGTACAGTACCTAAATGTTGTGTTGCCACTGAATGTTTTTTTGTACAGCCATTTTAAATTCAAAACAATTTTGCAAAATTCTTGAAGTATTGTTTCTGTATGCAGGAAACATTATTGTTCTGTGTTTTCTTATTCAGCCATCCCAATTGTGTCTTCTTGAGTGTGGAGAAACAAAAGACCTTGGGTTACCGTATCCATGACCTGCTTCCTTACAAAAGCTACTCTCGGAAGAACATGGGTTACCTCTATGCCATTCAACATGGCGCAAAAATGATCTATGAAACAGACGATGATAACTCGCCCACAGAAGGAAAAATCACTTTCTATCAGAAAGACTCTGGAAAATTTTATGTCTACAAGACTGATTCTCCTATGGTTAATCCTTATGAACACTTTGGACAAAGCACCATTTGGCCTCGGGGGTACCCCCTGGATTTCATTAGCGAACCCCCGGCTCGAAAGTTTGTTGAATGCGAAGGAGTGGACACATCAGTGCAACAGGGTGTGGTAAATGGAGATCCAGATGTAGATGCAATATTTCGACTCACAAGAAAAGATAAAGGTGTTGATCTTGACGTAGAGTTTGATGGCGATGCCCCACCTGTTGTACTTCCCCAAGGTACCTTTGCTCCATATAATTCTCAAAACACGCTGTTCTTGCACAGGGCTATGTGGGGACTGCTGCTACCAGGAACGGTGACTCTTCGAGTAACTGACATCTGGCGTGGCTACTGGAATCAGCGGTTAATGTGGGATGTTGGAACACAACTGTCGTTTTTTGGACCAAATGCTTACCAATTTCGAAACGCACACAACTACTTGTTAGATTTCAAAGAGGAGAAACTGCTTTATTATGAAGCCCCACGAATGATTAAGTTCTTAAAGGACTGGAAATCTGACAAACCAGATTTCTTCAGCAGAGCACTTGACCTAAGCATTGCATTTGCACAACAAGGCTTCTATGGCTGGAATGATGCCATGTTGACAGAAGCCTGGTTAACTGACTTGGTTAGTATTGGGTACAAGATGCCAGATATAGATCCTCTTCCCATGACATGTAGAAAAGTCGTTGGTGACGAGAAGGAACTGCATACAAAAGAGCAGCCGTCTTCATATCTACGTGCAGGGAAGAATTTGAAAAGCTTAGTTTCCTAGACAGTTACATAGCATCCACCTGTACCTTGTTCTTGCTAATTCCTAAGATTTTGTAGCGCCACGCTGTTGCATCTAATCTCGAAAATTTTGAGGGGATAAATTAGAGAGTATTGAGCGGCAGTAAAGATTTTCGTCGTGTAAATCAACTGGTTTTTGTGAAATTTCATTTCATAAAAACCAGTTGATTTACACGATGAATCTGTGGTAGCCTCCGATTCAGGCAATTCCCTCAAGCAAAGAAGGAAATAGGGTGGAAATACAGTAAAACCCTTTGACTATGAACCTGAATTTTTCCAGTTTAGCCTGAACAGGTTCTTATATAAATGGTAGTTAGCTCAAGTTTAGCCTAGTTAGGTTCCTAAATAGGTTCTTCTTTTCTGAAGCAAAAAAACATTAGCTAGGAGTATAGTGGTTCATCTTATTCCTCATATAAAATCTGCATACAATTACATAATATTATATTTGCAGTTGTAGTGATCGGCACCTGTGGCTCCAAAGAGAATACTGAATGTTGACTCACCTTATTTGCCCTTTAGTAAACAGAATTTTTCCATAGGTTTTAGTAAATAAGAACCTGTTTCAAATCTTAGGCTAAACAGGTTCTTATATCGAGGGGGCTTAACTGGCAAATTTTAGCGTAACAGGTTCTTAAAATCCAGGTTCTCACAATGTAGTTGCAAGGTTTTACTGCACGACTCCCCGAAAAACGCCTGTCTTGGAGACTAAATATGTTGTGCTTTAAGTTTTACATTAAAAGCCATTTTTAGGTACCCTAGTTAAGGTTGACCCAGAGGTCTCTCTGAGTCTAGCCTGAATGGATGTAAAATTTACAAGTTTTTTTGCCACCATATATATATTTATATTTTAAGTTTGCTAAGTAATGTAATGTAATTAACTCAATTACAATTTTAGTAGTTATGACAGGAGAAAATAAGGGGCAGAGAGGAAGATTAATAATTAAAAGGGGTTCACTTTGCAGGGTGCAAAGAAAGTCATTTTTACAGCTTGCCATTCAGGCAAGCTGAAGCTACAATTTACTAGCCCAAATGTCATTTCAACTGGCCCAAAAAAACGTTTCGATGAGCAGATTGATTTCACAGTTCTTCTGTAATTTGAATTCCTCAAAAAATTCTTTTGCCCTTTGGCCAAGTTAATAACAGAATTCACTAGCCCGATAGCAAAATCCACTAGCCCCGGACTATCGGATGCAACTTTCTTTGCACGCTGCTTTGATATCAATTTCATGACTACAGTGGAACCCCGTTAATGTGACCATTGTTGGTCCATAAAATCCTGGTCATGATAACGAGATAGTCGTATTAACGGGAACCTCAAATATTATTAATTATATGACCAGTTTGGGTTGAAAGGTTGTGGCCTTAATAATGAGGCAGTCATAAGGCGGTGCTCCACTGTATTATGATTTACAATCATGTTAAAAAAAACAAAGTTTGTTTTCTGAGATGTCTGGAGGGAGTGGCGGGATTAATTGTCACTTTAAGCACTGTTAAGAGTTATGCACATAAAATGTGGAGTGTTACCTTTGCAGTGAAATTTCACTTAAGTTTTGAAAATTTTGATGTCATTTCTATGGTGTCCATGAGAGTACCGTCACCTTTCTCTAAGATGGACATCTTTGGGACTAGCACTAGTGTCCACTTTAGACAGATGTCAATCTTATTTCTGGAGGGGGGAACTCCCATATAAAAGTGACAGGGATGCTCATCGTCTCACTTTGGGGTGTAAATTGCAGATGTTGGTCTCACTCAGGGTGTTTGGAATGGAAAGTCACTGTATTTGCCCATCCCTTTAACCCTTTAAGCCTTAATATCCAAATGCAAATTCTCCAGACTGATCTCCATATATTTCGTTAAAGAATAAGTTGAGAGAATTTGTTTGTAGATCAAAGCTTTTCCCCTCAGGTGATGATTTTATTAACTCTCACGACATTTTCTCTTGATTATGTATGGATATTGTTGGGAGAAAATTGACTTTGGTCACTCCTGGGACTTAAAGGGTTAATAGTACTGTGCATAAAGACCCCACGGAAATCTTCTTTAGGGGTCAGTTTAAGCTTGAGCCACACCCACATTGGTCTCCCCTAGGGGTTTCATTTGAATTTTCTGATGAGCATCCCCATCACTTTTCTGTGGGAGTGCCCCCCCCGGGGTCTTTAAGAGAGCCAAATAAAGGAAGTAAAGAAAGGGAGGGACCAACTCTAGGTGTCCGTTTTACAGAGGTGTCTGTCTTATTGAGGTGTCCGTTAAGAGAGAGTTGACTGTATGGACCATGGACAGGTGCCGATGGAAAATTGTTGTGTGTTTGTTGAAAGGACAACAATGCAAACTTAACACATGCGCACATAAGCAAAGCTTGTACACATGATAAAATATTTATCGCACGTGCACAGGGACCTTCAAAATAGTTTATTGATCTTTGCTGGTCGCTTTAAGGCACCAGAAATAATCGTCATGCATCCATTACAAAGTGAAAATAAAGGTTTTTGAATGTTCTCTACATCAGAGTGGTTTTATGATCAATAATTGTTTTCTCGTATAAAACTCGCTAAAATTGGGAGGGTGACCCTCGATCTTTCCTGGTAAACCTTTTTCTCCATATAAATGGGGCCTGAGGCCGCTTGGAGGCTGTTAGAGTAGTTTACAGCACAGGGTGAAAGATAAACAGGGAGCAGAAACAGTAAACCTTAGCCCTGAAACAGTTGAGCTTTGTGCCAGGAAAAACGAATGAATGAAGAGGTTTTGAAGAGCTTCTTGACAGCAGAAGGATTACATATTCATTCAGTTAACAGGAGACATTACTGAAACCAAAAAGAAGGCTTGTCACATATTTTCCATAAAACTGGTTCAAACATTAATAAGACTTATGAAAATTAATTATCGCGTGCCCGATTCTCCTTCACCTTTCCTTTACATGGTTCGTACAATCTTGGAAAGGTCTTGGATTTTAGTAGTCGTCTTGAAAATCCGTTGAATTCGGTTGAAAAGTACTTCATTTCTTTATTAGGTCTTGAAAAGTCCTTGAAATTCAAACCTTCTTTAAGCTACACGTTTTTCTTTGAAATTAGACTATTTGCCGAGGAAAAACTGACGGGTATCGTAATTTAAACGTATTTTAAGTGCTATATCTGTACCTCAGATGCAAATGCAAGTTTTTCTCGGTGACTGTTGGCATGCAAAGTGTTGTTATGGAAAGTAGAAGTAAAAACCATCGTGTATGATTTCTTTAAGTGTTTTAGCCAATAAGGTGTTCAAAAGGGGGTTAAAAAATGCCGTCTTAGTCCGAGAAAACTGTAATTTGTCTTCGAATAGTCCTTGGAATTTTTTATCTGAAGTTGGAGGAACCATGCTGTAGAACGCGCGCCACGCAGGCTTAGTCATTCGAAGCCTGGTTGACACAAAAGTTTATTTTCACTATTTTATGAGTTTGGAAGAAACATATTTCCTGTGTTAGACCCTGATCCATAACAAAACTGACCCAGCGAATTGGCCTTTCTTTCACATGGATTACTTTTTTAATGCAGCCGCAGGGGCGGATCCAGGATTTTTTTTAGGGGGGGGTGCACTCGTCTCTTGCTCTACTTCAACACCAATAAACCACATAGTTTTTTTTTTTTTTTTGCAGAATACCAGTTGTATTAGAAAACCGCAAGTCATCTCATGGAGGGGTGCGCACCCCCTGCACCCTCCCCTTAGATCCGCCCCTGAGCCGGCAATGGCTTGTATTACTCATGATTAGACTGTTTGACATCACAATCATTAGTATAATTATCATTGTTATTATCATCGTCCCCCTGCTCATCATCACCATTATCATCATCACGAAAATCATCGTTATACTGTGGGCAGTCTCTCCTTTGTTCCCCAATATGTGAGCGAAAAGAGTATTTCTATTCGTTAGTACTGGTACTCAAGCAGTCAGAGACCCAAGTTAGGAAAGATACCACAAAGAAGCAAGTATAAAAGCAAGCGTATTATGATTACCATATGTGAAGTACTTACCCGCTGCTCGCGCAACCTCCCGCACGGATTTTTTATCAAAACCGCTCGCAGTCCACACGTCTTCATCATCATCATTATCATCACAGTCCAGTTTCTCATTATCATCACCAGGTGGCCGATAAATCAGTTCCTGTCATGTCATCACTATCATCACAATCAGCTCTCATCATCATCACCAAGCGCTTGATCATGATAAATCAGCCCCTGTCATCACCAAATCTTCACAATCATCATCATCATCATCATCATCATCATCATCATCATCATCATCATCATCCAACCTCGTCCCCAAAGCGCTTTTCCCTGGCTTTGGAAGTGGAAAGCCCAAACAAAATCGCTGTGATCTACCAGTCTGCCACCTAGATATATATATATATTTTTTTAAATGCCCATAACGTAAGTAATTTCATTAAACTGAAAGAACACATTACTACAAAAACGTCTTGGAAAAAAATTAAGGCGAATAAAGTGCCAAAATGGCGGTGATTTTAAAACTTTTCAAAAAAAATCTCAGCAAATCACGTTGCGTTCAAACTAGCCTGCGAAAACATCCGTTTCTCCTCGCTCTTCGCCACCGGGGACATTTCATCGCGAAACGTCCCCAGCGACGAAGAGCGCGGAGAAACGGATGTTTTCGCAGGCTACGTTCAAATCACAATCTTTTTTTCTCGGTAACGGGGGGTTAGTGGGTGGACTGGGACGAGTTGTTGTGGGCTGCACCATATCGAGGCACAACTTTGGCGCGTTTTTCAGCGAGTGATCGCAGCGAAGTTTTCGTCGCTTTTCTCATTAAACTTTGCATTCTTTTCCTCGTTCGAACCTCTGAATTGAGATTTGCCACCGTGTAAATGGTCCTCCGTTTATTTTAAAGGAGCTCATTGGTTAGAAGGTAAGTTCGATTGATGTTATAAGTCTCTTACATGAACACCCCGTAATGTCGATGGTTCGTAATGCACCATCCGTCGTCTTGAATCATGGAATACATGTATGTTGATTTTTTACGTGCTTCTAAGCTAATGGACGCCCCTTTCAGATACAGGAGCTAGAAAAACTCTCACCAATACGCAACTGTATCTGAAACGGGCGTCCATTACACCGATCTAAAGTTCACGAACGTTTCTTTACACCGATTTTATATTGGAGTACAATCTGCCAGTTGCATTCTTTGAAAGAACACTTAGAGCATACCCTTTTATACTTTGATTTAACAGAAATGGAGAATCTCAACGATCTAGGTGATTGCCTAAACACAGAAATCGTTTGCACCCTAGCTGGTCTTGGTTATTCGGAAGGCAGCGATTACTACAAGAGCCCAGACTGTCTAGGTAGGTTGCAAAGTGGATATATTTCTTAAAACTGAAAATGTTGTTGCTGTAATCTGTTTTCAGGTTAAACCAGTATTCTTCCCACTTTTATGCTGAGCTCTCTTTGTTGCTTAGCCCCTTATTCATAGAGACAAAGGAAATTCTGTATTAACCTGAGAACAGATTTTACCTGCAACAAAAATATAAGCTTAATTATGGTGCTTGCCATGCCTCAGGGTGGTAAAGGGGTCTTCAGGGACATGTGGGCCCCAAATGTGATGCGTGATTGGGCCCAATTTGGCTGCATCAGGTGTGATTAGCAGGGTGTTCATCAGGCATCAGAGATCAGAGAATTCTGTATTTACTATGGAAAATTCTCCGATTAACGTTTGGTAGCCTGTGACTATTTTCTATTCAGACGAGGAGCCTCTTTCAGAATATTCTCCTGTAATGTTACACCTTTCTCCTACTACTAGAAATCCTAATTAAAACCCTGGATTAGTCATAGTAGGGTGGTGTGTGATTTACTATTTTCTTAATCTGTGACGTATGATTTTCCTTTTGGATTTCCGTTAATGGTGAATATTATTTGAATTTAGAAGCAGACATTAAAAACAGATAGTCATGACATCATTTTCTCGTTCTTTTTCTCATCCTTCATCTCCTCCTGGTCTCCTGTCAAAATCATGTTATGACCTCTATTCTCAGTCAGTGAATACTGGTTGACACAGTGAATGTTTGAACAGCACCAGATTTCAGAAAACCCTTTTTTACAATTAATGTCATTTAATTAACTGTGCAACTCTCCAGCCTTCTTGACTGAAATGTGCTCATTCTGGTATAGTTTGAAAGATCTCTCCCCCCTGCACAAGTTAAATGACAAAGTTGTCGTTGACCATTAAAACTGATGATATCATAAGTGTTAGAAGGGATGTGGATCTGCATGGGTGGTTACAGGGGGTTCAGGGGCAAATGGGTTAATTTTATCCTTGATCCACATTCTGCTCTATTGTATCTCCCAGTGTGTTAATCATCGTTCAATGTAAATGGTTGGGGATCGCAGGAGTGTTTCGTGATAAATTTTCTGTGACGGGCAGTAATCACAAAATATAAAAAGCTAACCCCAATGTGAAAAAGGGTATCCAAAGAAAACATCCTTCATACATCAATATTAAAGTAAGTAATCTTTTTTTCCATAAAATGAAATTGTTTCTGATGTTTGCAGAGAGCCTCAAAGACTTGGTCAGATTTTTAAGACGTGATGACACCACGTGTGAAATAAGACGCCAACTTGGATATTCTGAAGTGCTGCAAAATGTATGTTCCTTTTTGTGCTATTTTTTTAAGAGTACTAACAGCTATAACAATTCCCTTAAATTGTGAAAACTCGGACTGTTATTCAATGAAAATTCAAGCAAGCTAAAGGTTAGTACTTGTTGCCCAAGTAAAAGGATTATTAAGCAATCTGCATTGAAATTCTACAATGTACATGTCAGCCAATACGCCAGCCAATACCTGGCCAGTATACCAGTCGACACTTGGCCAATACAGGGAGTATTGTTGGTGGAATATCGGTCAACTGTCGGTGGAATATCAGTCATATAATATAAATTTGTGTTCATAAATTAGAACAGGGGAGCTGGGTTTCAGTGTTATGCACAAGACATTGTGGTCATAGTTTCTGTTCTGTTGTTTCTGTCAACCCAGGTCAGCCACGCTGTGTCAACTTGTTGGATTTCTGCTGTGGTTCTACGCATGTTATAACGTTAGATATTGTCCTTGAGTACCTCTCAAAGACGATGCCATAGCAGTCCCTATTTTTGTCAAAAAAATTGTGCACACTCTTGAAATAATTATACTCTCACTTTAGACTGGTAAAAGCCGCCAAAGCCCCTTAAAAATTGCTGCATGGACAACGTAACAAAAATTTAAGTAGACAAAAAGTTTACCGTTGACTAAGTATCAGTGAAGTATATATCGGCTGAATGACAGTAGCCTATCAAAAATTATTGACATGTCGGCTGACTATTGGTCAACATACTGACCAAGACTGTCAGCCAATCTGTCGGTGGACATGTCAGCCGACTCTTGGTTGACTATCGTTCGACGTATCAGCTGACCGATGTTGGCCGACAGATTGACCTGGGGTCGGCCAATATGGTGAACGAGTTTTGGCTGACATGTTGATTGAGTATCGGCCCATAGTGTCAACCAATACTCAACTGAGGGGTGCGCAAATTACACAAGATCTAATGATTGTCCTCTTTCAGGATCTGGTGGCAATTCTTAAAAGCTGTTCCTCTACAGAAAGAGAGATTTTTGATATGGTGATAAGGTACTTGCAGCTAATTTGTACTTCTAATATTCTATGATTAAACCTTTTGAATGTAACCTTCATGATCTGCAGTGCTTTTTCGTGATGCAGCTATTTATTTCTACTCTCAACGTTGATTTACAATGTATTAGCTTTGCATTGTAGCATGATGGCGGGGTAATAAGGAGCTTTAGATTATACGACGAGGACGACTTTGTGAACAAGATTTTCCCAATACTTATTTGTAGTGCACTTGCATGAACCAACGTCAGATGTGGGCAAATGTGGTAGCCTTCGTCATTCTACTACGAATTTTAGTGAGAACTTTGTAGTAGCCAAAACAAGTTATCAAATGTTAGAAATTTTATCATTTTTTCAGTGATCAAGAGAGGGCTTTACGTCCTTCAACGGATCCCCCCCTAGGTAAAGTGTAATATGGCTCCTGCCATAAAACTGAAGTAAATCAAGTGGAGGACTGTCTTTCTTTTGTTCCATTTCTGACATGTTATACATGTAACAACTGTTTTTGTGTCTGTGATTTTTGATTTGTTTGTTTGTTTTAGGTTAATGGTTAATTTGACTCAGCCAGCAGTGCTGTGCTTTGGAAATAACATCCCAGATGACAAAACTGGTCAGCATTATTACTTGGACCTTGTAACCCAGTTACAGTCCTATAAAGAGGTAGTGTACTTTAATTGCAGAGAGCAGATTCACCATACATTATATTCACACTCTGTTCTTGCACCAATGTTTTCATAAATAAACAACGGGAATGTAGGTGACGCGTATAGTATTATTGTAAAAACCACTAAGACTTTCCTTCAGTATGTAAAACACCTTTAAAAATCGGCTATTAAAACCCGTACAAAAATGCGTTTTAAGTCTAAAAACAATACAAGAACAAACTCAGCTTACTAGGTTAGTGAAATACGACTTTTCATAGGCACCTCAACCCTCTTCTGTTTGGGATTTCAAAATTTGGCCGCTGGCCATATTAACTGGTGACCGTATCAGCAAGAGTTTTTTTATGAGAAAATGAACATGTGTGGCCATTTTGCCGTGCGGAAGTAAAGTGGCTGTAATGATGAGGTGACCATATTACCGAGGTGGCCGTAAAGCGGGGTTCCGCTTAGCTGCAAAAAGATTTTCCATAGCTTATTTATTCGGGATTATTGCCTGCACTGTTTTTCATGTGACATTATCCACACTGCAGGCCTTCACAGAAAAAGAAGTGATGTCAGTGATTGGACGAGAGCTTGGAAGGTTACTTCAGATGGTAGGAACATTGTTAAATAATATTAAACTAGACAATTTCTGATTTAATTAACCTTTCCATCAGTGGTTCAATGTTTATTTTCTTTCTTGTTTTACTTATTGGCTTTTGTTTTCTCAGGAATGGGATGAACGACTAGAAGAAGACTCTCTTTTAGTTGAGAGAATTCTGTTGCTGCTTAGAAACATTCTTCATGTACCAGCTAATAAGCAGGCAGAAAAGGTACATGTATTATAGTTTCACTTATTAGCAATGAAGCCAGACGTGTGCCTCAACAGTGTTGTCAGTGACACCTCTTGATTTTTTTTCGTACACTGTACATAGCTGATTACCATTTTTCTTTATTTTGTAAAAAGACTATGAGTAACGTAGTTGTTTATTCATGTTTCACACCCTTAGAAAAGAGCAGCTGAAAAAGTGTGATTTGAAATACCTTGAAACATTTTGACCGTTAACAGGGTGCAAAGAAAGTCAGTTTCACCTGCCATTCGGGCAAGCTGTAGCTAGCATGTACTAGCCCACAAGTCATTTCAACTAGCCCCGAAACCCTTTTTGATTAGCAGGATTGATTACCATCCTTCTGTAATTTGAATTTCCCCAAAAAACAGCACTTGCCCATTGGGCAAGTTAAGAACAAAAATCACCAGCCCGATAGCAAAATCCACTAACCCCGGGCTATCGGACACGACTTTCTTTGCACGCTGGGTTAATATTTATCTCTATTTTTACCCTCCTGTATGATTTTTCTACCCATGGAAGTTCACATTTGTTTTTGATTTTCGGATTCATTACCTCCAAGTACTTCATGTTCCTGAGCAGCACTTTGCATTCTTGTTCTTTATGGACAATATTAAGCCCCCTCAGATGTATTAATTTTAAATAACGCCCCCAGTTTTACAGAAATCTAATCACCTGTAAAAAGTTAACTTTGTTTTTCTTGTAAATGAAGAGAACAGATGATGATGCCAGCATTCATGACCAGGTTATATGGTAGGTTCACTAATCAAGATACGGAATCTGGGCTGTCGCTAATTTTTTTTGTTTAATATGCTCTATGAACCACATAAATCACAACGTATACAGGAGGGAAAGAAAAAATGATAACAATAATGATAATGATAAAATAAGTAATGGCAACAGGACTGAGTGGAGTCCAATTCGGTCTGTAATCATATGAGTGATTAACAAAATCGGACGACCGCGTAGCGGGAGTCCGATTTGTTTAATCACGAGTATGATTACAGACCGAATTGGACGACACGAAGTTCTGTTACCAATTAATCATAACTTTAACAAAATTTGTGATACAATAGGCTATTTTTTAAACCAAAACACAAGAAATTCGAAATCCTGTTTTGCTAGCAGTGAAAAAAAACGCCATTTAAGCACGCGCGTGATGGCGCGTACTGTCCTATTAAACTGTCCAATTAAGGCTGAAATCAGGGCAGTTGAGAGCCAATCAGATTTGACAATTTTGTTATAGTTATGATTACTGTTATAATAGGGCTGTTACTAAGATTTCAAGTTGCCGGGTACATACAACAAGTACGCGGGAATCAAACAGCTAGGGATTTCTTTTAGTTCTATTTTTCTTCTATTTTCCTATGAAAGTAGCTGGAGGCCACGTTCTTAGTAGCTGGAGGAAATCCCCAGCCCCCGCCTCTTTATTAATGACAACCCTGAGAATACAGTCTCACATACTTTTTAACTACTGTTGAACATCCATTAAGTGGCTACCTTCGACTGTATTTTCCTTCATTATATTTTTTTGAAATAAAGCCTATTGAAACTAAGTGTATCAAGCACTTGATGGCTTCTTGACAGAGGTGACAACAGTAGTAGAACTCTCATTTGAATGGCCAAAAGATGGCCATGGCCACTTGATAGAGGTGGCCCCTTAATAGAAGTTCCATTTACAATTACAGTGGACTCCCGGTAACTCAAACCCTCTATAACTTGAACTTCCTGCTAACTCCAAGCAACTTTCATTTCAAGTCCCGATAACTCAAACCTTTTCCTATTTCCCTTGAAGGCTCGAATTAGCGGGAGTCGACTGTACAATTATTTCCCATAGTTATTTTGGGATTTTGATTACTGGTACAGACACCTCTATGTTGATGCTTGGTTCTCTTCATTTAATTAATGTCCAGATTGAGAAGGGTTTTCTGTACCATCAGTACATGTACGTGGTTGAACAGAACAAATAACCAGATTATTAAATAACAGTGATCTATTTTTTTATTTATTTCATTCTTGAAGGAATCTCCATACCAATGGAATTGATGATCTGTTGCTCTTTATAGCAAGTTCCCCAGATGAGGTGGGACATTTTTTAACAGTTAATAACAATGTTTCATAAAGAATTTGAAAGTCCTTTATTGATGGGGATATGAATACATTCATATCTGCGGGTTATTTTGGTTGTCAACCCCTGTAACCCTCGAATACCATTCCTTTGTCATCTATTGAGTTACAGGAGTTGATCTCATGTCCAATCTAGTTTGTTGACACCTGTTTATTTTTCCAAACACACATCTTTACAGCCCTTTAACAAGGTCAGTTGTGTGAAGAGGTCAGTTATATGGGAGTTCAATGGTACTGAAAAGAAACACATGAGAAGTCTGGGAGGCAGCATGGCTGAGTGGCTAGAGTGCTGGACTTGCAATTCGGAGGCCCCGAGTTCAAGTCCTGCTCTAACCCCTAGCTGGATTTGTTCGCGATAGTCCCGAGTTCAGGTGCTCGGCCAGCTGGTTTGCCTGTGGCCAGTTGGGATTTCTTAACCCTGTTAAGTTTGATTTAGATTATTTGTTTCAGGCGTTTGCTGGGCCCTACCCCACTAGCATTAGTGCTATAAATACTGCCGAGGGTAAATAACAGAATTATTATTATTATTAGTAGTAGTAGTACTAGTAGTAGTAGTAGTAGTAGTAGTAATATTCTAAAATACTGTACCGGTGTTTCCTACTGTATTAACTGATTTGGATTGTCCCTTTGCAGAGACGTTGGAGCATGCATGTACTGGAAATTGTTTCATTAATGCTGAGAGAACAGGTTGGGTTTTACAACGCTGGGTTCACACTTAGTACATGTGGGGCAATATCTTGGGGCATTTTTCTTAATTTACTGAATAATTATTGTGAGTATCAAGCATGCATTAGATGGCTGCAACCCTCTTATCTTCTTGGTAAGAATTAAATTACAGGAGAAAAGATAGTAATCTGTAATAGATATTTTCATTCATTATTATTAAAAGTTGTACTCTAAGAATTAACTTTGAATATGAAAAATAAATCTTGTATTATAATTATGAACTGAGGCTGGAGATGTGGAAGTGGATTTCAGATACTTATCCCACTGCTTACCAGTTAGTTGTTTATTTTACTCTAACAATCTTGTCACATTCATGGTTAATTAAGGGTTGTTCAGAACTATGTATGACTTAAATGCTTTAATGAAATCACCGTAAAATAATATATACATGTACTACACTAGTAAAACTACAGTCACTGTAATTCCATTTGGCCTCACAAAGGTTCCATGATTCCTCAAGCAAGTTACACATAAGTGATGCAAGGTTTTTGTCAAGTTTTACTTGCAAAGGGTTATTTTCTTTATTTTGTTCTCTGTAGAATGCAGAATTGCTAGCCAAGGCTGGCGAAGGGAGGTCCAGGAGTGAAAAGAAGGAAGACGAAAGGTACAAAATTACAGCCATTCATTGGAACAAATTAAGTAAATTTACTTATCACGATGTCATCATATTAGAGCCTGCATATGCTTAAATTTAAATGTACTTTAAAATATTAAGAGGTTACAGTCTTTGTTTAATTTTCATATTCCAGTTTATTTCTTTTTTTCTAAGTTTAGCATCTTAAATCCTTTCCAGACAACTGGAGATTCTTTATCAGCAAGAGCTTGCAAGTAAACTAAATAATGCAAGAAAGTTTTCTGGCAGGTAAGGATAATTATTTTTGATTTCTTTCATTTTACTTATGATATGATGGCAGCAAAAAATACCATAGCCATTTGTAATAGAGGTTGTGAGCAGTGAACACTGAACTTGAACCTGAGTTGTATTTTTTTAAAAGTCTGATTAGTTTTTTTACTTCCAAGTATTGAAATTGTGAGCAGTCTTTTAAGTTACAGTGTATCTCACTTTGATCATCTTCCTAGCTACCAGTGTGTATTTTGAATAACTAAAGCTGCCAAAACAATGTAGAGCAGTGGTTCCTTTTAGTTGAACTACAATTGGTTTTCACATAAGTTTCTCTCCACCCTAGACATTCTAGGTTTGGAGGAACATTTTATGTGCAGAATATGAAGTCTATAAATGATCAGAATCAACTCATATATCACAGACCTCTTGCTGGTAAGTGTCTAAAATACATGTGAATGTCAATAGTGTAGTTATATGGTTAATATATTCCTGCCAATTAAATTTCAGATCCCTGTGAACTAGTACATTCTAGAATTCCGAAGTGGAAAGAGTTTTCCATTATGCATTGTTCTAATAACACACTACAGTGTAGAATTTTAATAATAACAGCTAGGTGTCTTAAGGTGGTTAAACAGTCACGGAACCTTTGTAAGTCCAAATGGAATCACGGTGGTTAAAACGTTTTTATGGACAACAAGACAGTTCAGCTGACTAGATAAAACCCATCCCCACTTATGGACAGTCCCTCTACTGGTGACAATTTTGTTGGCTGTAGCCCACACTCAAGTGCATGCGCTTCTAGACTTCAAGTAAAGCAATTAGGCCCATGCTCTGCATCCCGTCTCCAAAATTTTTTCTTGGAAATCCAGTTCATTCAGCAGTTTTCAGTGTCATTGCTAGCTGTTGGATCCCTTAACTGATAATTGGCACTAGATAATCATACACTGTCTCATATCTCAGTTACGCTACGCTCTGATCTGCTGCCGATGTGTCCACTGTCTATCTCTAATTGTATATGCAATATTTTCTCTTTTCTTTGTGACATAGAGGTAAACAATATGACCTTTGATCACAATAAGACAGCACCAAAGAAGAGGAAAAAACAATTGGCTGCAAAAGAAATGGGAGATGAGAGGCGATCCACATTGAGCATAAGGTGTGTGCATTGATAAGCATGATGCAGTTTTCATTTTCCATGGTATAGTATTATGGGTAACTGTCTAATACTGTCAATTATGAACACTCTTAATTAAAACGAAGTTAGAGGGCAGTTAAGACAAGGGGACTTTGCTGTAGTTGGAGAAAGAAGTAAGATAGCTATCCTTTGAGTTCCAAGGTGCTCCAATTTAGAGTTTATCTTGTGTCACAATTAAGAATCAAGAGAATGCTTTTGTCCACCTGTGCAACTTCTTGACTCAATATCACTTTTCACATCAGCTGTGGTAAACTAATTAGGTACCTTTTTTACTTGAAAACTGGACTTGTCTAATGGACACAATTTGTCCACCTGTGTTGTAAAAACGTCTTTACAACTTGCATCAGTTCAACAGTGTTGGACAAGACAAGCTGTCATGATTTATATGATGTATCAAAAGGATAAGTGCCAACCAGCTGAATCTTATTTTTTCTTCCCCAAGGTTGTTTCTGAAAAATTTTTGTAAGGGATTCTTACAGAATTGCTACAATCCATTAATGTTTGTAGTTAAGGTAAGTGGTCAGTAATAGTAAGTAACTAGTTTGATATAAAAAGTCAACTCCCCTTGTTGCAGACACCCTTGACACTGTGAGCTACTGTTCTCGTTATTGAGAGTCTGCAATAGTGGGTTACAAGAAGAATTACAAATAGATACTATGTGCAACTAAGAAATGCTCAGAAAAAATCCGAGCCCCCAACAGGAATCGAACCCATGACCTTCCAGATACCAGTGGGATGCTCTAACCACTGAGCTATGGGCAACTCATAAACAAGCAGGTCGTGGGTTTTGGGGTAGCCACAGGACTTTTCATCTTGCGAGTACGCTGGACTAAAGCAGAGCAACACACTGACTTACTTGCATCACGCAAGTACCTTAAGAAAGTGTTGTGTACACTTTAAAACCAACCAAGCACCCAAGTGTGATGAAGTAATATTATGAGAAGAATTTCCTTAGAAATCATTTGCATCAGAGTTAATTGTAATAAATGTAGTATTGTAGGCAGTTCATATAGGCCACTAGCAGAAGCCATAATAATTATGAATTTAATGCTGGGACAACTAGTTAAGGCTAGGTTACCTTCTAGTGGGAGCATGGCGGATGTGCACAGTAAAACAGCATGTAAGCTGTTGATCTATTAACTTGTTGAGACCCTTAGAAAAGGGCTTGTAAGTCCACAATAGCAAAAATTTGTAATGATAGGAGTTTTTTAGTTAAAATGTCTGTAAGTTATGCTGGGATTTAGCAACTGACTGTATACCGGGCTGTTAGTAATAGTGAGGTGTCCACAGGGCAAGATACGTAAAAGTTACTTGAGGCAAGGTTCAGTGTTAAGTTGATTTTGTTTTATCATGCCCCACATATGTATGTTCTTATGTCGTCAGGATAACCTCAAGCATGGAAGGTCACAAGAAAATGATGAAACATACTTCCTGTGGGCCATGAGGTAGAAGCAAAGCGGTCCCCTATGACTAGTCTATAGAAAGTCCAAAAGCTATCATTTTATGAACCTTAAGGTGCACAGCAGTGAAATTTGGTGCAAGGATGAAAAGCTTTTGTAGCCAGGGGCTACAAAGTTCTGTGACATTCTCCCCTAGCTATTTTGCCTTCATCTTCTTGCTAAACAAAAGATGAAATGAACCAGAGATCCAAATAATCACCTACAAGAGAAGGCTTTTTTCCATGCTACCCTTTGATTTTATCATGTACAATATTTTTGACAATTATTTTGGTCTGTTTCTAGGTTCTTTATGGAATTCAGTAGACACCATGACTTCAGAGTGGACTATATAAGGTAAACATCAGTGTGCAAAGAAAGTCATGTTTGATCTGTTTGCATTCTTAACTTGCCCTGGTAAGTGAAGTTTTTTGGGGGGGATTCAAACTTCTGAAGTACTGTGAGACAAATTGTTGTTATTCTTCACTTGATTTCATTTCCGCAGTTCACATAAATTATATGATTTATTTCATGAACATTTGTCACATCTCATCTCTTTCACGGGAACTTATGAACACATAATTGACCTGCTCCCAACATCAGTGGCTTCATAGCTTCATTGCCCAGAGGGTCACACCGGTATCACAAGGTCATGCGTTCAAATCCCGTTGAAGTTGTGAATTTTTTTCAGGATTCTCTTTAAAGACCTAATAAATTTTTGTGGGTGGAGAGCTGTTTTTCAAATTGATCTGATTATTGATGAATAATGATTAATTTATGCCAATACTGCTCATCATAAATTTGTCAGACCAGTTAAAATGACTCTTGGGTTAGTACTTGCGAACTTCAGCTTGCCTGAAGGGCAAATTGCGAAAATTCTTTTCTTTGCACCATGAAACATGCCTGTTATTTAATCATCTTAAGGCCCCACCCTCAGAGAAAGGCAACTGGCAGCTCAATATTCCTGGCCAGCTGCTCAATAGAGACTCACCAGCACGGCTGCCCAGTTAGCTCAGTTAGGAGAGCACTGGCCTGCTGAGTGGGAGGTCATGGGTTCAAACCCTGGCTGGAACCAACAACCAGGGTCTTTTCAAAAAACTGATGAGATTATGCTGGCTGCGATTTGAGACCTTGCCTCCGTTTAGATAATCCCATCTTTGGGTGTCGGCCTTGTCTCCTTCATCCTTCTTTCATTAGTCAAAATTGAAGGGGACATAAAAACCTACACTTCTGTTTGGAAAGAGTAGGGGAAGTTAGCCCGCCGTCGTGTTGTCTACCTTTCACACATCACGTATCTTTCATGTAATGGTCTATGGGTGGGTTACAGTAAGCTCATAAATGGATTGAAAGCAGCTGCCACTGGCACCTTGTACTCTGAAGTCTGAGGGCGCATCTTTTTTGTTCTCTAATCCATGACATTAGATTACATTACACAGAAAGCAGTTTTACAACTTGTTTTAAAGAAGACTGCTTAATAGAGGATAAGCTCAGACTGTTTGTGTCATTCCATGTCCATTGTCTTTTAAACATGGTGCTGTTGTTTTTTATGTTCTTAGTGAGACACTTAGTGTGGTGAGCTTCACAGACCTGCTTAACATCATCATCAAATTTTATGATGGATGTGAATCAAACAAAAGTGAAGCCCTTGTCTGGGGAAGGAGGTAAGAGTTATCCCTGTTAAAAGGTTTTCTTCTTCCAGAGATGAATAGCTAGAAAGCTATGGGCAACAAAACTGGACACAATAGTGAAACATCTTTCATATCGTGAGTTATGTCTGTGGCTTTAATCACACCTTGGTCAGTTTGTACAATCCACAGAAGTTGAATTCACACATGTGTTGATCAAGTTAAGGAAGAAAATTAGAAATTTTGTCTGTGTGTTACATCCTTTGTAATACTGCCATTAGCATTAAATTAACAAAAATGTTGTGTTAGTGATAATGCTAATCTTGATGATGTTGTTGTTGTTGTTGATAATTTTGATGATGCTGATGATGATATTGATGGTGATTATGGTGATGATGATGATAATGCCATTAATGATCATGATGATAGCAATACGGATAACCTTAGCCTTTCTCTTTATGAGGCCGGTTAAGGCCCCTTGGAGAGGAACAAAAGTTAAGTGGTCAACTAACACAGTAATAAAAAATATACCTTTGTAGGCTACACCTTGCAATTCAAGCTTACAAAGAGTTGATTCTGAATGTCATGTACATGGACAAGTCTGATGACGAAACTTTGGTAGAAAATGCTAAGATCATTAAAGGTAAGCAGAGGTGTTAACTACTATTATGACAGGTAGAAGAAATGTAAAGTTGCTGATGAAAAGCATAATGTTAAGCCATTACATCCATATTTGTACTGCAATATTAACTCAAGAATAAACTAGAGATTTCTTGTGGTAATTTTTTGATGAATGTTAGATCAATGTTTATTTCTGACTTTTCAGGAAACATTTTTTACATGTCTGAGTACAGAGATACATTGCTATCACTTGTGAGGAAGTTTCACATGTCAAAACATACAAAGTATGGATACGTTATTGTATAAGTGTGTTGTTATGTATGTATTTGGGACTCTAAGATACATATGTCTTTTTTGGTGTGCTATTTGGATTGCTGTAATATTTAATGCAGTGAAAGTGCAAGCAATGAATTAAAATTTTTATTTTCAAAATTCACCTGAAAGTTATTTTTCCAAGACCCTTTTCACACTCATGAATTTTAAAACACTTGCATGATTTTTTCACATGCATCTGCAAGGTCAAATCAGATCACAGCTTGTTAGATAAGTGATTGAAGATTTCCTATCTCAACAAAATCTTTCAAACCAGCAAAAGGGTGGTGTAATATACTGAAACTGTTTGGCCCTTGTTGTTCATAAATTGCACAGTGCTATCCACTGGAAACATTGGTATCCAGTACATAAGGATAAGAAATACTAACTGCATCACCTACTGGAGAATTATTTCTCCAGTGGGTATTATTATCAGCGGGGTATTTTGCAGAATGCCGAATGCAGAACACCAAATGACTCTGAGTTAGTGACTGGGGCTAGAAAACTGAGTAATTCAGGTTCCATTTAAGGTCGTTACTCTAGGAAAACAGACCTGAAACTTTAATATATTCACTCAGTTTTCTAACCCTAATCACCAAACTTCAGAGTCATTCGGTGTTCTGCATTCGCCAAACACCGGACGAAGAACGCTGAATGACTCTGAAGTTTAGTGATTAAGTTTATTCACTCAGTTTCCTATACTAACCCTAATCACCAAACTTCAGGGTCATTTAGTGTTCGGCATTCTGCAAAATACCTATGGTATGTTTTCCTCCTTAATCCTTTAAGCCCCAATATCCACATACAAATTCTCCAAACTGATCTCTATATATTTCCTTAAAGAATGAGTTGAGAGAATTTGACAAAAGATCAAAGCATTTTGTCTAAGGTGATCATTTTATTAATTCTCATAACCTAATCTCTTGACAATGTATGGATATCATTGGGAGAAAATTGATGTTGGTCACTATTGGGACTTAAAGGGTTAAAACAACTAGTCCCAGGCCCCAGTTATTTGTAAGTTGGACAGTGCTATCCACCAGCCACTATAAGGATTAGGAACACAAATTAATTGCATAAATCTATCTTTGGAAGTCATCAGAGGAATTTGGTGTGACTCTGTAATTTTTTTTACCTATGTATTACCTGTTTCTAAGTAATTGAATGACTTTACATTAATATTGTCCTTATCATAGGGGCTACCTGAGAGACTTGATTGAAGCTTTTCACATTTTCTTGAAAATGTTAGAAAAATACTGCTCTGGAAAATCTCATATAGTGGTTCAGGTAAGGGTTGAATTTTCATTTAGCAATATACCAAACTTTTTGCTGTGAAAATAGGTACAGTATCTGTTATTTTATAATAATATTATGCAGTAATAACTGCACATTTTTTCCAGATACACAGTGGAATAAGCATAGCGTAGCTCTTAGATCCAATATGGTTAAATAAAAGTTGGATCATGTGTCTTTTAGGGGACTGTCGATTGATGTATTGGCCGCTATGTTGGCCGGGATGTTAGTCAAGAGTTGACCGAGTATTGGCTGACATGGCGGCTGATATGTCAATTGACAGTTGACCAAGATGTTGGCCGATACACCGATCGACAGTCCCCCAAAATATACAGGATCCTAAAACTTTTGTGTTGTACTAGTATGGTGCTTCAGTGCAACCAAACAATCTAAAGGGTTGTGGAAAATGTCAGGGATGTGCTACTGGTAACAGTTACAGTTTTCTTAAGTGCAGGTGCACTAGGTAATAGTGTAACATAATTTATTTGCATGATTTGTACTAATTATTTTGTTGGTTTTAGAAAAAGAAAAAGGCTTCAAAGAAGAAGAAAAGAACTCCACTTTCAAGTAAGCTTCCCTTTTTGCTTAGTGTGTGGCCTTCTGTGCAGGAGGTCCCAAGTTCCTGGTGGCTCCTAACACCTTACTTTTGCTCTCAGGCAACTAGAAAATCTTAGTTTTTTTTATATAAATGCTATGCTGGGCAGCCTAAATTTTGCAGGTTTACGGCACTGGGCTCCCTTAAATTTTCCTCACAGCACAACCTTGTGTTTTATTTAGAATGAACATGATGTGAAGTGCAGGAATAATCTTTAATTAGATTTGCTGTTTTGTTGTTAAGTTTAATTTATGACACCAACAGGCAAGCTTATGTTGTTATACATTCATGACTGTCTATTTTACTGTCTTCTCAGATTCCTCAGCAAACTGGACACCAGAGGAAATTGACCAGAGGTGGCAAGATTTGGCATCAGATCTGTCAGCAATGCTTCAAGGTCACACAGGGGACATTCCTGAGTCTGTGGCCCCTTTTGATGCAGCATCAGAAATTCCCATTGATGAACAAAAGTGAGCAACTGATTATGATTGTTAGTAATCCCTGTTTTTCCAGTGTATGTGTTTTTTCCAATTTATATTGTGATTTCCTGGCATTTACTGGAGTCCAGAGTATAGCTCTCTGTAAATTCTGGTGGGGAAGGTAGGGCTATGCTTTAGCCGCACCTGGTGGTGCCTTATGCCAAACTTTTACTCCTGGGCAACTAGGAAATCTCCAGTTTTTCATAGAAATCGCATGCAAGGCATAGTGGATTTGATGGGTTCAGAGGACTGGGCTCACTTCATTTTTTTTCTTAGACCACAGCCTCGGTAGATGTGTTAATTGAAAATACTACCAAGTGCAGTGATTTTCCACAAAACGTTTGACAGACTAGTTTTCACAAGCATGTCTTGTGTGTTGCAGGACAAGTGCTTTATCTCGGATTCAAGGATTTCTAAGAAATCAACAGTCTGGCGAAGCTATTGCATTACTCAGGGCAGCTAGGTAAAGTGTTAAAATGGTAACATGGTCTGGACTTTACTCTCAGATGTACAAGGTTTGGAGGTGTGGATGTCAAAGCACCCTTAATCCAGAACCCAGTAAATGTTCATTTATTCCTCCAGGAAATTTTGGTAAACTAGCTAACAAGCATTTGCTATGTGGTATCTTTGGGGCCAAGACAACTGTATGCTATAGAGAGATGTGAAACTCCATCTGAGTTTTAGCCCTTATATGGAAATGGGCATACTCAGGGAAAGAGAAGAAAAAACATTTTGGGGTTGGTAAACGTTAAACCACAAGAATGGTACTAAAGTACTTTGTTGCCCAGGCTTCCAAATGTGGGCCCCATTAATTTTTCAAAGGGTGTGTTGACTCACTAGGGTAAATTTCAGTAATTTGATAATTTCTGTTAATTTTGAAAAATTATGGGGAAACACAACTACAAACATTTCCTTTTTGATAATCTGTTCAGTTCCTTTTTTATTTCGTCAGACAATCTAGAAGCCCTGTAAGTATTATAGATCTTCTGAAAACATTGACTTTACCTCTATTTGTGCTATGCAATATTCTCTATGGTTTTAAACATTTTTCACTGTCCTTGCATTTCATGCTTTTAAGCCTCCAGTTTAAACTTGAAACTAAATTGCTTATGTTAAATAAATGGACATTAGTTTTCTTTTGACGTTCACTTCAGAGATGTATGGCCAGACGATCAGTTTGGATCTGCTGGAATTGGCGCTGAAGAAGAGTTTATGTGTTTGTGTGATATTTTCAAAATGCCTTTACCTAATGGTGAGTTAGCAAAGGATGCTTTGTGCATGATCCATGTCACATTATGGTATTACTTCCCTGTTCTTAGGTATACCTCTTTGTTTTCAGGTATACAAACATGTACCTCAAAAATTTGATACTTTTACTTCAATTTGTTAGGGCATTTGGGTAGACAATTCCCTCTTGGGTAGTGTCAAGCAATTTTTTTCAAACTAGAATTTGTGTTTTCATTATCAAACATATAAAATATGCCAAAACAAAATTTTTATAGGTATTCCAGATCGAATACCCCTTTATTGGATCTGGCATTTAGGTTCAGACAATTTCCTCTCTTGTTAATGGACTAGTATCCCATCCAGTAACCCTGTAATGGGGTATCTCATTCACGGGAGTCAAAGCAAAGGCAAGGTGCCTCATGTCACCAAAACCTTGTAAAGCTCTGACCATGTTGGCTTTAATGACTTGTTTCCACCTAGTATACCACCTTAAACTCTCTGTTTCCCCTGCTTCTGGCACTGCACTTCACCCTCTTTAATGAGGCACTGTCCTGGCAAGATATTACACTTGTACATATTATTGGCATTTGTTCATATTATTTCTTATATGTCTTATCAGTGACAATTCCACCTGAAAATGAAGGAGATGAAAGGGAAGAAGAAGAGGATGCCATCCCAGGTCAGAGAAATTATGCAGTTCAACACCTATATAATAGTAATTCAACAAAGTGTCTGTACATTTTCCAAATTTGAGTTGTCAGAGTCGAGAGTTGGTGCTGCCTGGCATCCTGTGTCTTATTTTCATACCAACTGAAACTTAGCACTCTGTTTCTTTCGCTGCACTCTGTACTCTTGGCAGGTTCGAGATTCTAATCTGCATTGTCGTTGAGAAGCGAATGGCAGTGTACTGGCCCACCCAAAAACCCTCAACTGAATGGGTTCCCCTACTCCTCCTTGATAAAGGGGTTATCCCACTCTATTTGCTTTCTTCTTAAAACAGTACAATTTGCCCCCTATCAATTAAATTCCAAAAATAATGGTCCAGTTTTGTTTTTCAAGACTATATTTAGGCATTGAAACTGTTTCCTGTCATCTGGTGCAAAGGATGGCAAGGATAGACATGGATTGAAACGTGAAAACGTTGAGCCAACTTTTTCATTGTTTAATGCTATGCCTGCCAAAATCACCAACGTATTATGGTTGGTGCTCCCTGGTGAATTCTTCATAGTTCTACAGTAATGAATTCAGCACATAATTGACCTTAGTCAGCAATATCATCGTGAGATAGCCCCTTTAATAACAGTAAGTTATACAATTAAGGAGAAGGCTACAAAGAAACTTTTATTTTTATTACGGTTGTCTCTGTCAATAACTTCTCCGGCCAGTCAATAAAGTGTGGTTTGTAGTGTTTCCTGGTCAGCAAAGTACTTATTACTGACCCAGATAATTGAAGGTTTTGAGGATTCTTTTGTTTTTCAGAGGAAGAAGAGGTGCAAGCTGTACAGGCTCGTGAAACCGAGTTTAGCATCCAAGATTTTCTTAACAAGTGAGTATAATCGTTTTCTTCCTCTGCATTCTATGTTAAAAACCCATTATTCTCCAATCTGAACTAAGATACGAGGTTTGGTAACTAATACAGACTAAACGTAATCCTAATGTAAATAATCAGTGTCGCCAGAAAACCAAGAACTAACCATTCTGAAAACCATGGTGAATTTTAATCAGTTAAAATGTCTTTTTATGTTGTAGACTTGCCAGCCCTTCTCTTATTCAGCCTTACTGCTGGCTTTTAAAATTTTACAATGAAAACAAAGAAGCGACCAACCATGCCATCATTAAGATGCTGCACCGGGTTGCTGTTGACTTGAAGACACCATCCATGCTGTTCCAGCTTTCACTGTTTAGAACATTCCAGAAAATTCTCTCCGATCCAGCAGCAAATCAGTACAAGGTAAGGTTGGAGCTTGTTTACACCAGTCTTATTTTCCAAGAAACCGCGTACGTTTCTTTTCCCATCCATACGTAAACATTATTCATTGGATGAAGAAGAAGTGAAGCAGTTCAGGAGTGACTGTTGATGATGATGATCATGTGACTTGCTTAGAAATCCGGTTTTGAGCGACTGTAACAGAAAAAAATATACTACCATCAATGCAGTCACTGTAATCATCATTACCTGAAATATCTTGGTAACGCTCATTGTGTCATGACTAATCCCACTGGAGATCGGGACACAAGGGCAAACCACAAAGCCTTAGTGCCTTTTGTCCTAAAACAAAAAAAACGAGTCATCGCTGGGCTCGAAAGAACTCCTGTCCTGTAGTCCGGGACAAGTAGATGTTCTCGCAGGGCAAGTGAATGTTAAAGGTTTTTTGCCCAATCAGCAAGGGGCCAGTCATAACATCCTCTAATAAAATTATTAACTAATTTGAGCAAGAAGTGGCCTTAGGCAAGAAAAATGTGAGAGCTAGCTGCTTTCCCAAAGGACAAGCTGAAGTTTTTTTTGGAGCCCTGAATCAGGACACTACTACGTCTGTGTGTGTTGGTTATGCTCATGCTTTTGCATTGTGTCTCAAGACCAGCCTTAATTGCTACTTGTGCCCAGTGTAATTACCTAAGTACATAAGTTGGTTTGATTTTCGTCAGATAATAGAACAACATACTAGGTTTATTGTACGTGTTCCATTGTTGATCACAAAGATAGAGAAGGCAAATAAACCGGTAAAAAAGTTCATAATTGTCTTGATTTGATTGTTTTGCGCAGGAGATGGTGAAGTTTTCCAGATATATTGTTGCCAAGTTTTTTGAGAAGTTGCCCAACAACCCAGTGCTTCTAGCCGAGCTCGTGGTTTGGAAGACCGCAACAGATTGTTATGAAATAGAAGAAGGTTATGGAAGTCTGGCATTGAGGTAAAAATCCTCTTTTGATTTTACCGAAAACAGTGCTTTCCACAGAAGCCAGGTGTCATTTGAGATTTGCGCACTAAATGGTGAAAAGGATAGGAAAGGTCATGCAACTCTTCACTTCATTCAGTAATAACGACCTACTTTGTTGCTGCGATAAGAAAGAGAGAAAACCACATTTAGCAGTGCTACATTACTGTAACAGTAGCCTGAGAAACAGCCGATATTTCGCTACGCCACCACTGGTTTCTCCTCGAAATGACGTCTGAGAAACGAGTGCAGAAGTTCCATACTCATGACGTGTCGCTTAATAAACAAGATCTGGGTAGTGTTTCTGATTGGTTGAAGCAAATTTCACATGTGGCACGGCCAATCAGAAGCACCACTCTGATCTGGGTAGTGATGCGTCATCAGTATTGAACGTCTGCGCTTGTTTCTCAGACTTCGTTTCGTGAGGAAACCAGTGGTGGCACTGCGTAATGTCGGTCGTTTTCTCAGACTATACTGTTAGGCATTGAAATGTTATTTCTTACAGAAATGCAAGCAAAAATGCAGCAGTATGGACGTTTGAAGAGGAAGAAGAGTTGCGAGAATTGTACGAGGAACTTAAAGGCTCCGATGGTATGTGTTACATTTGTAGTTTTGACGACCATCTTGTGTTTTTCGCAAGTGAGAAAGACAAATCCCTGAAGTATGAAGTAAATTCTGCTACCGTAAAATTCCGAAAATAAGCCCCTCCTTGTATAAGCCCCCCAAATTCGTAACGCAAAAAACCCTCCGTTACATCGCCCCTCCAAATATAAGCCCCCTGGGGGGCTTGTACTTGGAAATTGCCCTCAAATACAATGTAAAACAAAGCAAAAACGGTAAATTTCCTTCCAGCTATAAGCTAGACCAATCGATTTTGAAACGCAAATTTCCCTCCGTACATACGCCCCTCCGAATATAAGCGCCTCAAAAAGGGCCTTTGAAAAATATAAGCCCCGGGGCTTATTTTCGGAATTTTATGGTAATTCTTTTAATATTTATTTGTCGAAGGGTTCTTAATAGGCAGTCTCCGAGTTCCAAAAACTCTCACTTTATAAATGAGGCTAAGTGTAAAACCTTTCTTGTGAAAATGAGTTTTTTACATGAGAATAAGAAATCATTTTCATATCAATGGAGTCACACTTAGCCTCGCTTTGAAACAGAGGCTTGAGGCAACTCAGGAATGGCCCATTTCCTTGAATCTAGTTGCAAAAGGTTCGTGGAAATTATCACAAACCTCCATATTCCTCGATTGTAATATCACCCCTGCAAATTTGTTTACCAGGAAGTTAACCGGTGGTTGTATAACTGTTTTAAAGGATTTGCTTGTCAAAACATCTGGCATCAAACCTTATCAAGTAACGAGTTTATTTGCTTCAATGTGGCCTAGTGTTGTTAAAACCTTAATGATTACTGTTGTGGTAGAAGCCTCTAAAAACTAAAGCTTTTGGAACTCTTAAGTTTGATGTTAAATTTTTGCGGGCAACCAGAGGAGCCCACAGTCCTTATCTCCAGGTTGCTATTACGCATGTGCGGCACGTATGTAGCCAGTTGGATTTTAACAGTTGGACTGCCATCAGAATAGATGGAATGGATACAATGCTATCTGATCACACACAGTTAGACCTTCTATCACTCGTAATCTGATTCGCGCTTTTTATCCTTCTATCATGTGAAACTTACATAAAGGACAGATTTGGAGCAAGAGCGTTTTGACCTTCGATCGATCTCAACCGCATTCCCTAACCTTGGTTATTGTGAGTTGTAATCCTCTAGCTAAGAGTTTCTTAATGATTGTTTCAGATCTCGTGGACAAGATTATGGAAAAGATGTCAAGTGATTCAAAGAATAGGCGACAGGTACTTGCGTTTTGTTTTGTTGTTTCTGTCTTTGTTTGTTCTATTGAATACGTAAAGTAAGTTCTTGATCCCCTAAGGTGTGTTAGTATAAGATTCTTAGAACCTATTCACGTACCCCTCCTCTTACGGACATTTTGCCCTAAGTGAGAGTTACATTAGGGGAAGAGTAGTATCTTAGAGCGCTTTACAGAGGCCAGAAATGGCCGGCCTGACCGATCGTTGTGAAATATGAATATTAGTCCTTTCTCGAAATTTTTACCAAAATCCATCACTGCCGTGTGAACTATTTAGTAGGGCTGATCTGGATGAATGGTTCTGATTGATAGTGTAATTCTCTTTACGATTGGACTGGTCTGACCGGACAGTTCTGACAAATGGTAAGCGCCCTGTCTGCCACCCTTGGTTAATTGAAAATTTCTCTGTCACATTGTTGACCAATCTGGAGTAAACTCGACACCAATGGTGATTTGCCTGCGCGCTCTTTTCCCTCTTACTCCTTTTATGGCTAGCCGCAGTTGAATCCAAGACCCTAGCCCAAACCCTTTGAGGCAACTTCTTCTTCATAACCACTGCATTTTATTAATTTCGTGTGTAATTGCCTGGAGAAATGGTGTCACGTTAACTTTTTAATTGCAGATCATGAACAAACTGGTGACGCTAAAACTGGTTACAGACAGAAAGGAACTTCATAAGTATGTTTGAACATTTCACTTAATGTTAGAGCCCGGCAAGTTAATCAAGTGTTATAAAACTTATAACTTATCGCCGGGACATAATGTTTACGGCAAAAAACATAAGCAGGTGAACATTTTCCCTCCATTTACTACATTTACGTATTGAATGTGAGGATAATTCTTTACATTCATGAAAACAAGAGAAATGGTGGATTTCCACTGTCGCGTAATTTTTGCGTGCGTACGCGCTTGAAATTTACGCAAGCAAATAAAAGAGGCAATGTATAAAGTGTCACCCATAAAGTAACAGTTGAACCTTACATTGCCTCTACTTTATTTGAGCGCGTAAATTTCAAATATGTAAGCACGTAAAAATTACGCGGTAGTGGAAGTCCACTCTTAGTGAACAATAAATTAGCCATCAAAAGGTCAGCTTTACCATTCGTCGCTCGTAACATGTCTGTAAGAAGTTCATTTGTTTAGTTAACTGATGATTATTATTTATTTATGTGCAGAAAACCAGTAAAGAAAAGAGCGTGGTCGGAGGAAGAGAATGAACAGCTGAGAGCCTTGTATGAGGAATATAAGAATTCAGAACAAGGTTTGTGCTTCTGTCAAATTGATTGAGCTAAGCCGTTAGTGTAAATATCAATGCCGCAAGCGTGCACTCAGTCTGCCACAAAACGGAACGCGAACCCTTTTTAATTTTTTGCTCTCCCACCAACACTATCTCTTTCACTGTCTCATGTAGGAGGAATTCATACCACGTAAGATAATATCCATGTAAAATCAGGTTTACTGTTTTATGTGACAGATTTCAATTAAAAATATCAGACCTTTACGCTTGAAATTAATTTTACTGTTATTTATGACAAATATCGCTTCAATATCTTGCCTCTTGCGTCTAAAATTGGGCTTCATAGTATCGGGCTATCATTGTCTGGCCCCGGGGGTTACTCCCTATAATGGCCTATGCGGGAAGACTCCGCCCGAACGGGCTACCTTTTTCAGGCTTAGGTTTATCGTAGGGTTGGGAATTAACGAGTTGAAGTACATAAAGTGGTGGTAAAATCTATCATTAAAAAGGTACTTTGTTTAAAGTGTTTTGAAAAGACGGGCTTATGGCTATATCATTTTAATCCATTAAAATGTTACACAAAAATTACAAAAGGACTGGCTGTTATAGGGATTTATTCTTATTAGTAGGTATATTAAAGAGGTAAAGGTTTTCAATGGAGGTGTGCGAAAGGCTTACCTTTTCTGCCAAAATTGAAAGGGGAAGGGGTAGGATCACAGGGCGGAGCCTCCCTGATAAGGGTGCGTTTCTTTGGGATGATCCACATCAGGATCAGTGATCCGATATCACTTGGATCATGGCAGGTAAAATAAACTCTGATGAACCCGGGGTGGATTTGTCAGGCTTCTTTGTTGTCCTATGATCCGAGTGATCTCGGATCACTGATCCTGATCTGGATCATCCTAAAGGAACGCAACTTAAAATTTTGCTGAATACCCCCCTCCCCCTCACGCTAATGGTCTGGGTTCATTGTTTTTGTACGACAGATATCGTGGAAAGGATCATGGAGCACATGCTTAACTCATCGAGAACAAGACGTCAAGTTGTCACTCAGCTGGTAAACTTGGGCGTCGTTGAGGACAGAAAGTTGCTGCGAAAGAAAAGGAAGAAGGGGGAAAGAAAGAGAAAGAAAGATGATGGATTTGTTGTGGTATGTCAGTGACTGTTAAATTTCCTGCATTATTATTGACCTGTTCTCCCATCTAGGTTCTGATTGGCTGCAGGCGAACTGTAAATTCTAACTGGTGGTAGATTAGCGGGAGATTACGATGATTTCACGGTGACATGATAGGCTGATTTAGCAACAGAATGGGAACGTCAATTGATGTTCCAACCGTTGGCTTGACCAATCGCAGAGCGGCAAATTGGGCTTCGGAAGTAGCGTTTAGTCCTTTCCGTCGTCAACTGACGTTCCCGTTTTGTTACTAAATCAGCCTAATTTTTAAACAGGGCACGGCAACCAGTCGGTACCTAAATGATCCTAATCTACCCACTGATTCACTCTTAAACTGGGTTTTGTTTGTCTGTTTTTCTGGTGTTTTTAGGATGATGATGTAGAAGACGAGGACAGTGAAGAAGGTAACGAGAGCGTTTGGTGCTGTTGCACAGTTTTACCTACGATCCTGGACAAAATTCCTTGGAAGAGTAATGTAGTATTCATAATTTTCTACAATTTCAGGGCGCTCTCATAAAACAGTGCATCCTTTTCGAAAATAGCTTGTAATTCTCCCTCCCCCTTGGATGCCAGCTTCCAACGTTGCTTGGGGGTGGAGGTGGGTTTAGGCATTTTGAATTGACAAAAGGCGCGCGAATTTAAAATTTTGTCCATGATTGTAGTATAAAGGGTTAATACAGAAGAAACACTGACTGGGAGAGCTTGTTTTTGTAGCTCTGGAAAAGGAGATTGGACCTTTTTACATTTCACTGAATTCATCATTCCACATGAGCTTTTGAAAGTTATGCAAGCCAAGTTAAAGACTCTTCTCTGTCTCTGTTAACGCCTTCTTACGGTAAAAAGTAGAGTTAATGTGTTCAGTTTTCTAATGTGGCGAATAAACAGTCTTCTAAAATGTAGAATTTAAAGTGTCGCGGAAACTCATTTTGAAAGGTAAAGTTGGTAGTAGATTACAGCCACTCAAATGCACGCCAATTTTCAATGTTGTACATGGGGACTGTATACTCATTTATACCATGCTGTCTCATTGGCGTAGCTGATAACAGTGAGAGAGAGGAAGGCTTTCATCGCCCACCGAGCTCCTCTAGTGAAGATTCTGAGGAAGATGAGGATTTGGATGGTAGTGGCGATAACTTGAATAACATCATCAGTAAACTAAAAACTGCAGGTAAGGGTTTGTTTGTAAATGGCCAACACAGAGCTCGCAAAAAAAAAAAATTCCAGCAAGTTCTTTTGGCGAGCAGCTTTGACACTTTGCTTGCCTGAAACAACTATTTTCCTGTTTAGAAGTTTTCTATCCTGGGATTTGAAACCTCGTTTACTCTAAATATTATCATGACAGAATTAAATAACTCTCTCTGCTAACTACTTGCTTGTCTTAGTTAATGATTCAGTTGGAGGATGACTCATCTGGACCCTTGCCCATTGAGTGAGCTTTCAAAATTACTTGCCCAGCATGAAAATCTACTCGTCCCAAACTTTTCTGGAGCCCTGCAAGACCCATTAAAACTGAGTTCCCTGCAGAGCTTTCAATAACGAACAGTTTCAATTCGTTTCATCTCATTCCTTCTCCCTTGGCGAGACTACCACAGTACAATCACTCTTAATAGCCGCTCATATAACACGAACACCTTCTTTAAGCTGACACCTAGATTCATTTCCCGCATTCTTCACTCTGTCTTGTACAGAGCCAAGGAAAAGGGTACTTTGTTCCGTTCCCATTAGTTTTAGTTTCTAGGATATAGGATTATTACTCACTCAGAAGTGTAATAGAATGGTTTTAGCAGTAAACATCACAAATTCATTAATTCCTTTTTAGGGCTAAGTGAACAGTTAGAATGGATTAAATCCAAACTTCAAAGGACAGCGGATGACAGAGAAAATACAGGTAATCTTTACTTCCTCTTCACCTTCTTACAGAATTCACTTGATGGCAATTGCCTTTGTATCCTTTCTAACACAAGGAAATTGGAGCATTTGTTTAGGTTAACCTGACATGGTAAATAGACGCAAATACAAATTAGGCTGATTTTACAATGATAACGGTGGGTCATTTTTCAAAACAGTTAAGTTAGGTTTCCACTCTGACTGTCCAATGATTTTTTTAGACAAAGAACGGTGGCAGCCACTTCCAGTTGTTACCATAACAGAGGAGAATGAAGAGGCGATGGCTAACAAGCTTTTCAAAAAGGCGTTGATGAAAGTTGGGCTCAAGCCACCAGCTAACGAACAGGTGGGTTCCAAAAAACTGAGGATGATCTGATCGGGGGTTGTGAATATCTGGATGACCTGCTCCGGGGAGCACAAATATCTGGGGATGATTTGATCAGGGGCCTGGAATATCTGGATGATCTGATCTGGGGGCACGAATATCTGGGGATGATTTGATCTCGGGGTAGCGAATATCTGAATGATCTGATCCAGGAGACGCGAATATCTGGGGATGATCTGATCCGGGGGGGCACGAATATCTGGGGATGATTTGATCTGGGGTTAGCGAATATCTCGATGATCTAATCCAGGGGTCACGAATATCTGGATGATCTGATCCGGGGAGCATGAATATCTAGGGGTGATTTGATCTGGGAGTCGAGAATAAGAACTCAGGAGATGCTGTTCGCCGATTGGGCACAATAATACAAAGCATTTTCTGTGGCCAATCACGAGCCAGCATTCGCTTAACTGTTTGGAAATGGTCTGATGAGAGTCGGTAACCAGGGGTTCTTCCGCCCATACTTAAAAACTTTCATTGTGCCTTTTCTCCCAACCCGACTGACTGCCCCTGGGTCTCTGAGGATGATCTAGGGATGATCTGATCCAGGAGGTGGGAATCTCTGGGGATGATCTGATCGGGCGGGGGGATTGGCTTGCCTTGAAAATTATGATATGCGATAAAAACGAAAAGGCGTGGTATTAGCAGGGTCAAAAATGCTTTCTAATATTTCGGTCCTAATAAGTGTGGGTGAGTCTGTATGAGTATTTATGACGAAGAGCTTCCCTTATGGTTGTTGTCTTTCATAAATCAGGGTCCAGCACTTATTAAAATAACTAACGTATTTTTATTTTACTTAAATCAATCTTATTCCATCATCAGGAAACATTCTGGCGAATTCCCGGTAATCTTAATCCAGAAAAACTCCGAAGGGCAGCCAAGGACCTTGAAGGCAGTGGTGTTTCTGAAAATGGCGAAGGTATGACAGTTGGACAACAATCACTGAGGTCCTTTTTTACTAATAAAACTTTCAGTAAATCAGTTGCGGCGAAAATCCAAAGTCCCATTTTCTTGCAGACACACAAATTTTACAACCATCTCTTAAAGTATAATGATCAGTACCACAGGAACGTACTGCTCAGTAGTTTTCATTTGAAAGGTCACACTAGAATTTCATCCACAGATCCAAAAGTGACGACTGCTTTTTACGTTATAGTTAAGAGTACCCCAGGAAAGTCGGGAGCTTTCCTTTGAATGGCCACATTATATGATTTCGCCCAGAGACTCGTACTCTACAAGGTTGAACTTAAAATGAAACAATAAATGACTATCACTTTCTGCAGTGTCTTTATCAGGAGAATGCCTAAAATACTCTGCAGGATTTCCTTCACCTGTAGATTCGCGAAGACTACATTACTAGTAAAGAATGTACATATAGAGTGTTTTCACATGACGTCACGGCGGCCATATTGGTGTCCCAAAACAATGAAACGGCAGCCGTGTTGGTGTCCCAAACCAGTCCTCTGGGAGTTGAACTCTTTTCTTATGCAAACGCCTTCTTTTGTTCCAATAAATTTGCATAGATGCTGGCCACATGAGTGAAAACACTCTGTATGTATCTCTTTTTATTCTAAGATAATGATGCGGAGTTTCGCAGTCCTCCAGTCTCCAATAAAAGCAAATCACGGAAAGAAACCCTAGCTGCGCTAGCTGCCGCACGAAAGAAAAGTGGATCAAAATCAAGTCGCAAGAGAAGAGAAAGGACAAAGAGGAGGAGTGGTGGGAAGGAATGGAGAAAAACTGTGAATGAAATAGCAACAGAAAACAACTCGGATAATGACAACAGGTTGGTTATAGTAGTCTGCAAAAACATCTTTCGTGGTTTATCTCTTTTTCTTTTGGGTCACACCATAAAGTTTTGTAAGTACACTTATAGTTCCAAACCTTTACGAACTCTCTTCTCTTAGAGGGAGTCAGTATTTATTCATTTATTTATCATCGTCATCATCATCAATTCTTTTTTTAGCGGGGAGGGTGTTGTTACTGTCGGAGTTAAAAAACTTTTAACCTTTTGGAATGATATTTGAAAAGACGCCAGATGTTAAACCGTGATATATTCCCATGAATGTGACTCCAGGGAAACGATACAGGCAGCTCGTTTCTAAGAGCATGTATTTTAGTTACACTTATGACGAACATATTGTTGCATTCGTTTACAGGTGATACGAATTGAAACTTTTCCTTCAGTTTCTCTAAAAGGAAACAAAATATGCTATTCAGAGGTCCCTACTTTTTGGGAATCGTTACGTTTAGGATATAATAGCGGGCAGCATGCAATTTCAGCGTAACTTAATAGTGTTACGAAATCATTAAGATAAGCAGCAAACGTTTTTATGGTGACATTTGGTGTGCTTGTTTCTCCTTTTTACAGCGACGACAACAGAAGTGCCAGAGACAGTGATATGGACGAAGCAGCCCCACCTTCTGAAGAACAAAATGCTACTCGGAAAAAGGAATCCTCAAAAAACGTTAAAAGACGAGTTAAAGCATTGGATGAAAGTGACGAGGACGACGACGTCAGTTCAGTCAAGATACAAAATGGAGAGGTCGAGTCTGGTGGCAGTGAAGAAGAAGAAGAACGCAATGGAAGCAAGATCGCTTCTTCCACAAGTAACGTCGATAAAAAGGCTAATTCAGTATCTGATAGTGATGATGACAACGGAAATATCTCCGATACTGAAGACATAAATAACAACGAAGAAATAAGTGAGGCTGGGAAGAAACGGCCGAGAGATGAAGATGATAGCAGCGACGACGAAGAAGAATTTAATCTGCCACTTAATTATCATAAAAAAGCCAGGCGTGTGCTTGTTGAGGATGACGAAGATGATGAATAGTGAGGTCTGTTAGTCTGCAGTTCGATGACAACTTTTTTACCTTTCCTTTCATATTAGTATAAGAGACCTTAAGATCTGAGGACGGCAACGGAAGCGAAAAAAGATGCATTCACGAACTTTTAATGTCCCTTGCCATTCAAGCCAACGTCAAGACAATTACAAATACTTTGCAAAACTGTCTGCCTACCGGTGCATCAGGGTCACCCAATGACGGTATTTTTTGTAAAATATCTGTTCAAAGAAGCGAATATTGCCTACAACTATCTATAGCTGGACGAATGTTCGTGGTACGATTTCCAGAATTTAGATTTACTCCTCAGGTTTAGCTATAAACCTAAAACTTGCTGTTTCGAAAATGTGATGAAAATAGGAATAAAATTCTCACGATCGTAACGCTTTAGATGTCATACAAAATTTTCGGCAACATAATACTAAAGCCCTAATATATTCGTAAAGGCTCAAAACGCTCTAAGCTGACCGAAAAGACACAAATCTTATTCGCCCCTTAGAGTGCATTTCTAGATATCTTTAAGTACTCTAGGTAGCTTAAAAAGCCTTTTAAAAGGTGGAAATCGTCGTCGGGTGCCCCTGAATACATTATGGAATTTAAGTCGACTCTGTACGGTGTTGAGTACTTGTTTGCGTTCTTAATAATAAAATACAATTGTAAAATCACTCTACATGTTAGGAAGGATGATTTTTTTCACGTACTTTGCTCTCGTTATGCATAGTTTAGACCAAACTATGTAGTGTTAAACAAAGGGTAGGTATTATGTCCGGGGTTACGTATAATGGCCTGTGACGTAGGTATGTATGGTAGGATATTTATTTATTTATTTATTTCTAAACTTCGCCAAGAGGCCTGGATCACTCACAGAGAAAGCTCCACTACATAACCCCTGACTGTTACTGGTCCCTAATCGTAGCCTACTCGTAGCTAATCACTTCAAACTCGTACCTAATCTCAACCTAATTATACCTTCTCCTACTCTAATTCTACCTTAACTCTTGTTTTTATAGCCTAGAAAGGCTAGTTTTCTAACTAGAACGTCACTAACAACGGTTTGTCAGCCTCTTTTAACCAAAACCATTGACAAACCCCTTGGAAAAATCGAAAATTTTCAACTTTCTTCGATCAATGTTTTTCTAGTCTAGAAACGCTAGTTTAGTTTTCTGTTTAGAACCCCAACAAGCACGTTTTGCGCGGCGTATATTGCCTAAAACGTAAGAATGAGGAAATTTCAATTTTTCGAACGAAAACTATGGCCTATTTTACCTAAAAAGTAAAGGACAGGAAATTAAAAAATTTTCACCAAGACAATGGACAAATTCAATGGACAATAGACAAATCCTAATTTTTCGACTTTTTTCAATCTATGTTTTTGCAACTGTTTTAACCTGTAGTCTTTATAGTCCAAAAAGGCATTTTTTTCCTTTTAGAATATCGTAAAACAAATTTTCCTGGCCTCTTTTGCCAAAATAAAAACATAGAAAAAGTTCCAATTTTTGACAAAAACCATGGACTAACCCCTTTTGAAAAAAATCTACCTGTTTGGACTTTTTCAACTCCCTGTTTTTATAGTCTAAAAAGACGTTTTTTCTTTCTAGAATAAACAAAACACATTTTCCTGGGCTATTCTGCCCAAAAGTAAAAGATGGTAGACTTTCCACTTTTTGACCAAAATTATGGACTAACCCCTTTGCAAAATCCCAGTTTTTCGACTTTTATACCTTGTTGTTTTTATAGTTTAGAAAGACGTTTCTTCTTTAAAGAACATCGTGAAACACATTTTCCTGACCTATTTTGCCTACAATAAAAACACGGAAAAATTTGCAACTTTTGGCCAAAACCATGAACTAAGCCCTTTGGAAAATTCCCAATTTTTCGACTTTTTTAACTTGTTATTTTTATAGTCAAGAAAGGAGTTTTTTTCCTTCTACCATATCTGCACCTCATTTTCGTGGCCTATTTTGCCTCAAATAGAAAGATGGAAAAAGTTCAAATTTTTGACCAAAACCATAGACTAACTCATTTGGAAAAATCCCAATTTTTCAACTTTTTTAACTTCTTGTTTTTATAGTCAAAACAGGCGTTTTTTTTCCTTCTAGGATATCGTGCAACTCATTTTCTTGGCCTATTTTGCCTGAAATAACAAATGGAAAAAGTTCCAATTTGGTCGAATAATGGCCATTTTTCAAACTTCTCTTTTTAGGCAATATGGGCCAGAAAAATGTCTTTTACGCTATTCTAGAACAAAAAAACAACCTTCTACGCTATAACAAGAACAAGTTCAAAAAGTCGAAAAATTGAGATTTTTCCAAACGACGTAACCCATGCAGTTGGTCAAATAATGACCATATTTCAAACTTTTTTTTAGGCAATATAGGCCAGAAAAAATGTGTTTTACGATATGCTAGAACAAAAAAACGGCATTTTACGCCATAACAACAAGAAGTTCAAACAGTCGAAAAATTAAGATTTTAGTCCAAAAATGGCCATTTTTCCAATTTTTTTTTTTAGGTAATATAGGCCATGAAAATGTGTTTTACGATATTTTAGAACTAAAAAACGACTCTCTAGGCTATAAAAACAACAAGTTCAAAAAGTCGAAAAATTGAGATTTTTCCAAAGGGGTTAACCCATGGTTTTGGTTCAAAAATGGCCTTTTTTTCCACCTTTTTTTTTAGGCAATATAGGCCAGGAAAATGTGTTTTACGATATTCTAGAACGACAAAACGCCTTTCTAGCCTATAAAACCAAGACGTTCAAAAAGTCGAAAAATTGCGATTTTTCCAAACAGGTTAACCCATGGTTTTGGTCCGAAAATGGCCATTTTTCCAACTTCTTCTTTTTCGGCCATATACGCCAGGAAAATGTGTTTTACAATATTTTAGAACGAAAAAACGCCTTTCTAGGCTATAAAAACAAGAAGGTCAAAAAGTCGAAAAATTGAGATTTTTCCAGACAGGTTAACCCATGGTTTTGGTCCGAAAATGGCCATTTTTCCAACTTCTTCTTTTTCCGCCATATACGCCAGGAAAATGTGTTTTACAATATTTTAGAACGAAAAAACGCCTTTCTAGGCTATAAAAACAAGAAGGTCAAAAAGTCGAAAAATTGAGATTTTTCCAAAGGGGTTAACCCATGGTTTTAGTGCAAAAATGGCCATTTTTCCAACTTTTTTTTTTGGCAATATAGGCCAGAAAACTTTATTTTGCGATATTCTAAAACGTAAAACGGTCTTTCTAGGCTATGAAAACAAGAAGTTCAACAAGGCTAAAAATTAAGATATTTCCAAAAGAGTTAACCCATGGTTTTGGTCAAAAAAAAAATTTCCACTTTTTTCCTTTTTTTTTTTTTAGCTAATGTAGGCCAGGAAAATGTGTTTTAAAATATTTTAGAACGTAAAACCGTCTTTCTAGCCTATAAAAACAACAAGTTCAAACAGTCGAAAAATTGAGATTTTTCCAAAGAGGTTAACCCATGGTTTTAGTGCAAAAATGGCCATTTTTCCAACTTTTTTTTTTTGGCAATATAGGCCAGGAAACTGTGTTTTGCGATATTCTAGAACGTAAAACAGTCTTTCTAGGCTATAAAAACAACAAGTTCAAAAAGTCGAAAAATTGAGATTTTTCCAAAGGGGTTAACCCATGGTTTTGGTTCAAAAATGGCCTTTTTTTCCACCTTTTTTTTTAGGCAATATAGGCCAGGAAAATCTGTTTTACGATATTCTAGAACGACAAAACGCCTTTCTAGCCTATAAAACCAAGACGTTCAAAAAGTCGAAAAATTGCGATTTTTCCAAAAAGGTTAACCCATGGTTTTGGTCCGAAAATGGTCATTTTTCCAACTTCTTCTTTTTCGGCCATATACGCCAGGAAAATGTGTTTTACAATATTTTAGAACGAAAAAACGCCTTTCTAGGCTATAAAAACAAGAAGGTCAAAAAGTCGAAAAATTGAGATTTTTCCAGACAGGTTAACCCATGGTTTTGGTCCGAAAATGGCCATTTTTCCAACTTCTTCTTTTTCCGCCATATACGCCAGGAAAATGTGTTTTACAATATTTTAGAACGAAAAAACGCCTTTCTAGGCTATAAAAACAAGAAGGTCAAAAAGTCGAAAAATTGAGATTTTTCCAAAGGGGTTAACCCATGGTTTTAGTGAAAAAAAATGGCCATTTTTCCAACTTTTTTTTTTTGGCAATATAGGCCAGAAAACTTTATTTTGCGATATTCTAAAACGTAAAACGGTCTTTCTAGGCTATGAAAACAAGAAGTTCAACAAGGCTAAAAATTAAGATATTTCCAAAAGAGTTAACCCATGGTTTTGGTCAAAAAAAATTTCCACTTTTCCAACTTTTTTTTTTTTTAGCTAATGTAGGCCAGGAAAATGTGTTTTAAGATATTTTAGAACGTAAAACCGTCTTTCTAGCCTATAAAAAAACAACAAGTTCAAACAGTCGAAAAATTGAGATTTTTCCAAAGAGGTTAACCCATGGTTTTAGTGCAAAAATGGCCATTTTTTCCACTTTTTTTTTGGCAATATAGGCCAGGAAACTGTGTTTTGCGATATTCTAGAACGTAAAACAGTCTTTCTAGGCTATAAAAAAAACAAGAAGGTGAAAAAAGTCGAAAAATTAAGATTTTTCCAAAGGTGTAAACCCTTGGTTTTGGTCAAAAAATTGCAATTTTTCCAGCTTTTTTTTTTTAAGGCAAGATAGGCCAGAAAAAAATATGTTTAACGACATTCTAGAACCAAAAAACGATATTGTACGCAATAAAAAATAAGAACTTCAAACTGTCCAAAAATGGAGATATTGTCAACCGTGGAAAAAAACCCATGCTTTTGGTCAAAAAATGGCCATTTTTCCAACTTTTTCTTTAGCTAATATAGGCCAGGAAAATGTGTTTTACGATATTCTAGAACTAAAAAACGACTCTCTAGGCTATAAAAACAACAAGTTCAAAAAGTCGAAAAATTGAGATTTTTCCAAAGGGGTTAACCCATGGTTTTGGTTCAAACATGGCCTTTTTTTCCACCTTTTTTTTTAGGCAATATAGGCCAGGAAAATGTGTTTTACGATATTCTAGAACGACAAAACGCCTTTCTAGCCTATAAAACCAAGAAGTTCAAAAAGTCGAAAAATTGAGATTTTTCCAGACAGGTTAACCCATGGTTTTGGTCCGAAAATGGCCATTTTTCCAACTTCTTCTTTTTCCGCCATATACGCCAGGAAAATGTGTTTTACTATATTTTAGAACGAAAAAACGCCTTTCTAGGCTATAAAAACAAGAAGGTCAAAAAGTCGAAAAATTGAGATTTTTCCAAAGGGGTTAACCCATGGTTTTAGTGCAAAAATGGCCATTTTTCCAACTTTTTTTTTTGGCAATATAGGCCAGAAAACTTTATTTTGCGATATTCTAAAACGTAAAACGGTCTTTCTAGGCTATAAAAACAAGAAGGTGAAAAAGTCGAAAAATTAAGATTTTTCCAAAGGTGTAAACCCTTGGTTTTGGTCAAAAAATTGCAATTTTTCCACCTTTTTTTTAAGGCAAGATAGGCCAGAAAAATATGTTTAACGACATTCTAGAACCAAAAAACGATATTGTACGCAATAAAAAATAAGAACTTCAAACTGTCCAAAAATGGAGATATTGT